TTCAACGTTTGTCTATTGGTGCCGCATGTATTAGGTATTGATGACTGTTCTGAACGATGTATTGGAGGAAGGATTTGACATATTTTGGTAAGACATGGTTGAGGCCTATGTGCTTCCGAAGCTTATTTCAAATTGGTCAATGAGTTGAAACACAGTTTTGTGCGAGGGTTTTGTTCGAGGTATTTGTTGACGCGTTTTGCCAGAGTTGTCCGTCCAGAGTCTTTATGACGTGGCTCTGATGTAATGTTGATCTTTGCTGAGTAATCTTCCAAGGATAATTCTTTGTGTTTGACTACTTAAGAATGTGGTGACGACATTTTCTCGAGAGGGGTGCTTGTTAAGACTCTTAGTGAAGTTCCATAGTCGTAGGAGGAGTAGTAACCTGAAACTTGAATATTCGATAGATCCGGGAGTTGAGATGATTTATTTGTGGATACGAAAGATGAACGGTTTTAATATTTGTTGCCGTTTTACCTGGCGATATGTACGGAGGATCTCGTAGATCGTATCTCGTACCGAGTAGGGGGGCTGTTTGTGTGTGTACACGGCAGGATACAATTCTCCGAGATCTCCGAGGGGGTTACGCAGATGAAATAGATATGGGTATGATAGACAGACTTGGTGCAGCAGGCTTTGCCTCTTCTTGCTGACGTCTGTCACTCGTTAAACTCTCAAATAATCAAGGAACTTGAGTCACTCCTTTGTGCAACACGCTCTCGACAAGAGCCCGCGAGCGTGATAACATAGTACACGCGCCGACACCCCTAACAGCTGTGGACGCGCCTGGAGTGGACTCGCTCTCGTCGCCCGTCCCGGCCCCTGCAATCAGCTCCGCGGTGGACGGCTCGCCCTCGGCCTCGTAATCGAGGATTTCCTCATTGCCGTCCATCAGTTCCACATAGCCGCTGGACATGGTGTTCTCTTTTTTCAAAAAGACAGGGCCAGAGGAAGGGCAGCTACTACTATCGATTTTTACAAGTGCAGAACGGCCAGCAACAGCAGATGTGTCACCCCCAACCGCTGTTGCGCAAGCAGAACCGATTGCAGCGGAAACAGTAAAGCGGGGCGTAATCGCGGTAGAAGCAAGCCGAGGTCCATGCGAAAAACGGAGATACCCACAGGATAGCATACGCCCGGTGATAAAAGCTTGATGCACACAAGGTTGAAGCGGATCCAACCAAGCAGAAAAGGCGTCCAAAAGCACACCATGTCACGCATACACAGCAGTGGAAGCTATTATAGCACAAAAGGACCGGTATTAAATGGAGACACGAGATTGTCCGACCAAAACACACGCAGAGCAGCACGGCGTTCCTCCGCAACGGGTGCCGAAGTGCGAGCAAAGACCGCTGTGGGTTTGCGCTGTTGAAAGGTTTCCAACTCAAATGCCTTGAGGGTGAATGATGCTCCAAAAAAAAATTCCATGTGATTGCGAAAAATGGAGGGAAGGCTGGTGGGGCGGCTGACACCCAATTTGTGTGCACACAATGCTCTCCACGTCGAAACAAGCGGAGTCAAATCGGAGAGCACCACAGGGAAATCCCCGGACATCGGCCGGTACGCCGGCATGAATGCAGTAGAAGTGGTAGCGGACGCGGGAAGCATGCTATCATCTCGAGTCCCGCTACACAAAGACAGCAACTCCGGTTGCTTCATGCAAAGCGTGTCCGCCACCGAAATAACTTCATGGGCCGCCGAAGCAGACAAAATAGCTTGGGAGGGGCGGCGAGCGTAGGAAAAATCACCTACAACATCGCGATGACCGCCGAGACGCGTATCCTTCGCAAGGTCCCAGTCCCGCGGGCGCTTAGCGAAAGCATCGCAAGCCAGCATCCTCTACAGGAGAAGAAGCAGAGAAGGCTAAGTCTAGATTCTCGTGGGTGGTGAGACCAAATAACAGACAACCCCGTGATTGAGAAGAAAGCGTGACAACAACACACAGCAGTGTGGAGGCCGCGTCCAGCACCCGCTTACCGTGTAATGCCAGCTGACGCCAAGTTTAAAGGAGGGGAAGCCGTGGGCGGTAGCTTGCTCCTAGAGATAGATGAAGGTAGGTTCTGTCGTTGACACGCTTGTCCACGACCACGTTGAGATGAGAAAGTTGCTTGTTATTGCTGAGAGACGATCAGCAAGGGTCTGAGGTGAAGTGGGGATCCAACTTCACCTCAGGGGGGTACGCAGACTAGACAAATCCTAAGAGGGTAGGTGTCTGAAGGGTATACCTCCTGGGACCGACCCACATCCTATCAACAATAAGATGTACCCTATTTAAGCTTGCAGCCACACTCCTTAACAAATACTTGACATACAGATGGATGGGTGGTGGGTGACATCTTTGTTTTTTCAGTCTGATCTACATATATTTGTGGTGCCTCGCTGAGCATGAACTCATAGATAGATGGTGAGTTCGAACCCATTGAAAAAAAGTGATTGATCAAGAAATTAGAATGAATGCACATCAATCATCCCGTTCGACTGTGGGTATATATATATACTCGAATGGGTAGTCTTTCTGTGTGTTTTTTTTATTATACAAGTGTAGCAAGCAACACACCTGTTAGCACTGCTGTCGACGCCACCCACCCCAAATGGGGAATGTTCACGTGTACGAAACACCGCGAGCGTACATCACAAAAATAAAGGTTTAGAAACAACAACCAGCACGCACGGTACTCGGTACAATCTGATGAAGTGTGTGCGGTTTCGTCCATTGTTCGATATCATGATGACATTCACTTGAGAACGAAACACCCCCTCCCTGCCGCCGGTAAATAGTAGCATCTGCGATGACCCCAACCAACCTGACTTGACCAGTGCAGGACAACCTCATGTTCCCCTTCACCGCACGCCCACTGCACTGGTCGTCCGACGACAGGATGAGTGGATATGACTATCGAAACAGGTCTGAATGGGAAGCATGGGCGTGGTGTTGGCTAGGCAGCACCATCTTTGTCGTGAGTCTATACCTTGTTCCTTCCAAGCTGCGGAGGTTGCCAAGGAGTCATCCATCTCAGGTGATGTAGATTCGATATGTAGACTCCTCGTATCCGTCGCTGAGGTCCGTCGGTGGTCTTTGTGCGCAAACAACAGTTCCGAAAAGTCTTATTAGTAGCCACCATCGGTGGATAAACGAGCTCGCTGCCTCGTAGTTGGTTCGCCCGCGGTAGAATGAGGCGTCCGGTGTAGCAACCCGACGGCGTGTCTAACGGTTACCTGATCCTGTGCCTGCGTTTTCGGATCATAGAAAACGGGGCGCCAGGCCACTTGGCCCACCGGATACACCTGTGTACCTCGGGCTGCCAGGTCGTAAAGGGCACACCTTTGGACAGTCAACTTGGGTTAGATTTGAAAGGTTCAAGAACCTGACAGCAGTTAGGAGGCCGGAGGCTTTGATTTATCACAACATCAAAACTCCCACAGAGAAAATTGGTACTACTGGTTCTTCCGTCAGCACGTCTTCTGCCGCTTTGACGTAAGATATCACACCCCCTGGATCGACTTGGCATCTCCACTACAGGTAGTATTCCGCAGCAACGGGTGGCAGTACTGAAATTGCGGCGATGTAATCGTCTCTTCGAGAGCTTTCCGGAAACGTATCGTTGGTTTATACGATACGTCCTCTTCGTCGTGGAGTAATCGAGCTTTGAAAATCGATCCATGGGGTGCAACATCTCATGACACCTTCGATTACTGGCATCTACGGGGCGGGTATGCACATCACCCCTTTCTTCCACCGCAGATACAAATCCTGATTCAGGTCCTATGCATACGTCCTACCCAATCTCGTGCCCTACTGCTGTTGTCTTGTTCCAACCATAAACCAATGGTCGTTCTCGCTTGGAAACAGATCAAAGCAAGGCTTGCAGCTGTCTTCTGCACATCTTGCGCTACGGTGCTGGCTACTTGCTTGTTGGCTCGGCCGGTAAGCCCTTGCTCCCCTAGGACTACTGCTGTAGGTAGATCGCCATTTCGAGCTGTTGAGTCCTTCAAGGAACAGACATGAAGGTTGTGCAAAACTTGCATGCAAACGAGTAGAATATTTCCTTGGAATGTTCAAAATGAACTTTGTTTTTTTCGAGGCAGCAAGAACATTATCTGCGCATCCGACTTGACCATGATGTCTACGACCACATGCCCCTCTAAACACTACTGCACACTGAGAGCCCATTTCGCGTTGTTTGTTTCGAAGTTTTTTCGTGTCCGTGAGGAAAGATGCGCAACCCTCACCGAGCATGACTTAAGAGTGTTAAAAGAGATACTGTAGTTCCGTCGTTCTGTGTACAAGCAGTGGCTAGTCTAGGCAACAGATGTGATACCCTGGGTTGGAATGAACTGCCGCGTCGTCTTTGGGCCTGGACACCGCCCGTCAGTCTTTTCCGTCACTTGGCGACACTCGCGCTTTCCCCCTTGACTCCTGAGACCTTTCTTCCTTCCTTCCACCTCAACCGTCCGCAACGTCCATGGCGGGTATAGGCGGAGAACGGACTCCCTGTTCGACGGTGGATTGGTCTCGGCACGAACCATTTGGGTGTCGCGCTGGTGCTGCCGGTGTTGCTGACGTGCTGCCTCTTCCTCGGTCCGCTAGTGACACTGGTATGGATGTCCCACAGGCTGGCGCGGGATGAGGTAGGCGAAGTACGCACGCTTGTGACGGGTGCGGCGCTCCGGCGCCGTCAATTCGATCGTGAAACGCTTTTGTCAAATTCCATTGAGCAACGTTTATGCCCAGGGGACAAGACCGCTGTGACTACAACATTGTGCCCGTTCTTGGAAGGGGACGACACCAGCATGACGTTCTCGCAGGAGCCAAAGGTTTAGGATCGCTCTCGAGCTGATGCAAAATGTTAAGAACGAGCCTCGGGTGTTTCAGCCACCTTCGGCTTCAAAAGGCCCAGCGGCAACAGGGCTCCCCTTGCTTCGAAGCTTTTCATCGTGTAATGTATGTACAGCAGTTAACTTCATGCAGATAATGTTTAACTTTAGATGTACAGTAAAACTTCATGCAGATAATGTTAACTTTAGATTAATCTACTTGCGCCTTCCATGGACTCTACATTCGATAGGTTCGCCAACGCAGTGAGAAGGAGCTTCATCATGCTCGCTACCTCTCCGGCTGTTGTGTGCTGTGTTTCTCTCAGGTATCGCCGTACGGACTTTCTCGACCCCGCGTGCGTCCTCTGCCATGGCACGCGGTCGCCAGGGCAGAGCTAGTCAGCAAGGCGAACCTGGGAGCGGGGACATACGGCGCGATACGGAATCTAGCGGTGAGCCTCCTGGTGGTTGTTACCGCGCCCCTTCCTGCAACCCTTTCGATTTCAGCATACGTTCCTCGCGACATCGCTGCTGTGATGATACCACTCCGACCCTCGCCTCTCCGGATCGTTCGCACTGGGAATTAGCTCGATGTGTGGCACGCAAGCTTCAAAGCTTATGGCACACACACATACCACCACGGCGTTTGTGAGCGTTGGTCATGACATGCCGCCACGCGTGGTCGAGCGCATGGACTTGGTCTGGTCTACACCAAGGCCCTCCTTCATGTGCAACCCTCGAACCTGTTAGCTTTTGTACGGTGCTTCCATCGGTTGGCAGGCAGACCGTCGATGAAAAGGCCAACCTCTCTCTGGAGCTACTCAAGTCGACAAGTTTACACCCTCAGGACACACAGCAGCTTCGTACGAACATCGACTGTATACACTCGCCCAACATGCACTCGGCCCCCCCGCTCCTGCCTTCCCCCCGCACTTGCCCACCTGGACAGGTGGGACCTATTGCGGAGGAAGTTGTGTTTCGGGGTTGCTCTGTGCCTGTGCTTCTCGGCGCCGGAGTTTCGCGAATGAAAATTGTGTGGCTCAGCCCGCTGCTGTTCGGATTCGGTGAGTCGAGCTGTGTTCCCGATGCCTTAGTCGACTTGCTGAAGACGCTGTTGATGTCGGTTGAGGAATGTATGCCACTGAGCAACGTAGAAGAGACTTCAGCGGTATACTTTCAGAACATACGGTATTGCCATTGGTTGCAAGGTTTTAGGTCCAACAAATCCCGGCTTGAGACGGTTACCTAGTCAGGGCACGTGTCCGGCAACAGCTCCACGGAAAGTGTTGTTTGATCTAAATATGTGGGCAGGATTGAACGCTTCATGTAGTGCGTCCTACAACCGTAAGCAAACAAGTGGCACATGCCTGAGGTGATGCTATAAGACACAACCAATAGGCGGTGCGTATATACGGGGACTTGAAGTTTTCATCGTGCTTCGGTGGACGGTCCTTGTCATCGACCAACTTGACGCGACGAGGCCTTTGGTCGACCCCAACCCACGCCTGCCCCGGTGCAACACCCATGTCTGCGATGGCGACTACTCAGCCCATCTCCACCACGTGCTGGAGTGGCTGCGGCAAGGGAACTCCGTTCGAGCCGTGGCGGTCGGTATGCTGTTTCAGATAGCGTACACTTCTGTTTTTGGGGCGTTCGCCGCGTTCGTGCAACTTCGGACAGGTGGGTCGCGGGGGTCCGCCAAGACGTACACACATTTGTCGCTTTTCGGATTCACCCATGGTGCTTTTTGACTGCCGTGGATGCGATGGAGGCTGGTCTAGTGTAGCGCAAGATTGCGATACTTGCAGCTATCACGGCGGTATGATGCTGTAGTCAATGCACAGGTGTGAGATGACGGCATCTCTTGGTCGTGGTATCGTGGAACCTGGCAATAGTCGTGGGCGAGTTTAGCGAGTTGCGCTCGTCGAAAGCAGTGGACGATCTCCGCGGCAAACGAGGCCGCTGTTCCAGACAGGAATGGACTGTTGAACACTGAAGAGGCCGCACGCAAGACGATTTGTACGATGGAACACCACACCCCATCTTCTAGTTGTACAAGTAACGTAATTGGAAGTTCGGTGTGATGATTGTACGAACGTCAGATTTGAATTTGTCCGTCTTTTAACAAGGCACCCTCGCATTCCCATCGCCGCATCGGCGGACACGTGGTCGATTGTGGTCGGTTTCCAGAATGGTGCAACATCAACAGGACAACTACAATACTACTGTTGCAAGTCTTTTCGGCTGTGGAACCCTTTGTAGATTTGTAGACGTTGAACGTGTATGCCCAAGCCCGGGCAGGTTGTAGCGAAAGCCGTGTCATGTGCACTTAAATACGGTCACCCTGGAAAATCGTTTGGTGATCATCACCGCCCCCCTTTAATTCAACTGTTCTATCGAAGTGGCGCGGATGATGCCACCAACTGACTCACTTTGGTCCGTTCACTTCCGTGTATCGCAACTCCAGGACACCTCGTGTCGTCGATTTTGGTGCACATGCTGTGCAACTTCATGGGCGTGCCCGACATCACGTTCAGCATTGCGCCCGGAAACCCTGGAGAGTCTACTCGCACTTCCGTGTTGTACAAGCACCGAAAACGTGAGAGGACGCGAAGTTTGCTGATACGAAGCCGCCTTGGTCTCCTAAAATAAAACGGGGGGGCGCCCTGCTACTGCTGCTGTTGATCTTGCGAGTGGCACCAACAGATAGTGTGCTCCGGGCAGCGCGCTTCCAACTGTTTCCGCACCATGTGTGCATAGCACGAACGGGACAAACATGAACACACAACCCTTTTCGACGCTCGCTCTCTTCCATGGCCGCGGCAGCAAGCCCCGGTGCTGCCCCCTCCCCCTCCAACTACCCCCCGCTTCTTTTTTTTTCGTGTGTCCGCTGTCAACCACCGTCAATTCGAATGTGCCGCGACCCTGAACCGCTGTATGCCAAACTGTTCGGTTTGTTCCCTTGCCTTGGAGCAGGTCTATGGTGTTGCTACGTCGTCGGAATTTTCCTTTTTGGTGGGCTGATCCGCCCTCTGACTAGTCCGGGCTTGTACGGCTCCGTGCTGTGGTCTCAAGGGGTATTGCATGGGTGAAAGCGAACGGGGTGGGGAGGCGGAGACTAAATAGCATTGCGCCGTCCCACGATGTGAAAAGCGTGCAAAGGCAGCATCTACTCAAAAGGCCAATTTGAGAAGTAGTTTCTTTGTTGGTCTGCCACTGTGATGATGCCACCTGACCCGGATCTTGTGCAGTTGTAGGAGTGCGATTTGGCGAGAATGCAGTTTTCGTAGGACACGCCATGCGGTCTTTAGGGAGTTTTTGGTGCCAAGCTAAGAGAAATTCGAAAATGGACGTTTCTTCGCTGGCTACCGTGTGCCTATTGTCTATCGGTATGTTTGTAGGGGGGGGGGCGTACTCATTTGTTGCTTGCCGTAGTCATTTGACCATTGACCACGCGTCCCTTTCGAGACGGAGCACCGTTCCTACACCTACTAGAGACACCACCAACATTTGGGAGCTCTTTACGTTTCTGCCACAAACTCCATAAAAATTTCTTGCACATCTTATCCCCGTCCTCTAGGGCCTCTTGTGCCCACCATCTATCCCCAATTATCGCGATCGTTTTTTCGCTGTTGTCTAATTTACCAAACTTGTCCATGTCACACCCTCTCTGTCTCATTTCCTCCTCGAGATCCTCTCTTTCCTTCCTGTACAACTCACACTCCCCAACTATGTGGGGTCTACTCTCCTCCGATTTGCCACATGGACATGTGTGTCTATCCTCCTCTTCCTCTCTCCTACGGCTGGTATACCTCTTCCTCCGTTCTGGCAAGTCCAGATCGCCTACTCGAAATTGCAATTTCAGCTTTTTCGCATAGTCCATGGGGCCGTCCAAGTACTTCTTCATCCCTATCCCTTCTTTCAACTTCCCGTATATCTCCAAGTGGTCTTCGCTTCGTACCTTCTTGCGAAGGGTTGTCTCCTCCCTACTCTCTAGCATCTCCTTGACTTTCGTCTTGAACCCCCCGAACCCTTCCGTGTCCAACGTCTCCTCCTCGTCTCCTATCTCCTTCCAAACCTTCTCTACCACCTTGTCCCATCTGATTCCCTTCTTCCCTGGAGTCGCTTTTCCCCAAGCTGCCTCGTCAACCATGGCTGGTAGTCTATCGTCCGACATTCTACTTACCTTGTACTGCCACTTCAACTTCTGCATGTCTCTCTTTGTTTTAAGAGAGTACATTCCCAATTCTGCTCTCAATACAGTGTTGCTCGTTGTGCTTGAACATCCTAGTATTTTCTTGGCCGCTGCCATCTGCACCGTTTCCAGCTGCTTGACGGCCTTTTCGTTACCTTCCCATATCTCTCCTGCATACTCTAGCTTAGGTACAATCACCTTCAAGAGAATACACCTCTTAATCCTAGTGTCTAGGTGTGGGTCCGTAAGGATCTCATCCATCTTGCCTATATCTGAGCTTTACCCTTCCCAATCAACTTCGCTATGTGTGCGTCCCATGAGCACTCCTTCGAAATCTCTACTCCCAGGTACGTATACTTGTCTACTACCGGTAGTTCTTCCTCCCCCCATTTCCATTTGAATTCTACGGGATTTTTCTTATCTTCGTTACAGACCACTACTGCGCATTTTCCTACGTTCGCCGACAGTCTCCATTTTCGGGTGTATCCTACCGCCGCATCTATTTGTTCTTGCAACCCTTCTGGTGTTTCGGATACCCCCACGAAATCATCTGCAAACATCAGTCCGGACACACTCTTTCCCTCTACTTGGACTCCCTGTCTTACTGCTTCAACCGCCCTTATCAAATCGTTGATGTAAATCTTAAAGAGTGTGGGTGACATCGTACAGCCCTGTGCGACTCCTTGGAGTATATCCACGTACTTCGAAATTTCCCCATCCAACATCACCGCACTTCTTGTGCATTCTGTCATCTTTTTCAACATCCTCCACATTTTCCCCCGGATGCCGATGTCCCACATCTTTTTCCACAATCCATTGCGCCATACGGTGTCGTAGGCTTTTTGTATATCGAGGAAGAAACAGTATGTCGTACGCCCGGCGTCTTTCCTACCTTGGATGATTTTACTCAACGTATATACATGGTCTACACAACTACGATCTGGTCTAAATCCAGCTTGTCCTTCGCTGATCTTTTGTTTCCCCTCCAACATGTCTCCCATTCTATTGTCTATCATCTTGCCAAACAGTTTCCCCACTGTGCTCAACAGGGTTATCCCTCTATAATTCCCCGGGTCAGCTTTATCCCCCTTTTTGAACAGGTTCACGACTACTCCTTCTCTCCATCTCTTCGGCGCGTACTCGTGTTTCCATATCCAGTTGAATATCCGGACCAACATGTTAATCATCCCCTCCCCCCCCTGTTTCAAAAGCTCGTTCACAATTCCATCAGCCCCTGCCGCTTTTCTATTCTTGAGTTTCGCTACGCAGTCCTCTACCTCTTCTCGTGTGAACTCTCCCTGCAACCCGTCTACATCACTACGTTCCCTCTGAGATCTTTCAACGTTTTCCTCTGCCCACGAGTTGATTTCCTTCTCAAACTCCGAGTCGAAGTTGTCGTTGGTGGTGGGTGTCCCAAGTTTGCGGTAGTGCTCTACTAGTACTTCCCTCTTTCCTTTAGAACTGCTTACCATCTTACCCTCGGCAGATCTTAGTGTCGTTATTTCCGTGTCTCCCCCTCTTTTCTTGCCCACTATCCCTTGAATTCCTACCCACATTTGCTTCATCCCCCCCTCAAAATCTTCGTTAGTCTTTTGGACTACTTCCTCCCACAACCCTTTCTTCTTCTTCACGACCAACTCCTTCACCCTCTTTCTACTTTCAACATACTCCTTCCATCCTGCATCTGTTTTCCCTGCCGCATATTTTGCGTGTGACTCTCTACGTACTCGAATTGCTTGCTTGATTTCTTCGTCCCACCACTTCACTGCTCTCTTACAAACTATCAACTTTCTACCTAGAACTCCGCTTGCTGTTGTGTTTACCAGCTCTTCCCACCCTTCTATGATTCTAGACCCGGCCTGGTCCCGGCCTTCGGCATCCTTCGGTGTACCCATTGCCTCCATCAACTCCGAGAGTTTCTTGTCGTTTATAGCCATCTCTTCTTGGAACTCTACCCTCGTTTCTTCTACTTCTAGCTTATCTATTCTCCATCTGTACATTTTCCTGCGTCGCCTACTCTGTATGACTCTCTTCTGTTGTAGGGCTGTCCACACCAACGCGTGGTCTGTAGTGCCTACATCCGTAGTGCATACTCGTACTTCCGTCTCTTTCCCCCCATTCTCTACGACTATATAGTCAAGGATGGATCGTTCTCCTTTTTTGAAACATTGCCTAGTCCATTCCGGTTCTGTCTTGCGTACTCTACCGTTCAACACCTTCATCTCGCTACTGTCAAGGAACCTCAGCATTTCTTCCCCGTTTTTGTTCGTGGCTCCCTCCCCGTATTGCCCTATGGTTCCGTGTGGGTTCGTGGTTCGCCCGATTCTTGAATTGAAGTCCCCAACTAGAACTACTTCTCCCTTTCTCTTGAAGTTTTGTACATCCGCTGCTACCTCCTCGAAACCTATCCTGATGTCTTTCACCATATTCTTCGACTCTGGTGGCATATATACATTTCCTACGAACAAGTCCTTTCTTCCCCGTTCCCCTGGTACCCTTATCCACATGCTTTCGTTGAATTTGGTGTCGCTGATCACCTCAATTATGTCGCACATGTGCTCCTTGACAAAGAATCCAACTCCCCCCTCCCCTCTACTCTTGATTTTCTGTCCTCTCCTCATTTTACCTATCCATGTGTAGCTTCCCACTTCTTTTCCTATTTCTCCCCCGTCCTTCTCCCACGACTCTTGGACTCCGACTATGTCCAGGTCTTTTTCGGCCGCTTGCTCGGCAATTTCGAGTCTTTTACGCTCATCTGTGGCAAATCCGCATACATTCCAAGACCCTATTCTGATTTCCTTACTCCTACTTTCTACTTTCCTGTGCCTTTCAGGATTCCTTTTGTCCCTCATTTGCCTTCCCTTCTGCCTTATCCTATCGCTGCCCCCCCCTTCTCCTACTTTGGCTTGCTTTCCCTTTTGACCCTTTCGGGCCTCCTGCCCCCCTTTGTTTTCAGCCAGCCTTGGGCTACGCCTTACTTCCTGGATCCTATTTGCTATGCACACCCTCCAACCTAGTCTCCTCACCCACGCCGACATCTTCTCTACTTCTAGTCTTTCCCATTCTGCGCTTACTCTCCTTCCAAACGTGATTCTAAAGTGGTTTCCTTCCCTTTCTACCCCCCCCCCTTGCGAAGCAATATAATCCTACTTGTTCACATTTACTTTTGAACTCCAACCTTGTCATGTCGCTATTGACCCCAAATATCAACACTACCAGTACTGCACCTGTCCATTCTCTCCTTCTCCACCCTTTGTGCCTCGTCGTCTCCCTCCCTATCTCTTTCGAGACTATCTCGTTCTTTGTGTTTGAAGTGGGATGCTTTCAAATTACTGGGACTTCCCAATCCTAGTACTTGTTGAGGGTCTGGTGTCTTTCAATTCTTTTGCCGGCTCACCGACACTAAAAAGTGCCTCCAACACGGGCTCATAGCCTGGAGCCAAGTTCAACACCCTTAGCACAAGTACCCCAAGTTTGTGCCAGGCGATCTGCATGGTAACCAACCCAAGCGTCCCACGACCGTTTCTTCTCTCAACTTGCCCCAGCTGCTGTACTGGGTACTTTCCTCCGGGGAGGTCATTTTCCCCATGTAAGGTTCAAGGGTGGCTTGCATAACAGAAGGTCTCACTCACACATCGGGATGTCCGTCTCTTCCTTGATTTTTATGACATACAAACATAAAAATCTCCTCCTCGTAGACGCCAGAGAGCACTATCTTCCCTGATGGCGGTCTAAGTCGACCCAGGGTTGATAAATGAGTTACGGTCATCAACGTTTGTACGGTACACCATGGGTAGCTACCCCACTAACGCTCCCGAGTAGACCTTCGCTGCCGGAAGCTTGACCAACAATCCCCCCACACTTTGTACCGGCGTCTATCCTTCAAGCTTCAAGATATCTACGTACCGCTTGGTGCTCCTTCTCTTTTGGGTCATTTGGTCGGTCAATTGAAAACAAGGTTCTTGAGTATGTTAGGTCTGACATTTTGTCTTGCATTATCCACCCCTCTCCTTGCGGAGAATTTAGGATAGTGCCTGACCAGATTCCCACCGCCCAATGGGAACCGGTATTGTTTTACGGTTATCTCACCACGAGTCCCCAACCTTCATGTGCATCGCACATTTGACCAAAAGGATTGCTGTGTCTATATTTATGCTTCGTTTCCGTTTTCGTGTTGGTATGTATGTAAGGTGGCCAATAACCTTCTACTCTTGCTTACTTTTGCGTTTTCAACTGTGGAAGAAAAAAAAAATAAAAATAATAATAATAAAAACAAAAATGGTCAAGCGTCTGGAAATGTATTTCGTTGGATTCAATTATTTCATATCTGGCTTGTCATGTTTGTGTTACGTTATGAGAAATAAAAAGTCGGTTAGGTCAATTATTTCATATCTGGCTTGTCAGGTTTGTGTTACAGAATGGAAAATAAAAAGTCGGTTAGTTCAGTTTTTCCATGTCTGGCTTGCCAGGTTTGTGTTACAGTATGGGAAATAAAAAGTCTGTTAGTTCAGTTTTTCCATGTCTGGCTTTTCAGGTTTGTGTTACAGTATGGGAAATAAAAAGTCGGTTAGTTCAGTTTTTCCATGTCTGGCTTGTCAGGTTTGTGTTACAGTATGGGAAAATAAAAGATCGGTTAGTTCAGCTCTTTCATGTCTGGCTTGGCGGGTTTGTGTTACGGTATGGGAAAATAAAAATTTGGTTAGTGCAATTATTTCATGTCTAGGGGCTGGTGGCTTGTTTTACAGCGTCGGTGCCACTCGACGCCAACCTATTCAAATTTTGCGAACAGGGGGTATGTTTGTAGGGGGGGGTTATCAAGAACCTTTGTCGATGGCCGAGGTTAGTGCGTGAAAGTTAACAATGCTGTACCTGTTGCGTGTGTTCTAGCATCTAGCAATCAAGGATGGTGGGTTGGTCCACGCCCATGGCCACGCTATGATCGCGCTCGGAGGGACATCGGTGTTCGCCCCGAGTGATTCGTTGGCGGTGTTGAACTGCAATCAATCACGTCCACGGACGGTGCAGTAGGTGCGCGACGATTCGTAGTACCAACCACCGCAATACCATGGTCCGGGAAAAGAGAATTCAGCAATCGTACTTTTCGATGGCCCCGTTCAAGCACTTAATGATGGACGGCATATCGCTGTACCCATGGGTACTGGCCGTTCTCAAAATTTCACACGGTGGGATCCACCTTGCCCGACGCCTTCCCCTTTGAGCCTGACAGCGTAGCTATGTTCTAAAATCCAAGGGCTGGTGAGGACACTCTAAGAAAAACGAGCGACAAGTGAGTCGCCCGTTAGTCTACAATACCTTTAAGACATCTCTACAGCCCACACCCAGGTCAGTCCGACCATTCCCCTTCAGAGCCGGAATCAAGGATGGTGGCTTGGTCCACGCCCATGGCCACGCTGAGGTTCGGGTTGTACTCGGCGTTCTGGTTTGCGAGGGTTGTCATCTTTGCCATGGTGTCTGCCGCGTGCTTCTCTTCCTGAACAAGGTCAAGGACGACGGCAGCGGGGTGGTGGGGGAAGGAACATCAGTTGGGCCGAAATTGCCGAGCATCTCAACAAATCGCTTCAGCGCGGGCCCAAGCCCAGCTGTTGCACCGTGTATCGCTCTCTAGAAACGACAGCCCTGCAATGACAGTTCTGTGAATAGTTGTACTTCAACAAAGGGGACATCGAGTACCAAACTACACGGGGAATACGAATCGCCGTATGCGAAAGGGTTGCAATTGTAGCGGGTGCTGTGTGTGTTATCCGTTGTGCGGTCTGTGCCGTGTTTTTTAAAAATTTTATTTCCGCCGCAATAAAAAGCGTTTCAATTTTTTTTCCCAACTCTAAAACGTAGATTAAATGCGGAGGGTTTTCTTCGTTTGACAGAACGTGTCGACGGTGTTTTTGAGAGACAGCTGCACTTCCGCTGTGATTGGCTGATTGAGCAGATATGCCGAGCTCGTTCCAATTCTGATTCCTTCAAGAGTTACGGCTGGACGACTGAATGTTATCTTCTTGGCTGGCCCAGCTTGTAGTGTCGTCCTGACAAGGGAGACTGCGGAAGTGTGGGCTGCAAATTCAGCAGGTACCATCGTTGTTTATTGCGTTCTTCAACTCTTGTCTCCAAAGCGCATGCTCGGGGTAAGATATCCTACTGGTCGAGACTACCGACTTCTGTGTATTGACGCATCTCATTTCTACGCATTGCTGCCAGTAGGGCTTGACAGGGCTGACAACAGACAAAAAAACAATTTGACACGCGCGGGTTTTTCTTTCTCGCTGTCTGGACCAAGCAAAAGCAATGCCTGCCGTACCTGTTCTCGCTGTTCCATCTGTTGCCTGAAAATGACGGCCTTGGGCACCGCCACATCGGAAGGTAAAGGCCGTTCCGACAGCGGCTGCATACCTGTGACAAGCGGCAAGCACACAAATCAGCAAACGTTGTGCGGACGCATTACCAGGCCGACTACAAAACTAATTGTCCCTTTACCCACTGGTTTGAGCCACATTGAATGGCCGTGCATCAGGCATCGACTACACAATCACGGGTTCCGCGACAAGCCAAAGAAAGGAGGGCTCACGCGCTGCATGATGCAATGCAAGAAAATTGAAAAATTCGACCAAACCACGTCCTTGGCATGCACCAAGAAATAAGCGCCGTCTTCCTTGTTGCCACGAACCCATCCGACAACTTTGGCTTCGACAGCCACCGCGCAATTTGTTTTCATTGCCCAAGCTAAACAGGTGCCCAGGCGCGGCGCGCGGCATACCTTCTGGGCGAAGTGAGGTTAGGCCTCCGCCTTCAGAAACGGAGGGGGTTCCGCCGCTCAACCACTCCGCCGACGTTTGACACGGGGTTGACGAGCGCACCGAGCTGTCACGCCAAAAATATCACGCCGAGAAAAGTGAGCGAGCGGAACGTTCAGCGTTGCTTTCACATGAACCTGGTCACAATAGGCTGCTGCCCCTAACATCCAGACAAACGAAAAAAAAGAAACAGCGGGGCACACATACCGAAGTGGACGATGATAGCAGTGCATGCCGTTTTTCCAAGCCGAGAAAAAACGAGACAGAAAACGAAGATGCACGAGGAAATTCTCGACCTGGCTGGCGGGTGGTGGCAGAGAAGAGATCAGCACAAAGCCTCGGCCTGCAAAACCATGGATGTTGACAACCAAAAACCGTAGCGACACACCAATGCCGAAAATGGCGGCGTTGGAACTGTCTCATATCAAGAGCGCCCCGACAACGTGTCAATTGGTTTTGGCATCCCCTTCTCTACAGGTATCCATACCGGTAAATGCCGTCCTGGAAGAAGCCCTTCATGTCTGCCGATCTTGGCAGCATCAAGGACACCGGCTCGACGGAGGTGGACGTCAGCCTCAACAAGCGCGCAACCTCCACGCTCGCGACGTCCAAGCACTGGGGCGGGAGGAGCGCGAGGCCGCTCAACGGGTCTCCCTCGGCCTTGTACTCGTGGCAGAACTGTGCTGACGGTGCCGACGTACCGCCGCTGTCGCTCAGCTCGTAGTACTTGATACCACTCCCGCCCCTTCTCGTTTTCGTCATCAAGGGTGAGAGGGACAAAAACGCTTCAAAAATCAGAAGAAACAGGTGGGCCGTTCGAGCGGGAGAGGAAGGGGCGGGGGCGGGTGGGCGCTGGCTTTACGCCTCTGCGTCGGTCAGCTTCCACCGCAGTTTCAGCACACACCCACACACCTTCCAGCCAAGAGCAGCAAGCCTGTCGCCTCACAGAACATGGGCAGCAGAAGCCCGTTCGAGCTGTCCACCGTCTTGGTGCTATACGGCGAAGACAGATCGCGCTGAGCAACCAACGTACCGAACGTGCGGGGGGGCGAGGGGACAAGGATAAGACGTGCGCGAAAGCAACCGGCCAACGCAAGCAGGGTGGTTGGACTCACGACGGACTCGAGAGCATAGTCTGACACGTCAAGAAGAAGCGAGTCACATCGTCCCACTTCCCAATGCGAACTAAAAGAGTCTACTCCGTAGTCGGCCATATTCGACGCGCGTTGCTGCGAATCGGTTTCGATGCGCCATCCGCGATATGTTTCCTGTTTTCGGCATCACGCGATGCGTTATGTGCTTGCATAGCTCGGGACACACCTTGACTGCACCTGGGTTTGTTCCAAAACACGATGGTGTATAAGGTTGTGCACGATTCAACTTCTCACCGGATCCCACAAACAGAGCTGCCGATGCCCCGCCGCAGCACACCCCGTGGAGGCAAGCACCTCTCGTCTACCCCCCCCGAAGCACCACGCCGCCTTCATCGTCTTGCGGCCTTGATGCCCCTGCCCCTCGGCCACTACTGATCCCGCTCTGGGGTCGAGGACTCTGATCTTGCCATCTCTACAAGTTGTGGCGATCAAGCTCCCGTCGCCGTTGAAGCAGGCGCTGTTGAACGGAGGCAACCAGGACCGAAAAGCCCGTCATGAACGATTAGCTCAGCGGGAGTGGTGTTGTCGTCTTACGCGCGTTAAACGCTACCGGCAGGAGAGGTGTAAAAAACATTTCGATGTTCCAACAGGGCTGTCGAAAAAAAATCGCCGTTGTATGCCGCATACTTGTCGCGCGGGGGCGGGGACGCATCGGACGCATTGCATCGAAGAGAGGGCCATTCGCACGGGTCTGCGCCGGCGTTCGGGCCAACACAGCAGGATACCACGCTTTCCGCGTAATACCTACCGACCGGTTGGACATGGAAAGGTACAGAACGGGCTCCGGATCAAAAACGGGACCCCTGTGAGTAGTCTCCGGAAAGTGTTGTGATATCACCTGTTGATCGTGTTGGGATGTACGTCGATGGTGGAGGCCGCTGTGTCGCCTCCCGCGGCAACGTCGCAGAGCTGAACGCTGTGGTCCGAGTTTGTCGTCATCACCACGTTTTCGGACACCGGGTTGAACTCGACGTACCTGCGTCCCGTAAGACACAGAAGACGCCAAAATCAACGTAACGAGGGAAAACAGGCTTGACACTCGGAAGAAAATCGTCCCTGTAAAACCGTTCCTTCAACACACTTCTTCAGAGAGTAGAGCATGTACTTCTCTCGGTTACTCGAGAGTGCAGCGACTACGCTGCGACAAAGGTGGAGAATACGTGGCTGAGTACTACAGGAACTACTACAAGAAAACCGAAATAAAGATAGAATTTGCATCGACAAATACTCCTCAGCAGAATGGTGTTTCAGAACGTGACGGAAGGGCCATAGTGAATATGACACGGTGCATCATCGATACCGGACTTGCGAAGTCTCTCTGGGGAGAAAAATGCGAAACGTCGGTCGTCCTTATTAATCGCTGTTTCGTCGTGCACTTGGCGGAAGCTCGCCGTGCTCCAAGCTATTTGGGAAATAACCAGATCTTTCAGGCTTGAGGGCTTTTGGAGCTGCGGCCTTCGTGTACACACAGAGAGCTTGGGAAGGCATCGTGCTGGGGTGCAGCAAGGACAGCAAGTCCTATCGACTCTACAATCCACACAACCGCCGGATTACGGAAAGACGGAATGTACCGTTCGTTGAGACACCGCCAACGGCAATACCGGAAGCTGAACAAGACAAGCTCCTATCCAATCATTACGAGGACGAACATGTAGATGCCAACGGCGCTGGTGAAGCGTACCGTTGGGACAATCTTGCGCATTTTACCCCTCCTCGGCACAACCGGGGAGGAAACCAACAACGAGGAGGACCAAGAGTTGGAGAAGAGCAACTATTCAGAGGGTTCACCACGTCCACCCACAACGACCGGTTGAGGGGATACTGTACGTTCGATCCGCCGTCAACACTGCATTCTGTGGGAACACCGAGTAGAAAAACGTCATTCGACCACGGGGAGGACTCGACACTTAGCAGAATTGGATGAGTGTCGTCAATACTTCGTCCTCGAATAATGAGTCGACAAGGCGTGCATCTCCGATACTAGTGAGCTTACACATGAAGTCGTGAAACACGTGGTACTTGCACAAATTATCCAACCTCTTTCCGCCGCGGCAGATGATTCAAACATCATTTGGGCAATGAGGTGACCGATGACACCATTGGAGCTAATACACTAGGTAGGATTTTGCATGGCATCATCGATTACGTACTCAGAGCGGTGATGACAATTGTTTCTGTCACGGATACAGCACATATCCATGGAGATTTTCTTCACTCCACAGGTGATGCATGTGTTTCTGCACGTTGAATGCTCGCAGGATCAGCGTAGTAGATGGAAACTTCGAAGCATCAGCAGCATAGGTATTCAGCACATTGCTGCTTTGTTCGTTGAATATGGAAATTGCTTCATTGAGGGGGCATGTTGGACTATTTGGCACTATCGTAGCTTCAGCATTACTGTGTAGATAGACAGTCTAACTTATATTGGCAATGTCGATTTGTCATGTCGTAGATAAATTTCCGTGTGGTTTGTTATACTCGGAACAAGGACACATGTTCTATGTTTCATAAATATCCAGAATATGCGCAAGTCTAGATTTCCAGAAAAAATCATGTTGCAAGTAGCTCAGATTTGCGCACTTGTAAAGTTATGGGCCGTCTATCATAGTTGTCGCAAGTTTCTCCGACTTGCGTGCGTGAAAGGACTGTACCGCCACAAGTAACTCAGACTTTCTACTTGAATGAACAAATATTCGTATGCGCTCAGCAGCCGAATTTGCAAGTAGTTCAGTTGTTGAAGCTGTATTCTGCGTTTAGTCGTACGTCAGTGCAAGTAATCACCTATGCTTGCAAGTGCAGTACCTGATGTGCAACGGTGTACGTGGCATGTTCGAGACCATGGTGGTGAAGTCATATTTTCCAGAAAGTATCTTTAGCTTACCAGTACCGTATTCTGAACACGCGTGATTGGTCGATGTTGCCGGATAGGTGTGATTCCATGATTTCGAGGATGAGCGCGCACTTGCCCCACCCTCTCACTCTGCTTCTTTGGGATTCTCCACCCCTCAGCTTTTCTGGAGAGATCCACCTCTGTGGTTTCACTCTGTTTCTCTACCTTCTTTCCGGTCTCCACTGATCAAGCAACAACATTTCCACCTAACCATCTTCTTCTTCGGACTTGCTGCGTACTCAGAGCCAAGCCTCTCGCACTAAAAAATAGAGTCCAACGGCACAACAAATATTCTACGCCGCGCTGCAGCTGTACAGGATACGTACCGGCTCACACGCAGCACATGAGTTTTGCCTTTGACTTGTGAATACAAGATTGCACAATCGGGTGCTCTGCTTACGTACATCAGTGGTCATTACGGCATACGCACCTTGTACGCGACACACTGCGGAGAGAGTACGCACCAACTCAAGAATAAATTTGGACATACCTTTTGGACGACAACCAACAACCATCTTCTTCGAGAACCCATACGGGACAATCGTCAACACCCACAAGCCTACATTCCCAAGAGTATTCAGGAGGGGGGGCGGGGGCAATTCTGTGGCGCGCGTGGGCCGGGACGGCAACTCGAGCTGCTCACCTGACAGCCGTGTAGTTGAACGTCAGGTCGGCGATTGCGTCATCGGCGCACATGTTACCCTCCGCAAGCCCGCCTTCCGGAAGGCTCCACAGCTTTACCGTGCTGTCCTCGCTCCCTGCAGCAGCAGCAGCAGCAGCAGCCGGTCGACCGGGGCGTGGAGATCGCGACGAGGCACCGCAAGACACCATGCAGGCAAAACAGGGCCGATGGAACAACCAAGGGTAAGGGCGACTTTTGATGCCTGCCGATGAGATGATAGGGACAGCCTTCTCTAGGGGTGGATTGCCGTGTTCTTCGCGTTGCACTGGAAGAAGGTTGGTTTACGGGAAGGGGTTCAACAGTAGTCGATGAACGGTCGAAGTCCAATAATGCCGCTTGCAACACTACGTAATGCTCCACCCGACTGAAAAGGACGACCGCTAAAACTCTATAGCTTCCAGCATTTGCACGGCTGCCTTGCTTGGTGTCCCTCACCTGTCGCCATGAGGTTAGGCTGAAAGGGGGAGAAGGCGATGGAGTGCACCGCGGCCTTGTGCCCGTTCACCAAGCCGCAGTCTGGCTCCACCTGGGTTGGTGAGACAAGTCCAAGACCGCACCGCAAACACGCACGATGTCCACGATGGGTGTGGGTATGCGTGGGTCGGCCATCGAGCACTTGAATGTTATCACGATCCATAGATTGGAAGAAGTGCAACTGCCGTGTAGGTGAGTCCACGTGTTGCCGCACAAGTCTCCAAGTATAGTCTTCGCACCACATGGCATGGCGCCGGAATGGACTCCAACTAACGTCAGTTTTCCTGCGAACCAAATCATCCCATCTGCAAAAAATAATGGACTCCTACTAATGCCAGTTTCCCTGCGAACCAAATCATCACATCTGCAAAAAAAATACCGAGCGCACTTAAAAAAAACACCCGTTCGCGAAATGGCGGCATGATTCCGCAATGTAGCAACCACCTTACGAGGGGCGATAGAGGCCATAGAGGCCATAGAGGCCGCAATATTGGAGTGAGGAACCGACACGGACAACACTCGGGCCCGGGCGCACCTTGCCGGAAGCAGAGAGCGGAGACACGTACACGGGGCCACCTCCGCCGACCCACGGCACGGCCCAGAAGGACGACGAGGCCGCCAGGATCGGCCCGTCGAGAGACGTGAGCAAAGGCGACAGGTTGAACACTGGCTTCGCGCCTTTCGTTTCGACGCCGTAGACGTGACGGAGCTGGAAGTCGATGTTTTGGAATAGATAGAACGGGGGCGCGTGCACAGTAGCGGGTTGGTGTCAGTGAGGGGCAACGCGCACAGATAGAGGTACATCGAATGCAACGCAGCAGCAATGCGTGCTAGAGACAAAAAGAACGGCATCCGTAAACTGCAAACATGAAAAATGAAAACCTATGGACGCGAACTGAATGACTGGTATACCGCAAAAAAAAAAAGACGGAGCACTCTCAAGTTTCCGGGCAAAGAAAGTAACAAACAGAGCCAGTCACAAAGAACGCCGGCAGAAAACAGCCGACCAAGCCATCCACCTTGATTTTAGGAGCTCCTCCACGCCAGTTGGGTCCAGAGGAAGCTGCACTCTCCAGCACCGGAGCAGCTGCAGCATCAGGGACACTCCCCTCCTCGCCTGCCGCAGTTGGTCTGTCGCGCGGAGCCGTAGGCTCCCCCACCCTCGGAGACGACGCTACGGCCGGTGAATCCTCGCCGTTGGGGGGACGCTCCGTCGTTGTGGTGGTCGCTTCAGCAACAGCACCGGCACCGGCACCAGCACCAGAAGCAGTTGGTGCAGCTAGCCCTTCGCTGGCCGGTTGGCTAAGCACCGCTGCTGGTTCACCGCTAGCGTTCGCCGGTGATGGCTGGGCTTCTGCCGCTTGTTTTCCTTGTGTTGGTGGAGTCGGGGCAGAAGGGGGCGCCGTGTGCGGTGTAGCCGCGGCGGGAGCGGTGGAAGAAGAGGAGCCGGCGTGGTTCCACTCTACACGTGGGGCTGGCTGCGGGGGTGGTAGCACCTCCAGGTACGGCGGCACGTTCATGCCGGCGAGCCAGTCCGGAGCGGTCAAAGAAGGGCGACCTCCTGGGGGATACCGCAGGCAAAGTTTCGACCGATGAAGGTGGGGGCGGCCGCAGGGGGCATAGTTTTCACGTACACTCTATTTGATAGCAGCATGGTCCATCCTACAAACCGGCCTCACAGGGACATCGACAACCAGTTGCAAGGTACAAGCCCGGGCATTTGACCTTGCCGGGTGCATGGTCTTTGGAGAACCTCCGACCAGGGAAGTCGTTAAACGTCTCACCCCTGCCGGTGAGTGTTCTATTACACGTACAGGGAACGCGTTAGCTAGGAATGTACCGTGTTGCTGGCCGTCGTGCCCCTCATCTACAACCCCACCCTGAACAAACCAGCGCAGCACCAGCAGAAGCCACAGCACCCAGCGTACGGCACGGCGAAATGCGCATCACCTGGGGCAGGAGGGAAAAGCTCCTCGTGAAACCGTTTCTTGTCCCGCCGGGGGATGACGATCGACACAGGCTGCACCCCGTCGTCGCACAGCTTGAGGAGCCGGGTCACCTCGCACGACATCACGTCGCAGCTGAGAGGCCAACAACGCGTTGGTGACGGTGTTTGTGACAACCAAGCAGCGTTTGGGAACAACTTGTGCGGGCTAGACCAGGGAGGAGGGGACGTGCTTGAGTAGAGCTAAACACCACACGATATCATAGGGTACTGATACGTACGTGGGTTTTTCTGCCATCCAAACGGAACTCACGGACAGGTTAGTCTGCCGGTCGCTCCGTGAACTAGAAGGTTCTCAGACGCTGCTGGGTGGTCTGGCAGCGAGCTCGAGTCCCAGTGTCGTCATGGTGGTCTCCCACACACTTCCAATACAGTGGACAAATTTTCAGGATATGAGTGCACTAGATAAAGGATATTCCCCGCCCGTCGCAACTTTACACTTTGAACACAACCAACACAGAACGCAAGTCCGGGGGCTCCGCTCCGCGGAGCTGAACTCTTCGGTTTGACGTCCGAACAGGTTTTGGGCCACGATGAGATATTGCGATAGGTAGATCACTGCGAATGACAAGCAATAGACGGGCGGCATCGAGAAACAAGAGACGGTGCTAGACTATGCATTGGTTTATCTTGGTTCACCTGGCTCGAGGAACGAAGGCGTAAGCTCGTGCCACGCCTCCCACAGTTGTTGTGCTGACCGCCGCAGTTTTCCCGGTGGCGTAGTCAAAGCTCAGCATCCTTACGTACCATGAGCGCAAACAAGAGCAGGTGTGGACGTCGAAGGACAAATTACAGGGAAATAGCCATAGATAAAGATCGAGCAGTATCGAGACCACGATAGGGGGCAGCGTGGAGATCAGAAGTCATACATGCCTTTACCGAGAACCGAGCCCAAGCAAATCTCCGACGTGATGCGCCACAAACAACGGCTCCGTTGTAATCGATTCTACACGTGTGCGTAGTAGATCCATCCACCCACCGAACATCCCGCATTCCTTTTCCTCTCCTTCCGATTCACGCGTACTCCTTTAAAAACAACTTCAAGAGTGCCGCCCGGCCGTGTAGCGGGACAACCACGTCAAACCAAGCCTGCTCCGGGGTTAGGATTCTTGTACTGCTGCCTTCAATGTCGATCAGTCCATCAAGTACTGCACCCGCTGCCGTGAATGTAGCGTTTTTGACAAGTCTGGACAAACCGCCCGAAAAACGCCGCATGCGTGATTGTGGAAGGGGAAGCAGGGCACTTCGCTTTGTTCCTTTGCAACAAAACCCATCGTAAACGTCACCTGACAGTCGAGTCCCCCCTTCCGCACAGGGTCACCAGGCCGAGGCCGTACTGCAAGCGGGGCAGCAGGAAGCCTGAGCTCGTCCCCCCGACACGCGTGCGGCTGACGGGGGCGGACATCGACCGCGCGTCCCACACCGCGAACTCCCGCTCTCGCGTCAGCTTCGACATGCCCGTCGTCAGCATGTAGACGCTGTTGTCGCACCACGTGACCCTGCTCGTCCCTGGCCCGTGTACGTCTTGGGCCTTCGCCACGACGTTTCCAGCCCTGTTGATGGGGGGCACCGGGGAGAACGAGGAGAACGAGGGGGGGGGGGGGGGGGGGGACCCCAAATCCTGGCTGCCCCAATCCTTAAACCGGGGGGGGGGGGGGGGGGCATAATTTGGTCTAGGGGTGGAGGAGGGGCATAACTTGGTCTACGCCGGACATCTCTCGCGTTTTCAAAAAGCCGTTTAGAGGAACTATTTGAATTTTCTCCAAACATTAGCGAAAGGCTCGGGAGGAGGCGTGGAGGAGGGGTAGTTGCTGTACCCTCGTTACTAGACTATGCCTGAAAATCACCGCTGTATCCCCATTCCAGAGGACGGAGCAACCACACTTAAACAAGCCTTGCGCAACCTTTCCGAGGAACAAGCATCGCATACCACAACATTTCAACAAAGCTGAAAGCACTTCAAGTCCAAGCCGAGGGTGCGCTATTTTGCGTGGCCTGGACGGCTGAGTCTACGCGTCTCGGGGTACCCTCCAGCGTGTCAACCGAGGCCAAACAGATACCTAGTAAGTGTTTTGTAGCCGCCTGCGCCTCGGATTCTTATCGCGAGAGATGTCCAGACACTCCTTTCCCTCGTCAACACTTTTCAATCGGGTGCTGTACAGCCACGAACATACACGTTCTCGACAGCAGTCACGGCTGGCATTTATCCTACGGACACCTTGCGTTGTGTTGTATCTTCCGCAGCGGAATCTCGAGCCACGCCTCTCAAACCACTAGAAGTAGTCACCAACAAAGGCTTAAAAAAAGCAGGTGTTCATCTCCAATGCATTTGAAGGAAAACGCAAAACCAGCTCAGTCCAAGACCAGGAGCGGTAAATCGTACAGCAGTCAGTCGTACCTAAGGTCGAGGAGCTGAAGGGCCCTGGAAGCATCAGTCGTGAGAACCACGTCTCCCGAGTAGCTCCACTGCATGTCATACGTGTCCTGTGTCGGTCAGCAACGGCAGCACAGAGAGGGTTTACGATGTGACGGAGTCTGCCTGTATTAGCAATGAGAGTCACCGCCGGCGTGATTGTGAAGCATGCTCGGGAGTCCGTCGGACATACGATCGGGTGTTCATTGTTTTTCGTTGGTCGTCTGCCATCGATAACGTGTGGTGGAACACTACAGGATACAGTCGTAAGTAATACGGGGCTCGACTCAAAACGGCAGAAATCAGTGCAGAGCTTTTAACCCGTCGAGAACAAACGCTAGCCAAACCGATAGGTCCAACTCACGCCCATGCGACATCCCTCAGATCTCGGCTTTGAGACTCTCGCGCCCAATGTGTGGCGAGGTCAACAGCTTTCATGGTACACACACCTCAGGTTGGTAGATTGTACCTGCGGGGTCCCACTTACGGGATTCATCGGATGAGGATGAAAACCGTTTCAATATTGTTAACTCGCAAAACAGGTTGCACCCAACCAATATAGCATTTGGGAGATCAAGTCCAATGATGCGAATGATTTCTATTTCTACCTAAAAAATGAAGAGAACAGTTAACACGCCCACAGGGAACGACAAAGGGTAGTTAACCTCGCGAGTATACCAAACGCTCAGAGCGCTTTCATGACTCCCATCCGTACGCTCAACTTGGGGGGAGAGGTTGTCAAAAGGTGTGCCCATGAGGCATCTGGCCACTTCTCCATCAACATTTGAGCTTCTGGCCACTTACCCCGTCAAAGGCCGCGCTTCCACCGACCGACAAGCACGGGGCCTGAGGTCTGGTCAGGTCGCACAGAGAGATTTTCCGCAGCCCTCTGCTGGCGATCAGCCCCGGGGCGCACGGGTGAAACGCGAGTCCTTTCGGGACCGCCTGAGCATCGGATATCCCATCGCCTCCTGTGGCTGTGACCGTCAAGGAGCGAGCGCGAAACAAACCAAGTTGAATTGAAAGCCGCAGCGTAGGTTCATCACCTCGAAGAGCGTAAGAAATTCACCAATTTTCAGGATCGCAAGGGTCAAGACAGAGGTTTAAATGGCGCAGTGATGCACGCCAGAAGAGCTGTCCCAAAGCAACTAGAGTACCTCTTTGGCCTCAGTCGCAGGGGCACACTAAGTAGTGTAGTGTGGATTTCCTTTCCGTCGTCTCTAGCGCTGCTTTTAGTCCACATGGAATCAATCGGGCAGAGCACAGAAAAGAACATGCGATTGTTGGGCCACAACACCAGGTTCACTCGGTCTCTGCCACGCACCAGCCTGTGCTACGACCCGTAGGCTATGATGCACCCAATCTAGACGTGCTGACCTGTGTTGATTGAAACCAGAGGGGCGACCAAGTCCTCCTTTAGTCCTTCAGGCGGGATGCTCCATACTTTGACCATGCCGTCCCCGCCGCCTGTGGCGAGGTTGTTGGGGCAGAAGGGGTCCCACTCGAGCCCTCGGACCTACAACAGTGGCGTCGGCACCAAGGCAATCATACCAGCAGGGAAACGCTAAGGCGAACGTACTTCGAACCACCGTGCCGTTTGAGTTGGGGGGTAGTGATGTCAACATAAACATCCATGTTGTCATGTCATACGATGCTGCATATCGAGTCACGTTCCATTCGGCGGTAATCGCTCACACGCTGTTAACCACATCTGGCGCCTGCAAGAAGCACAACAGACTGCACACAGTAGGCAAAGAGCTAAACCGGACACTAGTAGACGGTCGGCCTCATAGGACTACAGTAGAGTCTCCCCAGGATCTTCAGGCAACGCATGGTTGGTCAACTTTGACGGCGTGTCTTGTCGGCATAATGCTACAGTAAGACTACGACGTTGTCGCCGCTTGGTTCCTCAGGCGCAGGGCATCTCGTTGCCGTTACTCTTCGGTGATCATACTTCCATCAAACAGTTTCCGTTTCGATGCAGAAACCTGCTCATAGCGAAGCTCGAGCTATCTCCACGCGTCGACTTGGGGCTCTTACCTCCGCCCCAACCCGAACCGCGGGCATTGGCTGCGGCCGGCCTTTCCCCACCGCAGCGAGGGGCAAGACTACCGCACCAAAGCCGTGCTGATCCACGAAGGCGCAGAAGTTGGCTGCGAAGCACAAACGAAGAGGGCAAAACGTCGCAGCTTAATTTGTAAGAGAGTCACTTGGCTTATGGAAACTGCAGTAACAGGTGTACCATCGACATACCTTCATGTATCGTGCCGCAAATGATGCTCGGGCAAAAGCTGCCGCCAGCTGGCAAACACGGCAGCAGAATGAGTTGCGGTTCTGACAACGACAATATCCCGAATGCTGTATGATGCCCTGCATCAAATATCGAATCCACGCTGAATATTGTACGCACAATGCAAGACACCGAGTTGTGTTGCAAGCTACACTCAAGCCGAGATGGCACACTCAGGAGGACGCTCTTCCTTCGCACTCTGTGCCTTGCAACCTCGACTGTCTCTGTCGGTCTGTCGGAACAACACAACACCACATTTTGGTGATTTTATGTGCATGTACACGACTGCTGTTGTACTCTTGCGGAGTTGGAAGTTGACGCGTACCTGAAGCCGCCAGAGGGTTGAAGTCGGAGCCTCCAACGCTTGGACGAATGTCTTCATACCATTGCTCGCGTTTGTGGAGTGTCAGCGTCGCGTGTCTCACGGATACCGCCATCGTGCACAGACGTGAGGCGAGCAGGAACAAATTTCACCGCGCTCTGCTACTCAATCGCGATGTGTGGTGCCTCTTTTCGCCTCCCCCCTCCGGCAAATCGGATGCAAGACAAGGAAAGCTGGATTTTCGCAGCAGTCGTGGTCAGGGCACACACACCCTTGAGCACGCCGGCGGGAGGTGCTTCGTGCTTGCGTGCTTGCTGCAATCGTGCGGCAGTTTGCTGCAGACCGTCTAAAAAGATGTTCCGAAAAGTTCGTCGAGCATTTTGGTTCCGTTCTCTCTCCATCCCCCTCTCTCTCTTTCTCTCTCTCCCTCATTCCGTTGAGAGCCAGCCCTCCTCTCACCTCAGGGCAACAACGCCACGCACGCGTGCGCGCAGGCACAGGAGATGCCGTCACGCATGGCCATGGCAGGAGATGGGGATTTGGACATAGATTCTCTTCTTCTGGAGCTTGAAGATGCAGAGGCCAAAGATGCCCAAGTGAGTCTCGTTGTCATGACAGCAAGAACAACCTGTCTCGCGCGACGCGATGTCAACTGACTCTCCGTAGCTGCAGTCCTGCGTTAGAGGGTTAGCATTGAGTAGCAAGAAAGGCGTGCAGGACTCCAAACGCATGTTTCCCCAGTATATATCAACATTTCATGCGTTGCACGCTACATTTTGTTACCATCAAACCACCCCTTTGTGCAAGGCTTAGTGGACGGCTGTAAGCATGTAGGCAATGCTGAAGTACTTCATGTGCAAGCTACAGGAGCCTTCGACCCTACTATGCTACTGCCACGACACAAGGTCCTCGCACGCCCGAGTACATTGCTTATCGCGAACGGCACCGCTATCCAAGCTGGATGTCGGATACCCTATTGCTGCATACACCTCCTCTGTTGCAGATGAGTTTCTATGCGACATCACGCCCCGCCTCCCCCCCGCCCCCCTGCCGCCCCCGCTGCACTGCACACACGCCAGAGTCCAAAGGTGCCCCAATTAGCCGGCCTGCCTTTCCGAATCGTGTCGGTAGGCTTGGAAGGGGAGTCGGTGTTGGTGCCAACAACAGCGGTAGATGCTCCCTGCCAAGGCAATGATGATGATGCCTCCAGCCAGGGCGGTAGCAGCAGCGGCAGGGGTGAGAGGTGGCGAGATATGATGAGCACGTCCACCTTACCCTTCGGGGCGTCTTCTTTGCCGACGTTGGCCCCGCCCTGCCGGCAAGAACTTCAAGACAGGTAAAATACAAAAAAAATAGTTATTTGGTGTGCACAGGTGCACGCTGCTTATGCGTACAATCATGCGTGCCACCAAAGTAGCACCCACGGTTGGTTGTGAAACCTCGGCATATTTAGGCATGGAGCAGTTGTGTGTCCGTCTTTCGGTGAGCTGAACAAGATTCTGCTTGCGACCGTCTTGTGTACGCGACGATTAGCGTGGTGCCCCCTTACAACTTGGTGCTTGAGAACTCGATGCCACACGGCTTGGTCTTGTTGTCTCAAGTTGAGAGCAAACGCCTGGTGGAGCACATCCTTACGGCCACAGAGGTCCACGGACGGTGGTGGCTGCATCGTGCGCGCCCATCGGTTTTCGACAGCAGATCGCCGTGTCCCCGGCGTCGTCCCGCTCAGCAGTGCTTGCGCGTTCCACAGACTGGTGCAAGACTGTCGCTGCGAGATGCTCGTCTCGTTTGGATCCCCCCCCCATGGTTGGGACGTTCTTCGTTTGGGAGCTTCGAGAAATGATACCCATCGTTAGAAGTGGCGTTGGAACCATTCCAGTCGTGTGGAGACGTCCGGCGTTAACGATGGTGTCCCCATACTTATTTTCCTTACTCTTGCCAAAGGAATCATTTCTGCGTGCACCAATAAAAAAAAATCACGCGCTGTACACAAGCTATGGCCTACCCGGCCGGTAAGAGCGCCAGATTTCTTAGGCTTGTTTTCACCGAACACTCTACGTTGCGCGCATCTATGTTAGGTACCTGAATGTGTCGGCCCACATCGCCGCCGAGACGCGGGAGGAAGGCGTCGACAAGTGGTTCGACAAAACTACTTGGTCGAGAAGCATTGGGAGCAGCCTCCTTACCGTAGCCATGTCTCAAGCACGGTCAACCATGGTGCGTGGGTCTTTTTGTGTGTCCTCTTCTTCCTCCCACGAGCTGAGTTCCTCGAACGCATGTCGCGCGTACGCTGCAGCCGTAGCATTTGGAGTCGTGGCTGTTTTGATACTGGGCGTCGCGTGGGTTCTGGGTGTGTTTCGCCTTTCACGTCCGGACGTACAGTGCGTTGCTATTTTTGACTTTCTCTTTTGTTTGGTTACAACGTGTTGGTGTGTTGGTGGGTGTGATATGAGCATCGTCATGTCCGCCAGCAGCGTTGGAGCTTGATCTAGAAAAAACTGTTCGGGTCCCCCACTTAGCCGTGTTGGAGCCTGTGATTGAATAGGGCCCTCCGTCTGTGAGCTCGCCGTAGCACCGATGTCAAGTTGTCCGAATCTCTCTCCTAAATAATAACTTTGCCGCTCTCCAAAGTTGAGTCAGTGTCGCACGTACGTCTTCAACTTAATATGGGCATAACTCGTGAATGGGTCCATGATTCAAGCGCAAGTTGGTCAAATCTTGTGCAGTAGTCAGAAACTGTCCATAATTGACGGGTAGCACACCCCCACAGCACAGTAGTATTCACCAATCTTACACGAAACGGTGTGATGGGTCATTCTCTCGCTGGCTACGCGCTCTCCAGGCGGTGAAGCCGGCCAAGGACCTCAAGACCTTCCTCGGTAGCTCCCTAGGGCACCACGGCCCGTTCCCTCCTGCCCGCCGGGACCTGGATAGTGGATGGGAGGTGAGACGGGTGCAGATATCGTTCGTCACCGCCCCCCTTGAATATTCCGGATGCGCTACGAACACCTCCCCAACGTGAGAGAAAATGCTTCGTTCGTTGCGTCAGTACACAGTGTTTGGTAGATGCTTCTCTTGGAAGACCACCGGCAATTTTTGCTCCACTGGTCTATTCAACCGTGGTCTCGCTTGTGCGCCCCAGGAAATTTTGCTGTGTGCTCCAGTCTTGTTTTTTTTTTTCGTGCGTCGGTGTGGCCCTGGCAACGCGGGCTTTACCCTTGCGTTCTCTGTTGATGAACGTGTCACGTGCACCGCATACATGGTATTCTTTCAAGACGCTGTGCGCTGTACAGGCAGCTAGCTGGGAAGGAGCTGCTTGGTTTACGACAGCCGCCGACATAAATTTACCATAGAAAATATGTAAACATAGCATGTGTTGGGTTGTCTGGTGGCAATACATAGATCAGACCAAGTTGCATCTACCGTTGTTTAAGAAGGCCCCGGTACCCTTCGCACGGTTGTGTGACAGCAGCGTCTATCCGAAACGGCTTGCTTCTCTGGCTGTTCAGGTTGAGGAGGTACCGCTGGACGGAGACAGCGCCGGCGGTTACTCCGTGGGAACTCTGGACAAGCCCACAACGAGGCTGTCGCAGTACGCCAGAGGGAAGACGGGAAACATGAACCCCTTCACTCCTGGCGGAGAGGTACTGCTGCACATGTAGATCGACGAAGATCTATGGAAGTCGTAGGAGTTGCTGTGTTGGAAGGAAGAGACTACCGCATGATGAGGGCACAGGCTTCCCTCGTTGTGGGGAGGCCCAGGTCGCAGTAGTCTTTACCCGCTACTAAGGGCTGGCGGTTTTCTTCGTTGAGATTTAGAGAGGAGAGGGTCTCAGAAGAGAGAGCAAAGACAGAGAGTGCCGCCGGAGGGGCGAGGGAGACCAAGCCCGAGGGTCTCGGATTCCCCAGCTCCGCAGGTGGCGCCAAGAGGGACGCATCCATAGTCGGGTTTCTTGCTGATCAACCATCAGTAAGATACTCCGTTCGGATTGTATCTTGGTCCTACTTTTGTATGTGCAACAATTGTTACAATTGTTACAGCACTTCTACACCTGTTATCCACAATGAGTCGAATTTTATTTTTAACTGAGTTGTGGGCTGCTTTGCAAGTACGGTTTCTCCAGAGGTGAACGACGCCTCGTGGTGTTGTAGTTGAAGGTGGTTATCAAATGGCTGGTTGATGAATCATGCACGATACAACAGCACGAGTTGGGGTGATCAGGGTTCCCACCTAGCAGCTGACGACTCACCACTGCTGCTGTTGACTGCTTCTGCACTGATTTGATGTGTCTCTTGCCACCTCCGTGACCGAGACTGCTTTCTCTCCGGTTGGACTCATCACCAGGTATCACTCATCGGTTTTTCGGTCTCCGTTTAGATGTTCTGCAAGCTTACCGTCTGTTCCCTGCTACGGTCTCGCCTGTCTGCTGTGTGTTTGACTGTTTTGAGTAGGACTTGCCCTACGCGGGTGCTGAAGGTGGCGCCGGACAGCGCGTGAAGAACACGGCCTTCTCAGCCAAACCCGCGCAGCAACACGACTACATGTCCGATCTGGCCGTTGCGGAGAGCGTCGCTGCGCTGGGTGAGTCGTGCCGCACTCCAGATACTCTTGCCGGCAGAACAAGGAGTTGTAGCAGCAGCACTACTGCGTCGTCGTCGAGCTCTGAGGCGACTCTGGTGGCCAGCCAGCCCTATTGCCAGTCCCGACCCCCACACACACCTCGGAATAGCCAGGAGAGGATGGTAGCTATAACTGGGGTGAAGAAGTGAACTGAACAGGCGGGGGTTGATATCGATAGGATAGATAGGATTAAAAATATTTTGAGCCACCTTGGCAAAGTACTGTATGAAGGAACGATTTGCCGTCAGTGATCGGTCCTGTAGGAAGAATGTTCCGTCCTCTCGAGTACACGTGGTCAATGGTCTAACAACAAAGGCAAGCGAAACATGAGAGTACGCCCCCCACCCCCACCCCCCACCCCCCTACTTTTCTCCTGTAGACCCGGATTCACAGATCCCTCTCCTTTCAGTTCCCCCGAACGTGTCGTTCTCGACGGGGCTCACGGCGGACCACGTGGCCGAGGGGGCTCCTCTGTGGGCAGGGCAAGCACGCCGACGGAGAATCGTGGACGCCAAGGCTCGCGCTGAGAGTGCTGGCGCTGGTGAAGGGGCTAGCGGCACTGGTGGTGGCGGCGAGGCAGAGGCAGAGGAGCTTCCACCCCCGCCGAAGATCGGAGGCGCGCCCAAGGCCACGTCTAAGCCTTCAGGCCCCCAGAGAATGCAGGTGGGCTCAACGCAATGAACGCATGGAAGAACCGAGTACCATTATAATGTATTGATACCTTTCCGCCTTGGGAGTACGGAATGTCGTTCGACGTCTGAAGGGGCCGAGCAGACTCACAGCTTGCCAACTTGTTTTCGCTTGGGATAGCATAGTACCGGGTATACCCTTGATTCTGGGAGAACCGCAGGGGTTGAGTTGCGGGTCGCTGCGATCGGTAAACGCGCATGTACACTACGGACGACGCCCAGGGTTGCGAACCTTGTAGGTTTGATGTAGATTGTTTTGTTTTTTCCGGGCTCTTGAAGCTGAAAACATGAAGCAGCAGCCAGAGTCGGGTCTTCTCGAGGGTTGTTGAGGATCTACGGCTCCGTCTTCGTTGCCCGTTTGCTCCGCTGTTATGTTGGTTCGCGAGTGTTCATTTGCCGCGGAATGGTCGTCCTCTGGGGACGAGGTCCGATGCATGCCGTGCTATCGTTGCACCATAGATAGCTGCGAGAATGTAGAAGTGTAGCCCACATCTTGATCGTGCTCGAAGAGAAATGGCCTTGGTACGTATCCGTCTATTTTGTTTTTGGTGACACATGTGAGTGATGGAGCCGCGTGCATATAATTAGCCCGTCAAGTCTTGGCGAGAGGGTAACTTGTGCATGCTTTCACTTCGCCACAGGCCCCGAAAGCACGCCCAGGCGCGGAGGGCAGCACGATCGACTTCAGCTCTCTCTTCGCCGAGCTGGACAGCGATCTCAGCAGCGAGGAGGGCAGTGAAGGAAGCGACGACGGCAGCGAGGGCAGTGACCACGGCGACGGAAAAGCCGTAGACGCGCACACAGGCATGCGGCTTGATACAGGCGCAAGGAGCGGCGCAGCAGGGCGAGTGAGAGTGTGGAGGCGGTTCAGGGTTGCTAGAGGTCCTCTGTGGCGGGGCTTTGTTGATTCATCTCTCATCTATAGGCTGTGTGTTGAGTGGGATTTGTTTGGTGCCTGCCTTATGACTATGGTGTAATAGTGTGCTCGAATGGTATATTAGTGTGCTCGCATTGGTTTCGGTGCGCGGTTTAAGGGTGGAACGTGTTGTGTGTTGTGCGTCAGGCGCAAAAGCGCTTGTGTGTCGTTTATCTACATTTTTCGTCGACGTTTGGTGCCGACCAAGCCTGTGTTGAACTGGACAGTCCATAGTTGAGCCCATTTGTTCCGTGCCTTGTGGCTGTGGATAAGCAATTGTAAGCCATGCCTTGTTTGTGTGTGAATCGCCTGTCTTATCAGTTGATAGTTCGTTGATTGTTTGCTCTGTTTGTTACAGAGGGCTTTCTCAGGAGCGCTTGGAATCGGGACTAGAGGTGCTATCGCTGTCGACGTCCGGTGGAACGAAAGAAGGAGACGGAGAAGACCAAGGAAATGAGGCACCTTTGGATTCTCTCCTGTCGTCGGCGACACAGGGTGGAGGGCTGGGAAGGCCGCCCACTGTTCACCAGGTGGGCAGTCACAGGAATGTCCCTGTAGTACGATGGCACCGCAGGCTTTTCTCTTGTTTTGTGTATTTCGCGCTCTGAGATTCAGTGTAGTAGAGAAACTTTCGCCATGAGCGATTTGCTCAACATATACTAGCTAGGCCCCGACCTGCCGAAGCACTCAGTTAACAGAACCAATGCTTGTCGCGTGCACGCACGTGCAACACGCCTGCTGGCCCTGTGTCTTCAGCGATCCATGACGGAGCACCTCCTCAAGACCCCCGACGAGCGCAAGCGGCCGGCCCTCTCCGCATCAACGTCCGCGTCGACGAAAGGCTCCTTCGCCCTCGCCGCCGACAAGCCCACAGGGGGCGGTGGAGGTTCCGCTGCGAAGAACAGCGGCGGCGGCGGCGGCGGCGGCGGCGGTGTCAAGTGGGCTGTCACCGAGCTGCTGGACGTGTCGGACTTCGACGCTCTCGTGCCTCGCCCGGCACACCGGTTCCCTTTCACCCTGGACGGTTTCCAGAAGCAGGCTGTGGCTAGGTTAGAGGTGAGAGCTTGCGTGCGTATGTATGTGTGCCAAGGCGGTGTATGGTATTAGTGTTCTTGGTCTGGCACGTTCTTGTTTTTGTGGAAACCAGAAACAAGGAGGGATTGTAGGCATGTCTCGCTTCACCGGGTGTCGTTTGCGTGGGGCGATGATCGTATTTATGTTTTTTGTTTTTTCCAAGTGGATGAAAAGGTGCGCGGGGGCGGGCGGAACTGATTGCTCACGTAGGTGCTCGTTTCGGCGTGTAGGTGCTCATTTCAGCTTGGCCCCGGGTTTTTATCATCCGTTGGTGGGTTGAGCTTTGCACTCGTTTGTGAAGGTGGGATGCGATTGGCCGTACATACTTCGCGTGCCCACCCTTCTGGGTACAGGTACTGTGTCGCCAAAATCTCGCGGAAGTTCGGAGACGATTGCGGGCAGGTGCTCGCCTTCCCCCCCCCCGCGTGTCTTGCCACGTTACCTGTTGCCTTTTCGCTGATGGATACCGTCATCCAGACACTCCTTCTTCCGTATTGCATCAGCCAGCGAATTACCCCCCTCGATGTGGCCATATCAAATCCTTTCTTTCGCACCCACGGCCGGTATTATATTCATTCACTGAGTGCTCGTCGCTGAGCTGAGCGCTGTTGGTTGTTTCCGGCCGTGTCGATTACATCCAATCATCGTTATCACTGCCAGCGAGCGGAGTGCGTGTTTGTGTCGGCCCACACCTCGGCGGGAAAGACGGTCGTGGCGGAGTACGCCATTGCCATGGCGCAGCAGCACATGACCCGAGCCATCTACACCAGCCCGATCAAGGCCCTCTCCAACCAGAAGTACAGAGACTTCAAGGTTGGTGGCTCTTCTTGTTTAAGGCTTGGGTGAAGGGCGAGGGGGGGGGGGGGGTGACCGACCGACGTCCTCGCTCGCGAACTAACGAAGGAAGACCTTGACACTCACGGTGTCTTGTTCGTTCTCGGGGGCCCTAGTGCGGTGGTACAACTCAGCGGGGAACGATGGACGCGGTGTTTTTTCTGTACAGCGTTTGGTTTTTTGTGCACGGGGAGCTTGTAGTTTTGCGGGTGTAGGGTTGGTTGAACGAGACGTGAGCGATTCGTCCATCGGTATTCGTGTGCGGTACCAAACGGGCTGCTGTTTGGTGGGACCGTTTTGGTACGGCAGGGTCGTACCGTCCTTTCGTCCTATTTATATTTTTCTCAACCAGCTTCCTCTTAGGCATGTTAGTCCTGTTTCGAGGTTTTTGTTCGCTTCTCGCAAGACTTACTTCCCTTTTGCTTGAGAATATCTTTTGTCGTATTATCTTTAATTGTGTGTTTTGTTCCCTTGGACTGGACTGTCAAGACTCGGTTCGGAGACGTGGGTCTCATCACGGGAGACGTGTCGATCAACCCAGAGGCTTCCTGCCTCATCATGACGACCGAGATTCTCCGGTCGATGCTCTACAGGGGGGCCGACCTCATTCGGGATATCGAGTGGGTTATCTTCGACGAGGTACAGCAGTACGCGCTGGCTGGCTGGTTGTTGGTTAAACACTCTGCACCACAGCCTGTGGTTGTAGGAACGGAGCGCACGTCGTGTGTTTCTTTTGTTGACTCGTTCCGCCACCAACGGCCGGTAGGTTGTGTGCCACCGTAGCAGCCTGTGTGTGTACACACACAGTTGTTGTTCTGGACCTTGCACACAGTTGTTGTTCTGGCCTTGCACACAGTTGTTGTTCTGGACCTTGCACACAGTTGTTGTTCTGGCCTTGCACACAGTTGTTGTTCTGGACCTTGTTACCTTCCTATTTGGCGGTTCTGGTCTGGTGTACTGGATGGTGAGATTGGTAGCTGCCTTCTCCACGATAGTACTGCTGTGTGTGTTGGAGGTTGCTACGATCCTCGTAGGAATCTTGTTCGCCCAAATGGTGGTATCCATTGTCGCTGGTCATACGGCCGTGTCACGTACCACCTCACTCTGTGCAGCTGCTGCTGTGTTGTGTCGTCGATGATGCCGTGTAACCTACCCGAAGGTGCACTACGTTAACGACTCGGAGAGAGGCGTGGTGTGGGAGGAGGTGATCATCATGCTGCCGGAGCACGCCAACATGATCTTCCTCTCGGCTACGACTCCCAACACCGTGGAGTTCTGCGACTGGATAGGCCGCACCAAGCGCAAGCCGGTGAGAACCTTGGAACGTGATGCATGACATACCCGTCGAACTCCAGCTTGCGGCAAGAGCAAATGTTATTTGTGAGCGGTGCGTGGACCGAGTGCAGGCTACACACCTATCGTAGCAGGTGTTCGCTGGCCTCTTACAATTTATTGTTACATATTCGGCGACGCTGATTGGTTCTGCGTGCCCGCCTGTGTCGGAATGCATCATGACTCAGCGATGTAACACGTGCGTGTCTGTGTGTGTTTGTGCTTGGTTATCCAACGCTGTAGGTCCACGTGATCACGACAACGTATCGACCAGTTCCGCTGGAGCACAACCTCTTGGCGGGGAACGAGCTGCACCCGGTGAGAGCAACCTTAACGTTGCCACCCCCCACCCACCACCAAGGGTTGTTTTTCCCACCGCAAGGGTGCTGTGTCCACTCGGTGGCCATCAAGGCATTCCGGTAGGAGCCAAACCGTTGTTGGTCCACTGGAATGTCTGCTGCGCTTGCACCACGTAATTCACAACGTTGGACCTTCGGGCGGGCAGAGCTGCCCAGCTAGCTAGGTTTAGATAAGTGTGTAGTGTGACATGCGTATTTTCGGCGAGTGGGAGGAAAGGGTGGACTATATTGCGCTGGCGGTTCGCGAAGACTTCTTTGTCTGGTTGGACCGATGTGCTCCCTTCGTGGGTCTGGCGGCTTCCCCTGCCTATATTTTGCTGCGACAGTAACGAACAATGATAATGCTGCTGTTTCGACAACAGTCACGTTTGTGTTGCGCAGCTTGTCGGTCTGCCTGAAAGCGCGTGCTTTAACAATGAAAGGATAAGGTTCGTCTAAGTGTGTTTACCGGGTGCCACCACCCCCCGTCACTCATACACCCTCCTCTTAGATCATGGACAACTTTGGCAAGTTCGAGTCGAACGGGTACAACGCAGCCGCCGCGATGCTAATGAGCAAGGAGGACAAGAAGGCGGCAGCGGGACGGGGAGGCCAACGGGGAGGGGGGGGGCGGGGTGGGAGGGGCGGAGGCAGGGGCGGAGGGGGCGGGAGGGGGGGCAGGGGCGGGAGGGGGGGTGGGCAAGGAAGCAGGTGAGGTGCACGGAGCTCGCAATTGCCGCCGCTATATTTTGTCCGTTTTTGTAGTTGATCGTTGACGGTAAGAAACGCCGTGAAGCACCACTGCTGTCGCAGGCGTCCAGTTTGGTTCGGTCGATCGTGCGCTCGCTTTTGCTGTGGGAAGACAAATCATTTGCATAACTTGGTGTGGGTTGTTTTCATGGTCGGTTGTTGACTGCCGCTAACTGCTGCCGTTGTGTTTCTGTTCTGTCTTCAGGGCTCAGTGGCAGAGCTTGATCAAGAAGCTGGAGAAAGACGGGCTTCTGCCCGTGGTGGTGTTCTCGTTCAGCAAGAAGAAGTGCCAGGAGTGTGCCGAGGGGCTCAGCAGCGTCACGCTCACCACCGCCAAGTCAGTTTCACGCCAACAGCAGTAACACCTGCTGTGCGTATCACGTATCACGTATCACGTATCACGTATCACGTATCAATAATGCTGACTCACTGTAAGTAGCGTTTTGCTCACGCAACTTTTTGCTTCACAGGTGACAGTTTGGGATCCAACCAGATTGTGTTGGTGTACCGTTGCCGACGGGATGAGCAGAGCGATCTGTTGGCAAAGCACGCGCGCCGTCACAATCCAGCCATCCAGTTCTAACTGCTGTGCTCCCGCTGGGGCTCTCTTAGCTGACTGACAAAAGGGACGGTCGTCTAAAGCTTTATTCCTGGCCGGTCTGTTTCCGCTCCTGTGCGCTCTGCTGTTGTTTTTGTGTCTGAAAAGGGAGAAGAGTGAGATACACCTCTTCTGTGCTACGGCAGTGAAACGATTGCAAGATCAAGACGCGCAACTACCTCAGGTGTGGTGTGGAGAAGTGGTGGGGCTTGCGTGCCACCGCACACACACGCAACACTTTCTGTTGTTATTTTACGGTTGTTACTCACACGCAACAGCTTACTGCTGTTGTGGACGCTTGAAGGCACTCGGATGGTGCATGCGTAAGCCGAAGCGAATTGTCACTTGCGATGCGATGGTTGACCTAGATCCGATAGGATTAAATGTGAAAATGCTCTGGTGCACCCGTCGAATACGTGTGAGCGAGGGGGTGATGATGTGGCTCTGGAATGCTGCGCCTGGAGGAGGATCATTCACCGTGATGGCCATGATGTTTGCAGGTGCTCAATCTCAAGGAAATGCTGTCTCGAGGCATCGGCGTGCACCACGGTGGGCTGCTCCCCATCCTCAAGGCAAGTTCTGTCTGTAAATCATGCTGTTCATGCGTTATATAGCCTACACCCAACTGCTTGCTCTACATGTAAGTCGTGGGAGCCGACCGCTAAATCACTTTTGCGATTTCAACGTCCTTTCACGGATAGCAAAATGCTTCTCGGTGGGCATCCTCTCTGTACGGTGTTTTACTGGCGGTGCAGCAAGCAGTGCACAGTGCACAGGGTGCATGTTGTCTGAAGGGGATGTTGCACCGGCGTTTTGCATGTGATCACCGCTATTCGTTGTTTTCGATGATATCGTCTTTTTGTTTTGAGGGGTGTTTCATCACATCATACCTTCACATCCCCCCTCACACACCCCACACACACCACACCCCTTGCAAAAACAACAACAGGAGATTGTGGAGATTTGCTTCAGCCGGGGATTGGTGAAGGTCTTGTTTGCTACCGAGACGTTTGCCATGGGAGTCAACATGCCCGCCAGAACCGTCGTGTTCAACGGAACCAGGAAGCACGACGGGAAAGATTTCAGGTACAATCTCATCATCATCACGATGATATGGATGTCCCTGGTTTGCTGAAGCAGAGGGAGGCTTGGTGATGAAAGGATGTCCGTGCTTTGGTGAAGCTGCTTTGCTGAAGCTGCTTTGCTGAAGCTGCTTTGCTGAAGCAGAAGGCGGCTTGCCGCCGAACGCAACAGCAGCTTCTCCGTTGAGGCTGACCGAGCGGCTCGATTTGCCGTTTTTCAGGCCGGGGCTTTGTTAGCTTTGTGTTCGTTACGTTACAGAACGGAGTTGCTTCGCCGCATGATATGTGTCACACCTCATGAACGCAGCGATGGAGAGACATTCGAGATGGCATTGGGCTTTCTACTTATAACGGAGCGATAGTTGTGATCAGGGAGTTGGTTTGGTCGACGTTGCTTGCGAGCAAGACGTTGAACCGGCGGAGCTGGCCGGATCCGCCGAGAGCTGTGATTTTGAACGTCGTACAAAGATGGGGGTTATGTGGCGATGAGTGGTCACGAGTTTCGTGCTGTTGTTGATGGCGCTTCCCGACTTGCCGAAGCGTCCCACATGTGTTCCACGTTACCCTGTGTTCGTGCCGTGTTCCCACCCTCCCTGGGTTTTCTTGCTTTGATCTAACTTTCCCTTTGCGCCGCCCATGATACCATATTTCCGCACCGCAACGGCACAACACTCCAAATTGGATTGAAATGGGATGGAATGGAATGTGAATGTGAACAGGGACCTCCTTCCTGGAGAGTACACTCAGATGGCTGGGCGAGCCGGTAGAAGAGGTCTAGACAAGGTCGGGACCGTCATCATCACCTGCTGGAGTGAGCCTCCTCCGCTGGTCAACCTAAAGGCATGTACTCCGTATCATAGAAACGTGTGTACGTTAACTACCGGGACGGCCGGCATTGCAGCACAGCACTGGAGCGGGGATGCGATCCATGCACAGCTACGTCGTTCCGTCTCGAATGACTCGGCGCCCGTATTTTGTCCGCTTCTTGTGGACGTTTTGCGTGCCTTGTTTGAACCTCAACGGTCGTTGCTGTTTTTGTGGTTTTGTTGTTGCGCAGTGGAAGGAAGCAGCACGTCAAGGTAGCGGAATCAATTATTTGAGACACATACACACACACAAGCACGTGTGCAGTGAAGCCTTTGTGTGGCAAGACAAGACAGTGTTTTTTGGTGGTGGTGAGGCGAGCTTGAAGTCGAGAGGCGAGCGGGAATTTCAATGAAGGACAAGGTATTCTCGTTCGAGGTGTAGTAAATAGGTGCGGTGGGTACCATGCCGTGCCACTTCTTACGTTGTACGCGAGGTTTCAGCCGGCGCTAATAGCAGCGTCGCGCAAAGCAACGTCAGCAGGCACACGAGGCTGTTTGTCGTGCTAACACGCTGATCGTGACCACGATGCTGCTGCTGCTGCTTCTGCTGCTGCTACTCACGGTGACGGCGATACAGATGATGCTCACTGGTGCTGCTACGAAGCTCGAGAGCCAGTTCCGGCTGAAGTGGAACATGATTCTCAACTTGCTACGGGTGGAAGACATGTGAGATTTTTTCACCTCCTGCTGGGACACGTTTTCATGGATTATAACTCACCAAGTGCTTTCCCTCTCGAAAATGTTCCGGAGTGACGGTGAAATCGGAAAGCTATCTGAAGGAAAGAAGATGGGTGAAAATGAGTAAGGAAATGCACTCACTCTGCCTCACAGAGAGAGGAGGCCAGACAACAAGGCACGGCCGATGATACCCTTCCGTACTTTGCCACAAATCACCTGCTGTGCGCGTTTGGTCCGTGTGCATGGCCATCCGCCCCTTGCCTCTCGTGTTACCTCCCTCCCTCCCCATGCTGTCTCATCATCCGCATGTCTGTCTGTCTGTCTGTCTGTCTGTCTGTCTGTCAGGTCCGTGGAAGACATGATGAAGCGAAGCTTCAGCGAGTTCCGCACACAGAGGGAGCTGGGGGCGAAAGACTTGCCCAAGGTCATGAAGAAGTGCACGGACGCGCTCAACAACCTCAAGGCTACGGTACGGACGGTACAGCAGAGCCCGCGTCGGGAAACCACGCGGTTTAGCATGAAGTTATTTTTTTTGGTCGGGCGCGCGAACGTGACGGTTGCCGTGAAGGGCTGCAGAAAAGCAGCAGTACGTACCCCAGCGCCAACACCGCATTGTGTCCCTCTGAATGAACTACATGATGTAGTACTGTGTCACGTGGCGGGTGGGGGACGATCAGGCCGTCCTGTGTGCTATTCCCGTTGTGTTCTGTGACACTGCTGTTCGGAGGTCCTCGAGCGGGGGCGATGCCAAATGTTTTGCTTGCTCTCGACATGGCACGGGCGGGGGTAGAGGGTGCTGTCGCTTGGCTGCCGCCTTGTCGCGCACTGCTGTCCCCAGCACCGCTGTGCTGCTGCAGTATCGCGTAGCCTCCCTTTTGATGTGGATGTTGTCATCCTCGTCTTGACAGGCCGAGCCGTGCATCCGATCGGAGCAGTCGACGATAGAGGAGTACCAGCTCCTGAGCGCCATGGCCTCGGAGAGATCGAGCGACCTCCTGGACTACGCCATGAGGTAGGTAACTACTGCTTGGGCAGTTGGACACTTGGCTTTGTGTTTCGCCCGCAACATGAGGTGTGGTTGGTGCCATGTTGCAAGCAACTTCGGCGATGCCCGATATCGCCTTATCGGTTGTTGAGTTGTGTTGCGCCTCATGTACGACGCACCTACAGAAGGTTCATCGTCCAGAATCTCCACCACTGCTGTAGCATGAATGAAGTGCATTTCGAAGCCTGGGGCAATTGTGATTTGCCAACGCTTGATCGCCCACTTGTCGTCTAGCACCACCGTCCGTGCGCCTATTGCAAGACGTCGCTGCCTACAGAGAGGATTCGCTGCTCTTCAATTGTTGTTGCTTGGAGCGCCGCTGGCGAGAGAACGGCGTTCGCGGAAGTCGCAGCAGCTGTTGAGCGGGCTTTGCGGTAGCACGGACGTTCTTTGTTTTGCTCACCAGGCTGTGTGAGTGAGCTGCCAGCGATACAACCATTCGGAGGAGAATCAAAACGTTCGCTTGTCTGTCGCTGGACCCCTTTTTTTTGTTTTTGGCCACAGGAGCTCTAAGAACGCCCGGTCCGTGTTGGGGTCGAAACGAGGCCTGGTCATCACACACAAGAAGCTGGTCAACGCGCCTGCGGTGGTGCTGAGGGTAAGAGGAGAGCAGAAGAGAAGAACAGAGTAGAGAAGGTCGCCCTCGAGTGCTTCTTCATGACGCACACAATGATCAAGGTACAGAATCTTATCAGACGATGGTATGTGTATGCCTGCTGTGCTCAGGGGGAGACAGACCAAGGAGGCAAAAGCATGATCGCTCACCACTACGTAGGCACGTTAGTGTAGCCTTAGAATGAGAACTACCTCAGTCTCGTACCGCAAGCGTGTGGCAGCAATGCACAAACCGGTCGAGTCAAGAGCTATTGGTCACGTGGCGGACGCCGTCCAGTAGGTGTCTCAGGTGATTGTACTCGAGCGTACAGAGACAGACAGGCAGACAGGCAGACAGGCAGACAGAGACAGGAGCGATTTTTTCGTTTGGTTTCGCGGTTGTGATTGGCTTGGCGTGGCAGGGCCACGACGACCCCGGGGGGCGAGGGTCAACAGCGGCAACACAATCAGCTGGAGGTGCTCAGGACTTCTTGAGGGCAGCAAGAGCCCAGGCCCAGGTGGGTGGGATGATGGATGAGGCATGGCTAATCGAGACGATTGGATAGTTCAGAAACGGGGTGATGCTCACTTTTCCCTTCCGTGCTTTACAATGCGGAGCCTGTTTCAAGGGAGAGGTGGAACTGGATAGTTTTTTCGTTGTTGATGCTTTACATGCGTTTCAAGCGGGATGCATGTAGCATCTCCTGACCGCCAAGGTTTTCTCACTGTAGGTGTTCAAAGATTGGGTAGTACGTTCTACCTGAGACAAAGACAACCCTTCATTCGAGTAGACCTCCTGGCAACACTTTTGATTGAAGGCCCGATGGGAAGACGTTATCTTGGAAGCGTTGGACCCACGCGCAAGCAAGCGTTCAAAGGGCAGGAAGAACCGATCCTTAGCAGCACATTCTCCTTCCCGGAACCTGTCTCCTTGCCAAAGTATCAACGGGAGCGGGCTAAAGCTACCACCGAAGGAGCCTCCTAAGTGGTCACTAGCGTCGACAAGTAAGAGACCCTGAAAAGCAGTTTTTCTAAACGCGTCTTGGCGCTAGCTCCGAGGAACTGCTCTGCTTTGCAGGAGCAGTTATTCTCGCTTACCGCAGACCTTCCAGGTCTCCCCTCCCCCATTCCATTCCAAACCGTGTGGTACCGTGGTGTGCTGATCCCCTCGTTGCTGTCCTGTTGCCTCTGTTTCGTTCGCAGGGCTCGCTGCCAGGAGCAGTGCCGGCGGGGGAAGTGGAGATGAAGATGCTGGTTTTGGTCCTGTGCCACGAGGGCTTCGTCACGCCTGCTGAGGCTACCTCCGCTGACAAGGTACTGCAGTTTCTGTTTTACGTGGGCTTTAAGCCCGCCTGAGCTCTCAAAACTAGGCCACCCTTACGGGTGTTGTCAACGGGGGCTGGTGTTGGATGCTCCGTGGTACTTGCTTGCTCTCTTCGTGCTCGGAGTCGCGTCAACAACTTGTGGTAACCCAAAGCGCCAAAGTGTGTACGGAAAGACTTGTTGGGGAAGTTGACGTTGGCGCGATTGTGTTGTTGTTGTTGACCTCCCACGTTGATGTGTGTGGTGTGCCCGTGGATTTCTCTTTCTGCGAATCACGTGCTGGAGGTGTTGCGGGTTACAAGCACGACAGATACACCGTCACCCATCGTTCGCATCATGTTTGAGTATGTTAAGATGGACAGTACCCTTTGTACCTTGTCTGGGATGATGACCCCCAATCTCCCCGCCCTTATTTCGCGTGGAGCTCGATTCGATGTGAGTCCAGTGCACGACACCACAGATCGCAACAACGGCCCTTGTGCAGCCCGCTCCAGTGACCTAAGGCTTCCGTGTACTCAAACATGTTTCATATTTGTTGTGCAAGCGTCACCGTGTGCTGTTGGTAGCACGGCAGTGACACAAGAATAGTCTAGCTCCCCCCCCCCCCTCACGGCCCCCAGGTCATGGCCTTTAGAAGCGTTTTCCCGTTGTAGCCGCATTGAGACTGAAGTCCTCTCATCGGTCAACCGGTTAGCGCGGAAAACACGCACACACACACACACACCCACACGCATAGGGCGGTCGAAGCTATTTCAAACACACACACACACTTTCAACCGCACTTAAGACTGACGTCTTTTCATTGGTCAGCCGGTTAGCGCGGTCGATGCTAATAATAATAAAAAAAAAACACACACACACGCACACACACACACACACAGGTTGCCGCCGAGAGCGAGCCCATCGACTCCTTCGCAAGGCCGAGCGGTAACGTGGTGATGAAGCGCAAGGGTGACGACGACGGAGGGTGGGGAGGAAGGGCCGGTGGGGGTGGTGGGTGGGGCGGCAAGGCCGGGAAAGCATCCTCCGGGAGAGGAAGCGCTAAGGGCAAGGTGCTCAAGGCTGGCACCTACGGGGAGGCGGCGGGTCGCACGTTCGCCGTGCTAGAGGTGGGCGAGCTGCTGCTGTGTGTGCGAAATGTGTGTGAGTTTTTTTGTTACAGAACAGGTTTGCCTCAATCCGCGGATGAAGTGGAGGACGAAGGAACTGTTTTCTGGCGCGTCTGATTGTCTGTGTGTCCGCGTTTCCTCGTAGCACTCAGCGGTTTCGTTTGTGTTGTTTCTTGGAGACCCTTGGTGTATGGCAGGCAATGCCACGCCTTTTGTTAATGTTGGAATCCACCACAACACCGTCAGTCATGGGAATCCACCACAACACCGTCAGTGATGGGACATGCCCTGCTTGCACACCTAACAAGAGTGATGCGTTCAATCTGTTACGCCTGAGTGAGTGCCCGGGGCTCTGCGTTTCTTTGTCGAGTTTAATTCCGTTCTGTTTCGCGTGTGTGAACTGATGGAAAAGATCGCTCCAAACCTGGGCATGAGTTGCCTCAGATGGCAGTGCCTGATCGCGCCTCCTGGGGTAGTTGAACGCGACCCAGTTGGTTGTACGTGCAATATTGTAGCAGGTCTCTCTCACCGTTTCTGTAGCTCTGAGGTAGCCGTGCTAGAGAACAGAATTCATCTTGAGCTCATTTTTGTTGCTGTCTTATTTAGCAGTTCTGGATAGCCTTGCTTCAGTACGTAGTTCACTTGAGCTCAATCCTGTTGCTGTTGTTGCTTTTGTCGGCGTGCTTAGGTGGGACTGGGCGACATCGTCAGCCTGGCGAAGGCGGTGAAGAAGCTTAACGCGGAGGACGTGCTTGGAGGAGACAGCACCGCACTGGCCTCTGCCGTCAAGGTCGGTCGAGTCCCCGGGGGGGATTGATTCTCGAGATCCCCGTTTTGATATTCTTCTCTCGGTTTTCGTCTCTTCCTCTGGGCAATTTTTTCTTTCCTTTCCCGGCTCTGCGCATTGTTAACATGTGTCCCAAGCGTTTGCAGAGAATCCAGTAGATAGCCCGTCGTTCTTCGTGCTTGTCGCAGTTAAAGAACATAAAGAACAAACACGCTTTTGGAGCATTTCTATTAGCACAATGTCTTACCGCTTGGTTTTCTTGTTCTAGGTGCGGAAAGTATAAGGTATAGGTAGACTGGCGCCGTAAGGCACGTACGCCAACACACAATATTCTCCCCTCTTTGCGGAAGACACTCGGCCACCACCTAGCCATCATCGTTTTCCGACACGTCGGTGGGCAGGTCGATGCCCTGACCTTGCTCCCCCCGCTCTTAACCGCTTGCTGCTATCTCTCTCTGCCACGCCCGGTGTGCGGTTGGGTCTCTCTCGGGTGCACGTCTCGTTTCCTTGTGGTGCCGACGGCGAGAGAAGACGTTGGTGGAGATGGAGAGCACCCTCCCGTCTGAACGCGACCCCAAGGGAACGTTCACGCCCGTAAATCTGGCCAACGAGCTCAAGGTTCAGGTAGGCGTGGTTGGCTTCGAAGGTGTAGCTCCGCCGTAGGTGACAAGGTGTCCTGTAGGGCACCAAATACCTGTAAAAGGTTGGTATATATTAGCTGCCTTTGTGGTGCTAACTCTCCAAGTACACATGCGTTTTGCCTGTTGACTCGTGTTGGGGGCGCGAAGTTTGCCTTGGCGAATCAATCCCTTGCAAGCATTCCATCGCTGTTGGGTTTTCTTTTTATTGTTGGCGGCATTGTTTTACTCCGAAACGCGAAGTATTGTAGTCAGTCGTGAGCTATGAAGAAATAGCGGCACTCGAGATACGAAGGAGCATGTTTCGGGTTGTTCATAGGAGTACCACCAGTCTTCGTTTCTCACTCTCTTTTTTTTTTTTGTCTTCACTTAAATCAGCACTCACAGCATTTATGCCGTTTACTCCAACCCGTGGTCACACAGAAGGGTTCCTCTCCCTGAGGGATAGAGAAAAGTTCTGAAAGAGTTGAGCCGATGTGGTCTTGCTTTCTCTCGACTTTCCCTCGATGCACATACGGTACTAGGTTTTTGAAGTCCATACATTCGACGCCGTCGCTTTTGGTAACGGCAGTATCGTCAAAATGTGCACCAGCTAACGTTCTTGGGGCGCGCAACATGTTCGTTCGCATTTGCCTCGATCTTGTCCTGCTGATGATGGTCTTTTTTAGGAAATTGGCTTCAGGGAGAGTTCCGCAGAGCTGCTGAACGTGCTCGAAAGCCGCGCCGCATCGCAGTGCCACACTTGCCCCAAGCTGTCGGAGCAGTATCACCTGCAGCAAAAGTGAGAAGCGCGTGTGTGTTGTCGGTGGCAAGTGTAAGTGTTGGTTGGCCTCGGTACGTGCATGATGAAACGCTGTTTCTTCGTAAATACGGGCACCGGTATCCGAGACTCGCCACCACATTAGAAGATGCTAATTTTACCCCCGAGTTTCGTTTCTTATTAACGCATCTCTGTGGGGTAACCGGACATGGACTATATAGGTTTTAGTGTACTGGTAGGCTTCTTGACTGACCACGTGTTCTTGTGATTATCTTTTTATGATTTTCTTTTCATTGACCCCAGAGATGTATTTTCTCCTAGGTTCTTAGGTGGTGGCACGTCCTGTAGGGTTTGAGGCGACTTAGCGCTCGGGTTTTGGTCAGGTCCAGCTGGACCATCGCCTCGAGACACGTTCCTTTTCGTGCCTGCTCTGCACCCCACTGAAGGAGATGACGATTTTGTGCACTTTGGGTGGCAAGTGTCCCGTCTGATCCATGCTGCGGTCGCACCTTGTCAAGATCACCGTGCTTGCTGTATGGGTTGGGTGGGTTAGGTGGCAGTCACTGCGTTCTCCGGGGGCCGGCGTGAGGTAGATAGGTCATTCGTGGCTCTATGGCGTCGTTTCTTGTCATCCCTCACCATACCGTGCAATTCTCTGTCTACCGTACATTGTATGCGTACTTGTAGGCGGGATAAACTCGAGAGGAGAATCGAGCTTCTGGGGCACGCCTTGAGCAGCGAGGCGCTGTCGCTTTTCCCTGACTTCCAGCAGCGCTTGGGAGTGCTCAGGAGGTGCGATGTGACATCCAGACTCCGCTTCGTCGGAGACGAGTAGGGTCGCGTGGCTATGTTTGGGAGTTTTGGTGACACGTCTGGGTTATCTATATACAGTATCTAGCACGGACTTTTGAGTTGAAGCCTACTGAATCAAACTCACAGCATACAGAACGCCGCTCAGTACGTGGTGCGTGCCAGGGCTAATCTAATAGGCTTTGGAAGCCACTGTCAATGCATGTCGAAGACTTGGGGGATCCGAGACGCAAGCGACAGCCGTCTGTTCCCAAGTCTTGTTACCTTGAATCTGCTGCTACCACACACTCGCGATTGTTCCTCTTACCTGTCATGGTCTGCATGCAGCCTGGGCTACGTGGAGGGAAACACCGTGCAGCTCAAGGGGAGAGTCGCGTGTGAGATCAACACGTGTGACGAGCTGATTGCCACGGAGATGGTGTTCGAAAATGTTTTGGAGAGCCTCGACCCCCCCGAGATCGCAGGTCAGTCGTTCGGTCGGTTCACGCCCGTACCATACTATACTATGGTATCAAGACCACTCAATCATGCGGTACGCCCCGCTTGTTTTGGAGACGAAAACGTCGCAGTTCATCGCACTGCCACATTATCTCGTCCGCATGGCCAAACGGTGCGAGTGTCACCGTCAACTTGCACCCGCCTTCGACCCCCGAAGCGTTTTGCAGGGTACACAAACTTTTGTTTGAACCGAGGTTTACCCAAGTGCTGCCCCACTCGGCTCGAAATGATAGTGTTGCATGCATACAAAGGGACCGGTTTTTACGAGAGGAACTATCCGTGTGACCTCATGAAGAGCTAGCTCCTATCTCCCGTAGCTCACGGCCCCACAGCGGTTTGCCTCGGAAGGGATGTTGTCTCTGAGCCATTTGTATGTAAATAGTATTCGCGACCGCCTTCGCGAGAAAATATGTTCACAAGGAAGTAGAACAGGGAGGGGGTACGCAGACCGTATCCCAAACCCTACCCCTAACCCAACTTCCCCGATTGCATGCTCTATCCAACATGCTTACTTAGTTGAAGAGCCTTGCGAAGGCTACTGAATTAATCGTGCCTCCCTGTAGCTAGTCCTCCCTCCTACATAGATAGATACACTGACCTGCCAGTTTCGACCTTGCCTCGCTGTTCTGTTGTCCCTGCTCATGCTTGGATTTCGCCTGGACGCACCAGGAATCTTGTCGGCGCTGATTTTCCAGGAGAAGACGCAGAACGAGCCTCCCCTGACGGACAGGCTGCAGACCGCTGTTGCTCAGGCGCGCAGATGTACCGTAGGCGTAAATGTGATACACCCCCATCGAGGGTTGAAGAGCTCGTGTGTGTTGAGTGACGAAAGTCACCAGCTTGAAACGAACGTAATTGTGATGGGATGAGGGTATGGTCGTCCTTGGTCGCGAGTGATCCTGTTTCTCACTCAACCGGGACGTCCTTGATGATTGCATCTCAACCACTATGTTGACTTCGTACTCTCCCACCGAGTACATTTCGTCTTGAGCCTCTCTCTCTCTCTCTCTCTCTCTCTCTCTCTCTCTCTCTCTCCCTCTTGGCGAGGCAGGTGTTGAAGATCGCCCGCAGCCTCGGAAGGCTGCAACGCGACCATGGCTTGCCGGTAGACCCCGAGGAGAACATCAAGCTCAACCTTAACTTGGGCCTGGTGGACGTGGTCTACGAGTGGGCCAGAGGGGTACCATTCTGCGAGATAACACAGGTGCGCGTCCTCCAGAGTACATACATGTACGGCATCCGCGTGGTTATCTCGGGTTGGTTGCTTCTGTCCAAGGAAGCTGTGTTTTCCGCAACGACTACCGCACGACGGCATGTACCTTCGCGGGGAAGCAAATTCAAAGAGTTGCCGAGCGAACGGGGAAACAAGAAACGACAAGCAAAAAGGCCTGGGGGGGGGGAGCTAGTTCACTTACCGGCAGCCAAAAAGGCCACGTATTAACCAAGTTCAGTTGACCGAGATTTACCGAGATCGGTTTGCTGAAGCTGATAAACTCGAACTTGTAAGAAGGCGGGTTCAAAATTTGTGGGAAATCCGAAAACGCCCAAAGAGATATCTACATGAGCGAGAAACGAGAAATAATGACAATGGGTGTGTTTTTTCACGTGACCTCGTCGTCAGATCACTCTGGTCCAAGAAGGCTCTGTCGTCCGTGCCATCACCCGCTTGGACGAGTTATGCCGTGAGGTGAGCGGAAGAAAAATGATTCAGAAATCTGTGGCTTGGTGACGGCATTCGCGACGTAGAATCGCCTGGATTGATACGGGCGCACATGGGCCGTCTGTCTTATCCTACTTGCCTCCGGGGCGCCGCGCATACTCAACTGCAGTCTCTTGCTCTTCTCCGGTTGCCCTGGCGGGTTCCATTTACGGTCTGTTCGTGACTCTTTAGGCCTGACCGTATGTTGAACCATAGATCCGCTCACGGGATGTGTCACACACAGTGGCCGTCCCAACCCAACCCTAACCCTCACCCACGACCAACGCACGGTCTGTTTAGCGGCCGCGAACTGGGCGAGAACGCGGCGCAGCCGCGTACTCGGAATGCGGACCGGAGAGAGCGCGGTGGAGAGGAATCGACCGCTCGTAGAACCAACGCTCGACCAATCAGAGGGCGAAAAGCCCGTACATGGGAAGAGTCACTGACAGACGGTAAAAACTACTGCCCGGTGGTATGTTGAATGTTTTTTGATGGCAGGTGCGGAACGCGGCTCGGGTTATCGGCGACCCCACGCTCTACAGGAAGATGGAGGCGACGAGCCAGCTCATCAAGCGTGATATCGTTTTCGCGGCATCCCTGTACGTGACGTGACGTGTCGTGTCGTCATGTGATGTGACCGGCCCGCACTTGTCCGGGATATACTGTAGTTGCCGAGCAAGAGCTTCACGTGCTCTACAACGGCAGCAAAGACTGCCACCAATGTTGACCTTGTTCAGGTTACGCAGAAGTTCGATTCGAGTGTTAACTCGCCGCCAAGTGCTGGGAAGGACCTCAAGTCATGTTTCGCGTACGTTTGTTGCTTCCCTGCGGAGACATCCAGCTATCTATATAGCGAAGCGTAGGTTCACAAGCTCCGCCCGTTATGTCTCTCAAGACAAACGCTACATGACGTAAAACAACCAAATGCTTGCGACTTGTTGGCGATTTAAATAGGCTCGCAGCCATGGATATCTCTCGGAAGATGGGAGAAAACGGCGGTTGAATGCTTACGGTCTTCAAGTGAAGCATAGCTTCAACTCGTCGTCAAATAATCAGCAATCAACGAATTTTGTAATGGACTAGTTGAGGCCTTGCAAAAATGTGGTTATTTCCTTTACACTCTGAATCAAGACCATATTTTCACACACACACACAAGAATCCAAACGTACGTGAGGTGCCGACAATATCCACCGCAGCAAAATCCGGAGTTGTGCAGCACACGCAGGTCAACGTAGGTGGGGCCCATATACGTAGGACTACGTCCTCTCATATCACACCGTACGGCTCTCACAAACAACAGAGGCTCAGTCATCAATCCCATGTTTCACCAACGCGAAACGACAGTATTGCACCACAACAACGTTCTCGGCCGATGCCACACACACCCATCACCAGCCAGGAATATTTCGTATTGATGCCCCCATACACTTGCAACACATGGCAACAGCATGTTGACCCTCTTTCTTCTTGCCCTTCACACTGTTATTCTCACGCGACAAGATGGCTAGTGGGTGAACTGGCGCCTGTCTCCTGGTGCCTTCTGGCCGTAAGGGTTCGTGGCACTGAAAGAGTGCCCGCCGCCCCCGACAGCCATTTTTCTTCGGCCTTGGTCGCGCTCCTTGCCTCCTCCTCGACCCTTCTGGCCCCTTGCGCTCAGCTTTAGGTCCACCTGTCGCAACAACGTTGGTGGCGACAAAAGCACAATGTCATCGTGGCAAAGTTAGGAGAGGCCTTTGCAAAACAGGGCACAAGCTGTCGCAAGCAAGAACCATGGCAAAATAATATACCAGGTACATGCCATACATGGACACCGCAGAAAAAAACAACACGTGGTGCGCCTCAAGGAACTAACAAGGGTACCTACATCACATACGATCCAACGCGTATTCGCAGCGCATATCGTGGGACAGGTGAAACGCGAGGATCAGGTCGTGCCGCACATATAAGAGTACGTCTTGGAAGAACTGCTACGGCGACGCGAAGGCCGCTAGCGCTAAATATTTCTTTGATACGCGTGTGGTGAGGAGCAAAGAGGGCGATCTTTGACCGCCATGAACGATAGATAGGGCAGAGTTCAGCATGCGGCTCCAAATGCTATGCTTACCCTCGGGGGTACGGTGAAGCCGAACGCCCTCGCCACGGCTTGCAAGTCTAGCTCGTGGACATCGTAGATGTCTTTGAGAGAGTGTGACGAGTACGCCAGCAGGTAGGACCGGTATGCCTGAAACAAGGCAGTCGCAGAAAAAAACACAAGGGGGCAAACGGAGCATGGTGAAAATTGAACGTGTCATGGGAAGCTCGTGGTCTTGCCCGAACAAATGGAAGAACCTTTTCGAAACAGTTGCCCAAAACAACGCGCGATGGTGACGTGGCGCCCGCTTTCGTATCGATGGTGGCCAGCTTGGCACCATCAGCGACAGTCTCAAATGCAATTCCTCCGAGCGTCGTGCATTCAAAACGCACGACTCCCGAAACAGTTCCCGCTTGTGCCGCGCCGCACGCACAAATGGCTCCCAAATGCGCAAGACCGTCGTAGGACGTACTCGACGACGACCGGGTGACTCTCTCTCTCTCTCTCACCTCCCTGGCGGACTTGTTGAGGTAGTAGTTCTTCTCGATCAGACGGGAGAGCTGCGACTGAACGTTCGCCACCTTCTTCACCGGGAACTCGTACTCGTTCAGCTTGGCCTAGCAAAAACAAGGACGAAACGATCAACCAACATCCAAGGGTTGTTGACGGGTGATCAAAGAAAGGTCACCTGAGTCGCACAGGTTATACAAGTACGCTTTTGCCCTTTCGCCGTTCGACACCAACATACTTCACGTATTGCCATATGACGCACGTTGAGGTGCCCAATGGAAGCACGAGATACTCGAGGTGCGTACAACAAAAGAACGCTACAATGTACTCGTGCAACACAGAAAAAAAGAAAAGGAGATGGCAGCGAATCACTCACCTTGGCCGTCCGGAGATATCGCAGGAACCCCACCTCTTCAGGCAGCAAAAACAGCAGAGCTCTGCACGAACCATCAACAAGGGCAGCACAAGGCACAACGTCATCTAATTGCGGGATGGTGTTGTAGGGAGGGAAATCGGGTTGAATCCAGGACCAAGAGTAACATCCCGCACTCTCTCGAATGGGCCATCCTCTCCCACGGGGAACCAACCCAAACCTCTAAAGCACGCTCGGCTCTCTGTCTCTACCTGGTATCACCACGGCAAGGCACAAGGGTTCTCTCTCTCTGTCTCTGGAGCTATTGTATAGGGGCGTGTGCTTCACCTGCCCTTTCCGCTTTGTCCCCTTGCTGTTCGTCCCACCCTGTGGATGTACTCGGCGGTCTGGTCAGGAGGGTCGAACTGGATGATCCAGTCCACGGCCGGAATGTCCAGCCCACGGGCGGCCACGTCTGTGCAGAGCAGCACCCCCGTGTCCTGGAAAAATGAGTGCGAAGAAAACTGTGTCAAAATTTTGCTCGCCGTCCCGCGCGGCGTTAGTTTATTTATATGCATGCGCTCGCTGCCTTGGTGCTTGCCTTTGACCTTGCAGTCAACGCGAAGGTGGACCGTTCAACAACCGATTGGAAGGGCTAAGCATGTGCTTGACACATTGCGCCTGGTAACGCTCCAGATAGCGTTGTGACGGTGAGTATGATAAGCAGCACCACACCTCCTGTAGGCTTCACGACAAGCCCTCGCTTGCGCGTCCCGTGAAAAACATTCAATTGTAGTTTGCAACAGAGGTACATGCTACAGTTGCGGAGAGTAAACAAGTGCCAAGCGGTGGCCCTCCGGCGGGCTCACCTGCTTGCAGAACTGAAAGAAAGAAGTCGTTCGTTTCTGCTGCTTTTGCCGACCGTGGATGTCCATCACGGGCATGTCGATGTAGTTGAGTAGCTCCGAGTGGAACTTGACGGAGTTGCACGACGAAAAGAAGACCTGTACACCCCATCCAACAAAGGAGAAAAGCAAGAGATACAGCAGAGCGAGATACAGCAGAGCAGTACACACGACGGAGGTATATACACGAGAATCAGAGTGAGCTGGCACACAAGGTCACGGTCTGGTCACTGGTCACGAGAAACGCATCGGAGGATTACGTCCAGCTTGACATGAAATGGAGACCGCGCCCTGTGCCGATCGCTAAATTTACACATGACGGAATGACAGCATGAAACAGCAACTCAACCGCACAAAGTCCCCGTCTAGCGCGAAATACAGGACGAAACGCCCGTGCAGCGACTGCTTCAGGAGTCCATTCCTCGACAGCACGCACAATAATAGTGTGCATTTCGCGGGGGTAGACTCGTGTACAAACACGTTTTATTCGCGTCAGCCTGTGCTCACCATGATCTTCTTTTTGCGGTTCTTCTTGAGGAAGGTGAAGAGGAGGAGGAAGCGCTTATCGCTCGGGCACACGACGTAGCCCTGAGCATGACATCGGGAAAGTGCGGAAGATGGGGACGATAGAGAACAACAACAGTCGGGGGTGAAATCTCGAGTGGTGTGTTTTGACTGCACGTTCTCGACATGTGTCGGACGGCAGCTGAAGTTTCTGTCCCAACTCCTCTTTTCGGGGCTGGGAATCGAGCACTCTTCAGGCAGCGTGGCCTTCGCACCCAGGCTAAACGAACGCCTGAATGACGACTGGCCAAATTGCTGTACCGCTCAGAAAATCGCAAAACGTTCACTGGCTTCCGTTTTCACAACACAAAACACCAAAACATGTTGGTATTGTTGCTTCGCGACACGCGCCTAGTACTCTACGCACTACGACCACGACAAGCAAAGCAGGCATACAGCAGTGACAGTCTTCAGAGGCAGTGGACCGGAAGATGGAAAAAAAACTAACCTGCTCGAGCCCGTCAACGGTGCTCTCCTGCTCCGCGTCGTCCACGCCCACGTACACAGGCTTGTTCCGGATCGACAGTCGGGCCAGGTCCTCCACCTACAGGTAGAGGTGGTTTCATGCCGGCACCCACAAGTCAGCAGGCGAAACAAATCTTGACCCGACAAGTAGATGCCACCGTCTTCGCCATCTAGGATAGCCGAAATGTGAAAATGCGGTTTGGTACCAGGCTGCCTCCGTAACACGAGCACCTCTTGTACCTCAAAACTATGGCGAGAGCATAAGGAGAGGTAGGGATGGCATATAGCTGCTGTACCCCCGAAAACGGCATTTACCCGACACAAGAAAGTCGCCCATCAACTGCGTGCGTGACGAACAGAACTAACGCCGACACGACAGCGGGGCGTTGCTACTACAGCAGTTGCACCAATACATCGCATGGACTAAGCCATTCTCTATAAAAACCTGCCCGTGTGCAATCGATGTACCTTCTTGGTCTGCGTGGCGCTGAACAACATAGTTTGTCTCTCCTTCGGCAGAAGCTTGATGATCTGGTGCATTTCCTCCTCGAAACCTTGCTCCAAGATGCGGTCAGCCTCGTCGATGACCAGCATCTGCATGTTGCGGAACAAGAATCCCTTGGTGTTCTATTGAGGGGGGCAAGAGGCGGCGAACAGAGGAGGCATCATTGCACGCTGTAGAGTTGGTCAAGTCATGCAAGCTTGAACACAGTACACCTGAGCAGCAGAAACCTCGCTATTTTTCAAAAATAGGCCTTGGCATCAATATCTTTGTAAGAGCACGATTGTGTTCTAAATCAAACACTGCATCGCCGCAGTGGTAGGGGGAAAGAGACGATCAATGTTCATCCAAAATAGCGGTTTGGTACGAGACTGGGGCAATGGTAAATTCCAACAGAGGTACTCTAGAGCACACATGACATCATGGCAGCACCTGCAGATGGTCGAGAAGACGACCGGGCGTCACCACAAGGACGTTCACTCCCTTCACCAGTCGCTCAGCTTCAGCTGCCGGTATGGTAGAATGCCAGTGTTGGAGCGGAGAAAGGAGATAAGGTCGTTAAAGCCGGTCAGTCGTAGATCAAACAACACGAAATAACCAACCCGCGGTACAAGTGTTTCCTGGCACGGTATAATACTCCAAGCAATATCAAAATTGTCACGTCACAGGTTGATAATTCCTTAACAGAACACCCCCTCTCGGTCATTTGTCTTACAACTAAGGGATGCAAAACATGAGTACGCTCGCCGCCGCCCCACTCATACTGCCTGAGGGTTGAACATGCCCTCGGGTCGGGTCGCCAACACAACCATCGTGAGTATTAGCTGTGTACATGTGCTAAACGGTGAAGGTGTGACACCATTCCATCCCGCCTACGAAGACTGACCTCGGCGATTAGCCCCGCCGATCAGCAGGCCGTGGGTCTGCTTCAAATTTCCGTTTTCGATAACGTCCCTCAGCACTCCGTACGTCTGGAGCGACAGCTCCCGCGTGGGGCTGATGATGATGCACGCCGTGCCATTGCGGTGAGACCACTTGACTTTGTGGAGACACTGAGAACAAAAGAGGCATGTATATTTCAGAAATTAACGGAGAAGGTGCAGCGCGGTATACTTGTAGCACATCCAATGTAAGCACGAATACAAACGTCAACGTGGGTAGGCAAAAAAAATACCATGTTCGCATGTACAACACACAAAAGCATTTGGCGAGCGTGGACTGGCATACTGCGTAGCGCGCTTCGAACAGATGAGACAGCGTGCATTACAGACGTCACACAAGTTAAGAGTCTTCTCAGCACACGCCGTACACACGACTTGTTGACTACAATGTGCCCGCACGCGCCCGTACAAAGAGGCGATATTGACAAATCGTTGAGTGAACTGCGACTGTCTGGTTTATCACGGTCAAATGAAATGACCCAACGAGCACAATTCTGCAAGACATCACTAGAAGGCAAAATCTTGCCGAAGGCGATATACATTCTCGAGACTTGAGCGCAAAACCTATCGACCTAAGGTATAGCACAAGAATCGACGAGAGATTCAGTCTAATTAAGATTCTAACCAGGCGGCACCACCTGGGCCAATCCTCACCTCCAGTACTGGCACCAAGAAAGCTAGGGTCTTCCCCGATCCTGTCTTGGCAGCACCCACCATGTCTTCTCCCGCAAGCAGAGGGGGGATTGCTTGGGCCTGAACCACGGCACCAACAACAACACAGAGCCGGGACAGAGCATAATCCTCGTAAAGGTAGCGCCGACGGCACCAAGACTAACGCAGGAAAGCAAGCCATTCCGTTTTCCCATCGCAGTTTCGTAACTGCCCAAACCACTTGCCCGAGCCATGGTTCTGTTCGATTAACGTGCAAGTACGCCACCCATAAAAAAACTGAGTTCAGGTCTCACGCCTACCTGGATTTTGGTCGTCATCACGAAGTTCAACTTGGCAAGCGCGGAGAGCATGCCGCTGGACAACGGGAGAGTAGAAAACTCCACATCCGAGAAGAATCCAGTCTTGACCAGTTGCTGCACTTTGTCCTCTTCTTTGCTTGCTGCGCCCCCGGCCCCCTCGCTCGATTGCGGCTTGCCCGCTGCCCCCTCCTTGCCTCTTTTGCTCGGAGCAGATCCCCCTTGGTCGTCGTCCCTCTGGCGCTTGCGGGCTTTCTCCCCGCCAACAGCGGCCGTCTGTGGCAAACCAAGGGACACAAACACGCCGTTAAGCTTGAGCGAAACAGGGTTTAGAAGGCCTCCACACGGCTTCCGACGAAAATGATCCCGGGACCAGGGATCAACAAGCCAAAAAGCCAGGCAAGCACTCCTCACTCGACATTTAAACCTGCAAGGTTAAGGAATGGTGAATGATGAGAGTTTAGTACTCGCATCGTTCGCCGCCAAGTGTAAGGCCCAACACGCCACATGGACACTGGCGTGTTACGCTCGTCGTTCTTCGTTGTACAGCAGTCCGACAACGTGCACCACCTTACCGCACCCGTCGGTTTCAAACACACCATGGTACACGTCTTCACCCCACAAACTCCACACCTCCTTGTCCTCCTCTTGGTCGCTACCGTCCTCTTCGGATTCCTCCTCGCTGCCGGAGGATTCTTCTTCTTCTTCTTCCTCCTCCTCCTCCTCTTCTGCACTGCTCTCCTCCTCCTCCTCCTCCTTCTTCGCCTTCGTCACTTCCGCCTCCTACAGACACGCGGCACGACAGACGACAACAGCAGCGTTAGCAGACGACGCGGGGTAAGGAGAGCTCTTGGTGGGCGCGACAGAGCTGAGCAAGAACGCGCCAATGTTGTTCATGTCGTGGATTGGCGGCTAGCCCACGAAAACACATCTACCTACTGAATCAGACCCCCCCGTCCTGCACGGCAGTTGTCAAGATTGACAATATACCGTTCCACGATGTCGCTCCTTGTCCAAATAAGAGCGAGGCTGCTGGAGGTTACCAATTGTCCTCTAGGCTATTCCTACATTCTAAAATCCCGTAATAACCTGGACCTGCCGCGTACGGCCGTCGCAACATCCGTGCAGCAGCAGAGAGAGTGCACAATCGAGCGCACCAACAGGCGTGGTACTTGAGGTTCAACGTCGAAAGCAACACAAGACCCTCTAGGCTGCCAATCCCTCGGTAACCACCTTGTTTCGGCGGCCCTTGCTGTTGCCTGCAGGGGAAGGCCTCGCATTGCCTTTCGGTGGTGGCAAGGCCTTGGCCAGCTTCGCCGCCTTACGCTTCATGCTACCAACTGGCACCGCAGTGGCAGAGCGTCAAAAGGAACGCGATGGCACTGAGGTTGCGGGGAGATATCTCGTGGTCACCTACTGCACTGGGACGTCAGCGTGGAGGAGTCGGGGAGCGATAAGATGGAGTGCTGTACGGAGCGGAGGTGAGGTGTGGTGGTGTGCGGTGCGGCGCAATAGAAAGGACGTACGTGAGTGCATGATTCACGACCCCCCCAAGCCACCCAACATCAACCATCGTGTTCGAGTGGCACAGCAGTGTATAGTGGTTTGCGGTGTGGAGTCTCTCTGTGTTAGCCACTCTGAACTCTATACAGACGTAAGGGATGGATGCCGTTGATCAGCAAGGATGGAGCGAAGCCGTGGTAGATATTTTGGTTGAATTTCTCGAGGCAGCCACGCACAGCTTGCTGCACTCACGGCGAGCGTACCCGCAAGGTGGGCCGGCACACAAGGCAGATTTGAATGTTTGAATGTTTGAATCACACACCCTCACGTACCCTATTGTTCCCTCGCTCCCGCGGGTAAAGAAATGACGGTCGATACGAGCGACGAGTATGGTGAAGGAGACAAGTTGGTCTGTTCTGCAGTACTATCGACGATCGTGCGTGTACACATGAACGTCTGAAACAAACCATGCCTGCATCGGTGTAAGTCATGCTGGGCATCACAACGTGCACGTGCCGCAAATTCGCCCTTGGAACCCACAAACATTGCTGTGTTCCTCCTCCTCTTCGCTGACCACAACATCCCTCTCTCGCCTTGCCTCTCTCTCGCAGATATCTTCGAACGACGCCGGAAGTATGGCGTGCCAGTGTGGATGAGCCGGCATCCCGAGCTGAATGCCTACATATCTGAGGTGTGCCATATCTCCGTGCTGCCGACGTCCACGCCGCGACAAACTCCCAACCTCAGTATGTAGGCGTTCAGAAACTACATGTAACTGCATACATAGACAGACAGCAGTACTGCTGTATGATCACCCCTCGCTCGCGCAGAATTTGCGTCCAAACACGAGAGACACGCGATGCGTGCTTACTACGTGCAAGCACGCCGTGCTGTGCCATAGGCAGCAGGTCTGTTGTTGTCGATCCGGAAGCGAGGTTCGGCAGGCGGCGGGATTGATTCAATAAAGGGAAATAGACACAAGTGGGTATACCCACCCCTTTCTCGGACAAAAGTGGGTACTCGAAAATCCAGCGCGCGCGCACTCCATAGGCGACCCCCAAACGACTCAAAACCCCATTCTGACACCTGGGCGACACAGCCAGGGACCATACACTGCACGGGCATCGTTTTTTCCCCACTTCTAGGCACACCTTTGGCCCTAATACCGCCGACGCGCGCAAGGCCTCACCAGAGTGCCCACTTATGTCCGACATCGCGGTGGGTATACCCACCGGCGTCAACTAATTTTTTCATGTACCCACTTGTGTCTGTATTTTGACCCACTTTTGTCCAGATTGTACCCACTTTTGTCCACTTACGGACGGCGGAAATCGAGCGGAAATCGACCTCCACGTCACCGCACGGCAGAACATCGAATAGCCTCGGAACGTCTCAGAACCTCCCAACACCGTATGTATCCATGGCATCTTTCCTATCCATGGCTGCCGACTGCGGACCGACCACGGAACATGTCAGAAACATGCCAGACCCCTTCGGTACCGGCACGGGAAGATACCAGGCACGGGAAGATACCCGCGGCAAGCCTACTGTTGTCGTGACGAGTCGGTGTGCACTCGTCGTGGTGGTTGGTGTTTTTGTGTGTGTGTGTTGTTGCTGTTTGCGCGTCTTTTTGTTCTGTATGCGCGACCCGTTGGTTGTGTTGTCCGTTGTATGTCACGCATTTATTTGTGGCGTGCCGTTAGTGCGCTGCTTGCCGGGCTTGCCGCGGGTATCTTCCCGTGCCTGGTATCTTCCCGTGCCGGTACCGAAGGGGTCTGGCATGTTTCTGACATGTTCCTCCGTGGTCGGTCCGCAGTCGGCAGCCATGGATAGGAAAGATGCCATGGATACGGTGTTGGGAGGTTCTGAGACGTTCCGAGGCTATTCGATGTTCTGCCGTGCGGTGACGTGGAGGTCGATTTCCGCTCGATTTCCGCCGTCCGTAAGTGGACAAAAGTGGGTACAATTTGGACAAAAGTGGGTCGAAATACAGACACAAGTGGTTACATGAAAAAATTAGTTGACGCCGGTGGGTATACCCACTGCGATGTCGGACATAAGTGGGCACTCTGGTGAGGCCTTGCGCGCGTCGGCGGTATTAGGGCCAAAGGTGTGCCTAGAAGTGGGGAAAAAACGATGCCCGTGCAGTGTATGGTCCCTGGCTGTGTCGCCCAGGTGTCAGAATGGGGTTTTGAGTCGTTTGGGGGTCGCCTATGAAGTGCGCACGCGCTGGATTTTCGAGTACCCACTTTTGTCCGAGAAAGGGGTGGGTATACCCACTTGTGTCTATTTCCCTTCAATAAATGTTAAATGTGCCCATCTATCTGTGTGTGCCCATGCCTGTTTTTTTGCTTTTTTTGTCATGTTGGCGCAGATCAAATAATAGGTGGTTATGGACGCAGACTATATAGAAACCAACACCAATCGGCCGAATGGAGGCATGGTGCTATGTTTGGCTGGCACATCTGATGTGTTTCAGCTTCACAGCAGTGGCTGTCATGCACCATCTGTTTTTTTTTCCCGCGAGAGTTTGGTGACGACAAAGTCGCTCTAACAGTGTCTGTCTCTCATAATAGTCGGGGGGGGGGGTTCGGCGAGAGTTTGACTGGCAACCAATGTTTTTTTTTTTTTGTTAATATACATGACACAACGAATCCATCTCTATCATAGAAAAGAGTCAGAGACAGAGTAGCAATGAATTCATAGCGTCAGAAAAAGCTACCTGGTTGTTGTTTCATGTCTAACAGGCACCCCCCCCCCAAAAGACCTGTCTCTCCCCCAACACCGTGGGGGCCCCAACCCCAAACCCCAAACGGCATCGGGGACACGATGTTACTGCAGCAGCAGCACTATTATTACAGCAGTAGCGCATATCGCCACGAGGGGTCGGCAAGCAGCAGGAGGTGGTGGTGTTGTGTCGTCTTATCTTGTACAGCATCAGGCACTTCCTCTGCATCCGAGGCTGGTTGGACCGTTACTTTCCTCCGCGGCTGGTTTCGAAACGAGAACCAACCGTCGTGTCGTTCGTTTATTGTCCGGCTACGACAGACAGAGTAGCACTGCCTACCATGCTACTCTGTACTTTACTCAAGAAACGCGCGCAGACATCCAGAAGCGGTAAGGTATCACGTACGTATATTATTTGTAGGATTGTCATCGTTGGACGCACTACTCGAAAATACGGAAGGATTTTTTCCACACAAATTTTCAGTGTTTCTTGGAATCGTTTTTTAGGATATGCATGCATGATGCGTGGACAAAACCCGAGGTCTGTGTTGACGTTAAAACGGCAATTGCGCGATCCACACAGCTTCCCGCTGCTGTACAGCGAACATGTGCCCTTCTGCCGGTGTGTCATTGCAGGTCGCTGGGGCTGAAACGCACAGGACATAGTGTATTAGTGTGTCTGCTATGTAACGCTTACGACAAGGACTTTTTGCCGTTAAGTTTCCCATTGCTTTTCCCACAAGGCGGGGCATTCGGCTGCGCCATGAAAAACACAACTGGGAATAAAATCACACCCGGGCAATGGGTAACGCAGTTGTTGGTACGGGAACTCCGATTTCAACAACTTGGTCCTTTGATGAACGAATTCCTCATCGACGTATTCAGCTGCATCGAGGATCAACGACTCACCTTTCACACACATAACCAAGATAACCAAGACAAGTACCGCACGTCATTACACCATTCACAATTCTGCGGTGTCACGGATACCAAGATCCCTCGGGACTACTACATCTGCTCCAGCCGATAGAGTTATCATACCGTCCAGTGTTAGCGGTGGAATTGCAGATCAGGCGATAAATCTCACGATGGCCTTCTCACGGGTGCTGCAACAGCACAAAACAAACATGCTTACACAATGAAACAGTGGTTGGTGGACGTTTAGACAATGTACACCACATCCGTCCAGCCTTGAGAGGCCACAACCGGGTCGCCCAGAGCTCAGCGTCGTCGTCGACGACTACTATACGTTGGGCACGACCATACCCCAACACAGCACACATCTTAGAATTTCCAATCATTCAATATAACTACCTTCGGTTTGCGATTTGGGCCCCGGCGCCCACTGGGGACGGCGGGGCCCTACAATCCCCTAGTTCCATATGTACGGTGGTGAAGAGAGAGGGAGAGAGTGAGTGGTGATCGGAATGAGGAAGATGATACGTACATAAGATAAAGAGCCTCTGTACACGCAAGTGCATTTCTCTCCATGTGCTGTACCGTCTCTGTCTTCAATCCGGAGAATAGTCTAGGCTCTCCCATGGCTGACGCCCCCTCACTGCTGTGTGTCCCAGACCATGGTCTATAGAAGGAGAAGCGTTACTTTCTGTAGCCAGCCGCACGGAATGACATCTACCTGTTGTCTGTCTGTCTGTTCGTTGGTCAGCGGGTTGAGCCGGGTCGATGCTACTATTGGCTAGCAGCAGCTGTTTTATATGTACAAGTACTATTTGTATCTCGAACAGATCCATACCCCTAAATATGAAAAACTTGCACATATAGACTCTACCTACCGATGATAGCTGTGTCAACTTCCAGTCCTCCTATGGAGCCGTTGAAATTCCAATCGAACAACCACACTACCTTCGTGGCGCCGATGGTCGTTCTGTCTCGGGGACAGGTTTTGCTACGGGCGAAGTCGCTTATGGAACAAGGAGTAGTTCGTAGAGTGCTTGTGTGCTTCTTCCTGGAAGAAGAACACGTGGACCAAGCCCCCGTAGAGAGAGTCGCGTTCGACGTTCGGGTTGAGGACGACGGTGATGACTCCGTGGACTCAACAAGTCTGCAGGTACTCACATTTAATTGTTTAGTGCGTCTATCTTGTTTTTGTTTTCTACGCACTCGTGGTGGAGCTGCCACCTCCAGGAGATATCCATACAGCTGTTTCTAGAACCCATCGTTCGCCAACCTTTCGTGTCCATTTGTGTTTTGTCAATCCCCGCGTCCATCCATCCATCCCCCATTTAACCTCATGATTGTTTTGCTCTATTGCCAGGACGTAGAAGATCAGCTTCGGTCTGCCCTCCTCCAGATTCAAAAATCGTCGGCTCACCTACCGACGCGGCAAGGCTGCACGTTTGCGTTGCACGTAGAAGCCCACGAGGGCAAGGAAGGCCAAGTCGGAAGGCACGATGCAACTCAGGTGCGACCAATGTACCGATAGTGTACTGCTTCGACTCAGCGTTTCAACTGCGATGCAAACACTCCTAACATTCGTCCGACATGGTCATACAACGTTCCACCTCACAGTTGTTTGACCGGCCCGTGCAGGCGACGCATACTTGTTTAGGCGTTTGAAAATTACCCGAGACCTCTTGTCTGTCCTTAAGCTTTCGTTCGAACTCGACAGCAAGTCAAGAGGTGTGCTACAGGTGTTCCCCAAAACTCTCCGTGTATCAGCAACTGAGCGTGGAGGTTCTTGCGCAAAGATGCCACATTTTCGTCACACAAAGGCGTGTAGATTGCATCGTGCATCGGCATAAGTACTTCCTATGGGGTTTTGGTGATGTTTCGTTTTGTTAAGGTGCATCATTGCCTGAACCGTCCCTGCTAGCGGTAGCTAACGCTCGTGCAGCAACACCTTGCAGTGAGCGAAGGTTACTATTGCATTTACATGGCCACAGTAGTGGTTGCAAGAGCCCAAGCAACTTGCGTGCGGTATCTTTGACCAATCCCAGGATAGTGGCCAGTCTTCACCTGTAAGGGCAGCGCTGCGGGGGGGCAAGTGGGTACTCGCGGGCAGCGTTGCGCAAGGAGTGGTGGCGGAGCCAGGGCGACTGAAAATAGTCCCCATCAAGTCTGTGAGGGGCAGGGGCCTGAGCGTGAATTTGTCGACGGAGATGGGAGACTGCTCGGTGTAAAAAGTATTGAACCTAGATTGACACACGACCCCGGACTGGACCTGCCGTTTATAATAGCTGGAGATAGCTCACGGGTCGGCTCGTCGCGCAGATCGTAGAGAATGCACAGGGGAGCCGAGCACAAGCAAGGACAGAGGGATTTAGCTGAGATTCCGCACAGGTTGGCTGAGTGCTCATAAGGATGATTGTTGTTGTTTCCTCGTGACTCTGGGAAACACGCACTGCGAGCATGAGGTTACGTGCTACGGAGTGGTGCCAGGGCATGTATTGAGCTGCGGCCTGGAAAACGGCTTGCCGCAGCGCTTATTGTCGCGGTCTGGTGGCACCTTGGCGGAAAAGACGTCACAAAGGGTAGATTTTTTCAATTGGAGTAGACACACGGTGCCCACATCGTTGCGCTGCGGAACACGAAAACTTCTGAGGGAAACACAACAGTCAAGCAGAAGACATCGAATCTTGTATCAGGCAACAAGACCCTATTATTCCACCTCGCCATGATCACCATTCGCTGTACGTTCATCTGATTAGTCGTGGTATTTGAGCCGAATGAACGTGTCGTATGTCTCTACATATTATACGATGGCACGCGCGGCCTGTGTACAACAGTTTTGACCGTTTGGTAAGAAGCGGCCAGTTTTGCCGTGACCCGGTTCAGAGGGTGGAGTCATCATGTGTATCACATTAGTGGCGTCAAGGGTAACCATTGACAAGCGAACGGTCTTGCTTCCTTCTCCGCATCTTAGGAGTTTCCTTTGGCTCAAGCAGATAACCCAGCCATGTCACACCACGGTCGTTTTCTGAAGTCGCGCCTGCCTGCGCTGCTCTGCCCTGAAGGTCTTCGCCGACTTCGCCTTTACAGCCTCACGGTTTGGCACGAAGACCCCTGCGGTCTCTGCTGACAGATCATGCGTTGGTGATTCAGACAGTGCGGCGGTGGGGTTGCTTGAGAACTAGCCAAGACACTGGGATCCTAGATGACCTTATCATCTCGATTGTTGCGTCTATCAGACAGTCGCGGAGACGCCTACGTACTATTGCACAACCACCCGTGCGTGTCGGACGTGCCTGACATGACGTGGTGGTGACAACATATTGATGTGTTTGGAGGAATAGCTATGGTCAAGATGCAGTTTAAGAGATGAGTGGGTCATGCCCTCTCTGCAGATCATTGTTGACCAAAGGTACAGAGAAGCACATGTTTTCGCCATTGTAGCTCAAGTGGGAAACAATCCCTACCTTCCTCCGCGAGGCTGTCAATCTCTGGGAACGCCGACGCCGACGCGGCATCCCTGTCGCTCTTGCCCCTCGAACCGATCAGCTGTTGTGCAACGCGCACCTGCCGGTTAAACCGGGGCATCACCGGAGGTGGGAAGGGGTGCTGAGGGCGTGACGCGCAGCAAGAGGATAGGCCAGGCCACGCTGCTAAACTATGCGCCAATAACCAAGAGATAACGTGCAGTGAATACGGCGATGTAAAAAGCTACCTTTGGAGACACAAACTGCTGCAAGGCTGCTTCGATTTCCGCTGGTCGTGAGACGCTGATCTCCAGGCTGAGCTGACTGCTTCCGTCGCTTGCACTGTTCGCCGATCCGTGTCCAGCCCCCAATCCTGCAGCGCGACCACTTGTGGCCTCCCCTCGTTTCTGTGTTGAACGATCCTTTTCGTCGACCAGAGAATCAAGAATAAACTCCAGTTGATGCACCTGCCAAGAAGAAACACATCCATCTGAAAAGGTCAAGTGTTTTATGACGCACTTCGAACTAAGGCAAGCATGTTGCATGCGAAACGAAGTTAGAGAAGGGACGCCAGTTTTGTACATTTTGGGCGCCATGGGTGATGAGGTTTCGGGTTTTTCCTGATCTTTCGCCCTCTCGCAAGAGTCCATCCCAACATTTACCCAGCTCACCATCTCAGCCACATGGGCGTCGTCTTCGGACTCGGGTGCTCCGAGGAGATCGCAGATGTGTCTCAGGCCAGACACGGTATGCCTCTGCAGGTTCTCCATGGCGTCTGACCTCTCCTTTGATCGTTTCAGTCTCACCTATGGTTCCAGATTTGCACGGTCGGTGAAGAGGTGGAAGTTGTAGTGCTTAAGAGTCTAGTGGGAGGGCGGACAGATTCCCTTCGCGGCATGGAGTTGCGGGTTGTTTCAGTGATTGTCCTCGGTGATAGGTTTCCGTCAGTAAGTTTCGGCCTTCTTTCGGCCCACAACGACAGGAGGAAAGGGTGGGATCAAACCTTGGGCAGGTTCTCACTTCTAGCGGGACAAAAGGCCCTCGCCCAAAACCCAAAAGTGATAGCGACAGCTTTTGAGTGGGTTACGGATTGTACCTCGCGAAATAGAACAAACGAGACGTACAATCCACGCACGCGTGCTAATGGCGTTGTATTTAGACAGGGGGAGAGACCCCTACGTCAAAGCAGGTTTGCACAAACACACTGTAAGCACCGTTCCCTAGGGTTAATGTACCTGTGCTTCATTGAGGCGTTGGTGTAAATCTCTGGCCTCCTTGTTGCCGCCTATCGAAAGCGAGTTGTACCTGATCAAAAAGGAAAGAAAAAGCAGAGCGAACGTCCTCGTTATGATCACGGCTAACTCCCTTGTCGTCGAAGAAGCTGTATGTTGGCCACACTCGAAACGGTATCCGACCAGGAGCTTTTTCAGGGCTACTTTATCCGTGTGGAATGTTCTCAGTCGTACGGGGCTTCCTCGGGCGTTGCAGACCCATCTTCAAGCTAATACGTGCAGTTTCAGCACAATATCCCATCCGCAAGGAAATTAAAAAGGAATGTTGCATCTGACTATGGTCGTCGTTTAAACATGCATTGACGATGAAAAATAATACTCTTGCATGAGCCGCACCTTGTCTGCTCGAGCTCTTCCTCCAACTGAGTACTTTCCTTTTTCAGGTCGCTCAAACGTGACTCGCTGACCTGTCGATGAAACAGCGCAAAAATACTGTGAAGGAGGGCAACGCATGCCTTTGCCTTTTAGTCACACAGAAGCAGTTGGTTCGATGTCGCCCAATTCCTGTTGCTCACGTTAGGTGCTTTCGTCACCACCGTTGGGCGTAGCGAGCGACATTCATGGTTCCAGCGATAGTTTTCTTCCCTCTATACGCCTCTAGTACAGCAGTAATTTGGCCGTTGGTGTTGGCCTCGGCAATCCTGTAGCCGGGGTGAAACACTGTGAGTGGTTTCATGGCAGCATCCTCGCCTGTTTGAGTTCCATAAGCTGGGTCTCTAAGTGGTCGCAGTTGAGGTGTTTCTGGATGAACAGGTCGGGATCTGCGATGCCCGTACTCGCTCGAATCAATGCCCACGCCTGGAGGGGGTAAAATGAAAACACGCGTGCAATCACGCGACATACGAATACGTGAAATGTCGTTCCTGGCACACGCATTCCACGGGGCAAAGCACATAATAAGCAAGAGCATTCTTCACGTGGAGTATTCCATGCTGGCGAGTGATGTAGTGACTCGACGGCTTACCTCCTCCCACCCTTCGGTGCCTCCACTTTCCACGCCGTCAACACCACCCCCTTCTCGCAGCTGCCCGAGCATCGCATGGGCCTTGTGCCGCTTGGTGGAAGCCCCATCTTCCGTTGACATGGAAAAGTTCAACTGACAAGTTGTATCCGATCGAGAGAGAGACAAGTTTTGTGAGGTCGTGTAACAAGTTACTAGTGGTACGTCGATCGACCACCTCCAACTTCAGACACGGCACCTCTGTCGACCGCTACCGTGCAGCTAATGCAATTGGCCGAGTGACCACCCCTTTAGAACAGTTTACTCCTTGCCAACGAAATGTAACTGACGACACACGTGTTCTGCTGTACAATTTGTAGTACCCTGATTCTCGAGGTGTTCCCAACGTGACCGCGATGCGTAGGGACAATACAAACGGAAACAATGTGATGTTTTTGACTAACACCTGTGATAGACGCTCGGTGCTGGCAGCATTGCTTCTTTGCAGGGTTTCGTGTTGCTTGTGACGATTCAAGAGCATCTCTTCCTGCAGCGCTGCTCTCTCCTGGATAGCTTTCTTCATGGATGCGAAATCCGTTTGGCACGCTTGTTTCTCACAGCATTCTTCACGGAAGCGTGCGTAGACTTCTTTCACCAAGCGCTCGTCCTGGTCAAGCTTCAGTTCCAGCTCGTCTACCAGAGCCTAGCAACCACGATCAGATAGTAGACCGGCACAAACACGAGGCTTTGGGATCACTCAATGGGGGGTAATACTGTACATTGAACCAAAGGCAATACGACAGTCAGTTTGTTGGGCAAAAACCGAGTTTTTTTGTCTGACTAATGTTAATGTTGTTGTCGTACCTTTGAGTGGGCGGGATGTCTCTCGCACATGAGCAGGAGACACTTGTAGTTCTTCGCAAGTAGCCTAGCGTGGGCGTGCGATTTCGTCACCTTGGCTTCCCTTCGCAGGACGTGAGCAACCTGCAAAATACAATGATTGGTGTTTTTCTCTTAAACAAATCGACTGCCAATGTCGTAGTTTCGATACATTTTGCTTGATGATAACCCGGACCAGCAGAGATAGCTGATTTTCGGGAGGCCACCACATACGGCGGTCAACATCTAAAGGACCCAGGCTGCCTCCGAAAATCGTTCTACCCAATCCTAAGTCTTTGAGCGATTTCTTACACACTTTGAAACAACCTCTACAAATGATATGATCCACCCCAAGTCGTGAACGTGAGGCTAGATTCTTCGGGCATCGAGCAGCCTTGCATGCAACTCTAGCGTGTCACAGTTTGCCCCCGAATCGTTTGAATTTTCGAGTGTTCGTTTTCATCTCCAACAATTTTTGGTTGGGTCCGGAAACGAAAAAGGTGATCACATTGGTAACGCCATAGCACGCATCCAACCTTATCTTCGCCCTTTTGCTTCGCACCGGCAAGTTCCGACATCTGGCTGGCCTCGTCGGTGACCTGCATATTGCAGGTGTCATAGGTATCGGTAGTACCACGATTACAGGTAAGGCTCGAAAGGGGGGGGGAGCAGTGCAAGAGTTGGTCGGCCACCCTCCCGAGAAAATATCCGGCACATTTCCGGCTGCGCCGTTTGAAATCATGGCAGGGAAAATTTCAAATCCCTCGATCCTTTTTTCGTCTGTTGAAATCCAGATTAATCGCGAGCAACAGAGGACCACATGGAATGAACCACTAGATACCATTGTTGAGTGATACCACTACATATTATACCATTTGTTGCAGGATCATTTGGTTTTGGTCCGATCAGTTTCATCATGTGGAAGTTGGTTTCTCAGAAGCAACAGATTTTGACGAAAGTAGTAGACCAGGACACAGTGAAACGACGTCGCACCTGTTTTAACTTCCTCTCCATTTGCACCCTTTTTATCGTCAAAGAATCCAGCTCGGATCTGTACTCTTGGATCTCCCCGCGTATTACACCCATCATCTTGGTCCAGTAGTTGCTGTCTTCGTCCGCGGAGCCCCCCTGTCACACAAACACCTCGCCTTCTTCAGATTTTCGACGGACAGCGTGGTTTTCCAACAAGTCTAGCAACAATTAAGTGCTTCTCATGGCGCTGAGCTGCACTTTCCGGGTAGAAGTGAAAGTGTCCTGCTTACCTCGCTGGGACCTCTTTTGAGCGATCGCCTTCGTCTAGCAGCCCTCGCAGGCGACAACTGCGATGCAATACCTGGAAGTCTGGAAGGTGAACTGGGCTCTCCGCCTGGCGTTGTGAACGAGAGAGCAAACGGTCACGTGGCTAAAAGATGCTTTCGTTGTTGCTGCGATTGTCAACAAGGGGTATTGCTTCCAACAAAAACAATTGCTGTGCCTCCTTTTCTCTATCAAGTGACTATTGTACTAAAAACAAAACAAGATTCCACGGACCGTGTCTCGCTCTTGCTCGTTCACTGGGGTGTCCAAGGTGTGGTACTGGTACAGTACGGAAACCACCGCACGGACGATGACGACTACGCAGGGAGTCAGCCGTGCGTTCTAATTTACGTTAAGGCTTGTGCGAAACAGAGTTTGTGCATATTTTGGTGACTCACCATTTTGGAGTCTTTCGTCCTCTGCGCTCTTGTGGCCCTTGGCACCTCCGCGACCACCACGCTCAACGGATTTGTCTGCCCCACCCTTGCGACCTCTGGCACCTGCTTGTGTAACGCTTCCGGAGTCTGAAAGTACTCCTGGCATAGGTTTCCCCAATCCCTGCGGCCACGAATCGCCATTGAAGATCAAGATGAAGGTCTAAGGAAGCCAAGCCTCACGGTCCGAGAGTGCTGCGTGCACCCTGGCATATGAACCCCACGTAAAAGTTACCTCTAACAATGGTGCCTCTCAAAACCTGGGCCAACGTAATACTAAGGCCTACTGTTGTTGTTGTCGTCCAATGGAGAATCACCTTCTTTTTTAGTTGCTTCGTCATTCTCCCGACGCCGAGCGAATCTGTTTGGTCTTTTAAGGAGATCCCGTTCAAGTACTTCTCTCCACAGTTGGCCAGAGCCACCCAGGGGAACTAGACCGAAAGAGCACGGCGAAACGGGCGATGCCAGAGATACGAAGGCGGGGCGGCGAGCGCAAAATGACGCATGGTGCCAGGCACAAAGCAGAGAGAGATGGAAGAATACTACCGTGGGTATCAGACGACCCCATGAGTAGGTGCTGTAGCGCTTCAACCCGGCGAGTGCAGCCTTGACACAAGCCTCTTCGCGTGTTGCTGTCGAAGCACAAACATGCGACCGTTGCTCACTGAGTCACCTGTATCCACATCCACCGGTGGTAGAAGTACGTCGTGCAGTCCGGGAAATCTTCGTTCGGTTTGGGTGGCTGGTCAACGCCGGCAGGCTTGTCGTCCTCCTTGGTCTCTGTCAGCAATGGCTTGTTCAACACACTGCGGCCATCTTCGTCAACACTCAGAAACGGCACCCCAAGAGATCCCAGATCCTGCGGGCGAGATGGGAGTCCAATGTTCGGTCACTTCAACGCTGACCGTAACTCCCTCAGTCGACAACACTAACGCCAGCCGCGGAAGAGCCTGGCGCTACATGGCTTTGCCGCTACGCAATCTGGCCAAGGCTCGGTTCCTTTCGCAGCCTGAAACCCTCGTTCCTATGGAAGTGGCGGGCAAAACATGAGAACGAATCGCACCTCATTTGGTATTCGTGGGTGGACAAACTGAGGAATATCCGCCGCCTCCTCATGCCCGAGGGTACTAAACTCCAGCATGAAATCGGCGATCTCCAGTATGACAGCGGCGATCCTCTCGTCGGATGGATGGACCTGGAATTACCAGAAACGAAGCAAGACGAATTTCTGTCTCAATTATCCACTCTTTCGAGAGCCCTCGGGGCTGCTACATGGTTTCGCTGCAGGTGATTTTCCGTCGTTGTCCTCGCTGTGCGCATGCCCTAGCCGACACATTCACCTTGTCTTTGTACTCATCAAGACTGCGGTTGTATTCCTCCACCATGTCATAGCAAGGTCGCGGGCTCTGCTTCCACTCCATGGTCTTGGAAAACTCAGAAGTTACCAGTTTCTTTGCAAGTGCATCCTGCGCAGTAACGTGTGTATCGGCCCGTTTTGAACAAGTTGTTCGTTCTTTTGTCCAAGGCTCGTTCTTTCGTCCAAGGATATTGTAGATGACTCACGCTAACGTAGACAAGTACATCGTGCTCCATTGACTAGAGAAGACGTTCAATCAGGCAACGTAGCACAGGTCGGTACTCATCAGCGAAGTTTTCGTGGCTCGGCAACGAAATATCGCGCGGACTTTGACACTGCATTCTGTTTCGTCAACGTGTTTTTCCTTGCTTCGCTTAAACGACAGCGGGTATGGCAGCCTTTATCGTGAAGTCAAAAAATGATCCTTGCGCTAACGTAGGTGATCGAATCGTGTTGCAATAGGTTGCCGGCAAGGTGAACGCGGGTGCAAAACTGCTTGCGTTGCACACTTTCCACGGCGTCCCCACATACCTTGTTGTTGGCGTTAGTGAGACTTGCCCACAGTGCAACAAACTCCTTTTTGTGATTAGGAGTCCACCAAATACCGAACATATCGATGTCGACGAGGCAATTTTTTAGCTTGTTCCAGCATCCGGCAGCTTCTAGGTGATAGGGTTGACATTCCACCTGATCACGACGAACGTCCGCGCGATGAAAACATCTCAGCATGTGTCTCGTGGCAAGCTCAAACATCAAGGGGACGGCACCTTTCGCCCAACACGAGCTCACCTTTCGGTCGGAAGCAGGGAGCCGCGCGAAGTAGCGCGCCATCTGTATGTGCAAACGAACCATTGTTTCTGGGCTCTGGATGTATTTGGAGTAAACCACGCCACGGAACTCCTCGTGGCTGAAACTGCGCTGCCCTTGAACCAACATCGTATTATCCTGTGAGAAACGCAATAACGCAGGAAGTGATAACAATCAACCTTTTTCGCGATTTGCTCTCAACTGTAGTGGAACGGTCGAGTAGCTTGTGTCTCACCTTTGTGTAACGATATGAAGTACAATTCGCCACCAACTCAACTTACGTCCAGGTTGTACTCTACAGTTTCAGCGTACCGTAAGCACCAGTAGAAGCACCCGCTTGTGGTCCTCCGAAAGCTCGTACCCCAGATTGATCTCGGCCGCTCCCCAGACCTATAAGAGTGGAATCAGACATGCTCTATAAAATGCATTATTTATTAGTCGCCCGATCACGAGTGATTCACTGCGTAACCGATGCACTTTACTGGTACTTCCTGGGTGGCGTCGCTGATACAATGTTGATGAAGACCAATGCCTCACCTCGCAATCCATCAGACCGTTCCGAGCTGCGTATAAGACGGACAAAACCGCACCCATAATGCTGGCCCCCATCTGTAAAAACCCCGATAACAAATAGCAAACGGGCGGTTCGCGTTATCCCAGTCTAACATTCATCTCCTAACACATTGAGGAGTGTAGCAGGAATGGCGGACGCGTATAAGACACCCCGACACCAGCGCATACTACCGATTTTTTCGTCTAAAATAGCAAGACTTGCCTCTCCCCGGTCCACATACGCAGCATACACGTCCAGCACCTTGGACGTGAGCGAAATGCTGTCTTCCGACGACAAATATAAGTCCAGCAGCCGGTCCGGCACCTTTCCAGCAGTGCCGTCCGGATTGGAAGCGACCCTACCCGTACTGGAGGCATCAACCCCGGGGGCGGCTTCTGCCGCCGTGGCAACACTTGGCGACGGAGGCTTGGGGACTGGCTCCCCCGATTCCAGCGCTACTCCTTGGCGGAGTGCGTATAGTAAAGTCCGGAGGTACATTGGCTTGGACTGCACCTCCAGGTGAATGATCCGCTTGATCTACGGAAAAAAGGCACGGTTGGAGTATAACAAATTGTTGCGTATTCCTTGCAGAAACGGCTCGGCCACCGGCGGTGGAATGGGGCATGGTAGACGTGAAGATGAAAGAGTCTTTGCCTACCTGCTCCTTGGTGAGCTGGATCTGGTTTGGGTGCATTTGCATGAACGCACCGATGATAGCTTCCTGACATTCACCGTTCATGGCCTCCATCATGAGGACTGGGCATTTCCTGGAAGCGGAAAAAACAGTAGTTCCGGTGGGGCACCAGTAGCGATCAACATCAAGCTCGACTAAATGCAGACCGGAGAATATGCTGGGCTTTCACCATGACGTGAAATTACTAGTTTCCATCCTCGAACAATTCGGCACAGATTGATTCTGTACGATGTATACGGTAGGGTTAAACCCTACAAGACGAGTCGGCACTGACCGCGGTCTCGCGTATTTGCTAGCTCACCGCCGCAGAAGCTCGAGGTATGTTCTGTGCGGCTTTGGTGTACCACCCTTGTCTGTGGTTGCTATCGTGGACACGATAAATCTCACGCCCGCCGGGAGTTCGGTTGGCAACCAATGAAGAGCTCCAGCAGGCATTTCCAGCCCCTGGTTCAGAGAGAGAGATAACACAAAATAAAAATACGAACAGGAGGAAAGTGCTGCCGTGTGTGGCAACTCCCAACTATTCAGTAAACATCAGAGCCTAGACTACAGGGTCGGTTGTTTTTCCCGTGCGTACCAAACTGTTATTGGCTGCGGGGTTAACACTTCGTGCACAGAGGTGCTGTACGCTAAGGATTTGAAATATTGTACTGAATTCGATAGATGTCAAATACAGCGTACCTTGATGGCAAAAACACCATCGATCACGATCACAATTCGAGCAGGGTAGTATTTCTTTGCAGCGGCCGCAAGGAATCGATTGAGGGACCAAATTAGCCTGGAGGAACACAAGACGCGAGCGCGGACACGAGATGATCAGTCCTGCAGCACAAAACTACTACCGCATGCGACGTACCGAGCAATTCATGTGAACAGAAGAGACTGCTGACTACCATGAGCGTACGAACTGCCGGCTAGATACGAATATTCACCCTACGAGAATTCAGAAGCAGACCACGACCCAGATAACCCGCTTTACACCACGATAATCACGATTAGTCGTCGTTTTCGGAATGAAGGCAGTCATGTCACCCACACCAGCCAGAAGGCGGTAACGACACACGATATCAACGCCAGCTCCTGTGAGGTATGTCTAGTTAGGGCCATCTGAGAAACATACGGCACCTGGTACGCAAAACTGAGGGAATAGAAAAGTAGCAAGCCCCAGGGCAAACTTCGCAAGAAGTTCTCATTTTTATGTGTATACATCGCAGTCCGCTTTCACCTCTCTTCCGACGACGGTACTTCCATTTCCCTCAGCTGGAAGAACTCCTTGAGGGCTGTTTCCAGCTGTGGCAAATGACAGTGGTTGTCGGCAGAGAATGTCAGTCCTCTAGAAATCACACCCGTAGATAAACAGGGACGTGCATGGTGGGAGCCCAACGTGCAATCCATGTTGCAATCAAATGTTATTGTCTGCAATGTCAAAACGGACTGAGACACCTACACGCCAGTCGCAGAACGGTCACTCCCTTTTGCTCGCTTCCGGCCTTCGGTACTCAACCAAGCAAAACATTGGAGCCGGCTGACGGTTTGACTCTCACCTTGTGAAGCATATGAGGTAGCTGCTTCGCTCTCGTTGACGCTCCAGCAAAATACTGAAACAAAAATTCGTCCCGGTGTTTTGTTCCTGCACGCCGCTTCACCCAGTTGGACAGCAAAGCATTCTTGCCGATGCCGGGTTCTCCCACAAGGACCTGCCAAAGTACCGCAGGGACGGTCCCTCGAGTTCAGTGCCGAGCATGAAAACACTGCAAGGCTACGCACACGAAAACATGTCTGTTGTCACCCACGAAAACATGTCTGTTGTCACCCTGGAGGACGCGCATCCCATGCTCTGCCGTGAGCATGCTAAACGAAACATGCGTACCAACGGAAGCTTGGCGTCCATCTCGATTGTCTCGGCATGCTTATCCAAGGTAGTGAAGTTTCTGTCATCGATGGGCACGTAGACATGCTCACTACTCCTGCTTGCCGCAAATGCCTCGTGCTCGTCCGCATGGTTCTTCATGTTGCTGGTTCTTACACCAGGGAAGCGAGAATGCACGGCAGCTGCTGCAGCAGCGACGCGTAGACGAAGGCGGGCAAATCTCCCTTTTCTCGTCCGCAGCACTGTCAGCAATGACAGTTTCGTTTATCGCCCCTCTTTCGATGGAAACCCTTGGCGGGGCATCGGAGAACGGAGAACCTGTGGGCTCGGAGAACTGAGGCACCAGTGGTCGGGTGATTGAGAGCCAAGCACACGGAGGAGGGAGCAACCCGCGCGTGGACAGCATTGAACTCGATACTTGCCTGACAAGACGGGGTGTGGTGAGTGCTGCTGCTGTTCTCTGCGCTCATGGTAGTGAGGATGGGTGTTTGTCCCCTACAGCCCCCATTGTTGTATCGAACTGCACTTGTAAAGCGAGTTTCGTGTGCAACTGCTTTATATAAGGCCCCTCGTTATGCTTGATACAGCAGGTGATCGATACATACTGGTGTGAGATCTCATACACAGCGGCCTAAAGTCAGCCACTCGTTGAGGTGTTCGCTGTAAGCAATCACCACAGCAGTGGGGGCAGTTCCCTGACATCCCCTCTGAGTCTATGATGGAGGCATTCTTTACTTAGCGCAAGTCTAGCTGTTCGCGCTGGCCCTCTGGTCCGAATGAAAAGAGTCGGTTGCCCGCGCAACGAGTGGTGCTTCAATGCTACGGCCTTTTTCGCGTGCGTCTGGCGACAGCGAAAAGAGAGATGACTCCCAACACACGAGACTCGGGAGAAGAACGGATGAGGAAGAGGGCCGAGATGCAGCCTTCTGACGATGAGGTCAACGGTCAAAGCAGTGGAGAGGAGGCCTCCGACAACGATAGCTGGGACGACGAGGACTTGGACGAAAATGAAGCCGCAACGGAAGAGCAGCCAAACAAGGAGCAGGTCCGTAGCACTTCCGGAACGTACTCGAAGAGAAGCACAATTTTTTGTTGTCTACAGGAAGTATGAGTAGTTATTGTAGACGAAGGCTCAGAGGATCGAGGATTCGGAGAGGTGGTCTTCTTGGTCACGTCAAACCTCTCATGCCCTTAGAGCGGAAGAATGCGGCGTAGGGTTAGGGTTACATACCCCCAGTGCTTGGGCGATGTTATATTTATTCCGTCGCATTTTGTAGTAAGTTTCATGTGCGGCAACTGTTGTATTCCTCGAAGCATACTTGTAGGTGATGAACCTCTTCCATGTATTGCGGTCACCTGTGGGACTAACCTTCCTCGTGAATCTGCACTCGCTTGCGTGTTCTTACACAACGCGTTACGTGCCACGTCAATGACGGTTCGGTATCTCTTGGTTCACAACACGCCAATAAATAGAACGAACGCATTGAGACTTAAATTAAGTCAGCCGGTTACGTAGCGCTGTTGATGCTAGTAGTAAAGAAGCACACGCACACAACACGCAATTACGTACCGCACCCGCCCTTTGTCCGTGTACAGGGAGAATCGATTGGCGAGCGTCTCATCAAACTGTCGCATGGAGCGGGGCCATCAAGGCGAAAACGCCACATTAGAGACAGCACTGGAGGGGAACAAAAACAAGCGAACGCCGCAAAGGTGTGGTGTGCCGCGGTTTGAACGCGCGTATGGAACGCTAATTACAGTCCTGCAACTACGTATTGGCAATCGGCAGAGAGAGTTAAGAGGGCAGGTTTGTATTTCCAGCCGATGCTCTGGGCCAGGAACAACATCAACGTACCCATCAGCAACGAAAACCCTAATGTTCGAGCTTACGCCTGCAGTTTGCGTTTAGACTGTGTACTATCAACACCATATCTCTGGACTGCTTGGTTTCTTTTGATTGATTTGGCAGGCTCTCCAGCAAATGGAACATAAACCCACCCTCCATTCTCGGCCTCGATGCATTTTAGATCGAAGACGGCCTTACCAAATGCGTGACATACATGTACGCTGATTGTAGACGATTTTCAACAGAATATGGGGGCTGTTTCTTGACAGTTTGGTTCTTCCCTCGTGGTTTTGTCTGGCTCGCCTTTTAAAACTGTGAGCACACGACACCCGTCGCGAATGTTGTACTGTTTGAGGCACGCTACACAGCTACGTGTGCACTACGTTTATTTCAAAGCACACCACGGTTCGGGGCGACCTTCGCGACGCGCTCTTGCCGCCCAACAGACGGCACGGGATCGCACACGCTCCGGCATTGCTGCCCACCAGCAGGCAAGAGGGGGGAATTCGGGATCCGGCCGTACCAAGGTGCCAAGTCGAGCCAACAAGAACAGACCTCAAGAGGTGAGGTTCATGCCTATGAAATCAAATGACTTGAGTGCGCACACCACACGCGACATACGCCAAGCTATAGCTTGCAGGGAGTGGTGGTCTTGTGTGGCCTCTGACGTAGTGTCTCGCCTTTTTTTATAAAACCTTAAGAGTAGTTTCTCAAACGATCAGTGTCTATCTGTCGTGTCGATTTCCAGGCATCGTCTCGGCGGGCGGTCGGGCGATTCCGAGAAGTGGTCGTGACCAAGCGCAAGACATCTAGAGGTATGTGGCTCGGCGCTCTCTGGCACCGACTCGAGAAAGGACCGGACCTCATTCCAGATCTATTGAAACATTTTGTCAACTGACTGGCTATTGTCAGGCAAGCTGATGGTGTTCTCAGGCGGCGTCCGTGCCCGCACCTACGTCCTGTGGATTCGTGCAGGGTGCAGGACTTGAGTCGTTCCCTGTGCCCGTCCATTTGCGCGTCGTACCACGTGGTGTTCTATTGCAGATCCACGATTCGAGGGCGGAGGGGGGTCCAGTAAGCTCAACTATGATATTTTCCGAAAGGCATACGGCTTTCTTGGGACGTATCAGGACAGCGAAATTGAAGAACTGAAAAAGTCTCTAAAGAAGGAGAAAAACCAGGTGAGTCGTACTACTTTAGTCATCCCAACAACCCATCACACGGCGAGGATCTGCTCTTCCCTGACGACTCCACATCGAGACTGCGGCTAAAACGTCATACAGTCGGCCTTTGTATTGCTTGTTCGTTGGGCTCGCTTGGAGCCCTTCGACACGTGGTTCAGACTCCGACCTGCATTGCAGTGGAGTTGCATATTGTTCCAACAATAATTTCAAGGGGCCCTATCACCCACAACCTCATCTTGTGCCATGAGTCCCTCCGGTGGGCGGCATCCAACCCAATCGCCCCTATTTGCGACCGTTGTACCGCGCCACACGTCCGCCTGCTTTCTCGATTGATTTTCATCCTTCCAGGAGCGTTCTGGGAGACTGCAGGCACTCTTGACCCGTCTTCAGCAAGAAAGGTAGGTGAATCTATGCATACGACGAAACTTCCTTGTTTGGCATTTTTCTGGGTACGTTTGCATGTCTGCTTGAATTCCCGAAGGAGAAACTGTTGCAAAAGTAGTCGGAAAACGTTCCCTTACTTGCCAACGCGTTGTTCGAACGCTGGTAGACGTTGATGATATCAAGTCTGACGAATACATCGTACGCTTACCCCGTTCCAGATGTTCAGGTGCTCATCACGTTCAGGCGTTGTTTCGTTTTAAGTGTGAACTGGCAAGTACGTTACGCTATACCGGTAACCTTTCGTGGATTCTGACGGCTCTAGCATTCGACACCCCGTTGCTTGTTCAGGGCGGAACGATCTCAGGGCGATCGGACGCGCACGGCAATTCGTGAGGCAAAGAAGAAGGAGCGCGAAGCCGTTGCCAGTGGGAAAAAGCCATTCTTCCTCAAGGGCAGTGAGAAGAAAAGGCTGTCTCTCGAGCAAAGGTGTGACCAGTATGGCACGTTGTCTGTCACTCTCGTACGCTGAACAATGCACAGTTTTGAGAACCCCCGGTGCTATCGAGACCACGTATTGTTTGCCCCATCCGCTCTGGAGCGAGCAACGCCCTGGTTGACGGGAGTGCTTTGATTCCCCTGGTAGTGTTTGTCGGTAGCTGACACTCTACGACCTTCCTTCTCCGACAGGTACGAGGGACTCAAGGAGGACGGCAAGCTATCCAAGTTCATGGAAAAGAAGAGGAAGAAGAATGCTGCCAAGGACCACCGATGGCTTCCAAGCAAGCGCCAAAAGTGATATCACGTGTGGGCGACACAAGTTCATCCAAGGGTGGTTCAGGATTATTACGCTTCTGGGAAATGCTTGTAGCACATTCTTGGTTGCGAGTTTTTGCTCCTTCTCTTTGGGTGTTTAAATTTCTTAGCAGAAAACGGGGGCTCCGGCGTCACGCCGAAAGCATTCGTAGTCGATTACCGTGATTCGGAGTTGTGCGGGGGAACGTGGGACAAATCAACTAATTCCTCGTCATAAAGCTCCTACCTCTGTCTGTCTCGTTTGTGTTTCAATGTACGCATGCTCTGTGTTGAAAATGGGTGTGTGCTGCGTAATTGATCGACTATCTGCTCTTGGTGAAACGTAGCTTGTAGCTCTGAGTCGACAAGAGTAGTTTACCACCGAAAAACGAAAAACGAAGGGGTGGGTGTGTCGCCAGCGGACTGCGTTCAAAGCAGATCTTGGCGTTGGACAGTGTGGGATGCTTCTCAAAATGTAGGTGCCTTTACCTTCCCCACCCTGCAATATGTGTCCACATATGTTTCGTACGTGTGACTATGATCGAACAACATGTAACACCTTTGTGGGACCGCTAGGAAGAGGTGAGATTGCCGCAGGAAAAGGAAAATACTTCAATAAATAGAGCAGGGGCCAAAATCGGGTAAACAGCAGTACACCCGATCCGAACACGGCCATTATCGGGCACACTTGCTGGCAGCGCCCTCCTGGGGCCATCCGATTGGCAACGCCCGCCCCTACCCGGCCCTGTCCCTGTTCCCGCCGGGTGCACCTGATCTTGGCTACAGTACTTATTACCCCGGGGTACCTGATTTTACTCTCCCCTACCCACCCCTCCCCGAACATGGCTGGGCTCTTCGACCAACAGTCCACTAGCAGACCACGCTCACGAACACACGTCAGCAACGCCCCGCACAATCAGTACGTCAGTACGAGGAGTGCGTGGCAATCGCCAAATTATGGCACATGGAGGCTAGAAGACAGCAGGCTCACGCGTGCGATGCGCTTGGCATCCACTTGGCGTATCCAAGTGGTGCAGTGTGCAATGTGCAATGTGAGCAAGTGTAGCAGTACATTTAAGAACCGGTTCTGCGCCAATCGGCACTAAACCCGCCGACTTCGTGACGCGAGACTGCTGGGCTGCTGTATACGCCAGCCTGTTTATCCACGCTCTGCCGCATGAAGTAAGTGTGGCTTTGCCTGTGCACCTCTCGAGTGCACATTTCCAGCACTTGACGTCGGTATTTTTCCACAATTGAGACAGAAGGCTTCGATGCACGCGAAAAAGGCGGAAGGAACGTGGAGTGCTACCGGGGGCACTTCACGAACAACTGTTGTCGATGGGAGAACACAGCACTTGCCATCTAGTTCGACCACGCGGGACACCATACGAGGAGAGGGAATAACGGGATGTTGCTCTGTATATTCTAGCGTTCTGCGGGTGCAGCGGTCCTTGGCGGAGGTAACGCGAAAACAGAGCAGAATGCAATCATTTGCATATCCAACACGAGGCACGCGCGAAACGTCTCCTGTGCAGTATAAGTAGACGTACTACTGCCTGTCAGCTGTACTACAAGGTAGTCTGCGTACTTCGAGAGTAGCTAGTTGATAGCGACAGTTTGTTTTGGTCTAGACGGGTAAGTACATCATGAAGCATTCCCCCCTGTAACTCGGTAATACAGGAGTTTGTGCGTAGAGTACGCACGCAGATACTGGGAGGAGGCGTATCAACTTGCCCCGTGCTTTCGTGTATGCACAACTATTGGAAAGAACTCGAATTCGACAACGTTCGAAGTACTTCAATTTTGGCATTTATCCCCACATTCGCGCGGACGAGCGGCAACTGAAATCTGCCGCATTTCGCCCAGGTCTTATCAGCGCCTCCTGTTTGTTTGTATTCTCTACACGCAGGATTGGTCGGACATATCAGATGATGGTACTCACAGTAGCACTCACGTGGCACAAGGACAAGCTATGAACAAGACCGACATTTTTCTCCCGTCGAAAGGACGCACTCGTCGTCGCGCACCGCGAGATAGGTGTCAGGTACAAGTATATGGCTTACGCACCTTATGCGTGTGCTTGTGCTTTGTCATATGTTCCCGAATGGCACTGTAAGGCGGGAGGTGGGGCCGATGCATTGTTTAGATGTTGACGCAGAGCTCGTGATCTACTACGTGAGTCTACGTCACGCTGATCATGTTGGCCTGAAGTATGCGTTCCATGTTGCCTCCCCGCGGGTGTGCTGCTCTCCTGCTTCTCCTTCCCCGTGGTTGGCACACCCCACCCATGCGTACACGTACTTAAGAGCTTGGCCACAAAAGAAGACGAAGAGACGCAAGACAACCGTGCGGCGTATCAGAGGTGAACATGTAGCAGTTGGTAGGTTGGTAGGTTGTGTGCCTCTTTGGTTCTAGGCAGGGGCGACTACTACTACATCGCAAAGAGCAACCCTTTCGGGTAGGATGGAGATCTCGCTTCGTACAGAGTTTTTTCTTCTTCTGAATGCACAGCACGACGCCTGTGGAGAATCATGGCAAGATGAAAATGTGGCACGATACTCAGAAAATATAGCGTGCTAAAGGTGACAAGGGCGGTACAATGTCGGAAGTTCGTACTAGATAGGGCGGGGTTATGAGCCGCGGGGTAGCCGAGTCAATACCCTGCAGTAGTCTATGTATCTGCGATGCTTTTTGCGGTGGCGGGGTGCAGCCGATCATTTTGAATTCTGAACCCGAGCCACCAACCTAATAGTCTAACAAAAAGGCTCCCGCAAAACGAACGGCTGTTGGGATTCGTGTGCATACAGTACCGTAGGTGACACAAGATACCACACCCTTGGCTAATTTCAAAGCTTGGTTGCTCCGCACCACAAAGGGTGGCGGTGACGAAAATGGTGGTGTGGGAACCGTCTCCTTCTCATCGAGAGCTTTCCGATAACCCTCTTCATGGAGTATTTAGAATTAAAAATCGGTGCAGGCGCCCCACACACCGAAGCAACAGCAATATCAAAGGTATCCGCCACGAGCTGAGTCCATGGTTCGTCTAGTGTGGTGATTTAAGACCGACCAGGAGGCTCTAAGACGCTCAGAAATTCCGAGCGCCAGAGTCTGGCACAACCCTAAAAAAAAACACCGCGTCTGGTGGGACCAGTTTGTTTTTTTTTTGCCCCAGGCGCAGGTTTGGTTTACCGATGATCCTTCCACATGCACCGAAGCAACAGCAATGGCAATGACATCCGCCACGAGCTATGTGTATGGTTCCCTCCCCTAGCCAGTGCTGTCTTGCCCCTCCCAGCGGTGTTGCGTGTTTAGCTGAGTGCTTCCCCTGTTCCTCATGGTTTGAAGCAAGCAAGTACATGTGTTTGTGTGGGAGATCTTCGATTTGTTCATCCATTACCTCTCTACAACGCCCCTGGGAAAGGGGTAAGAATATCCTATGGTTTTCGGGACAACTGCGTGTCAAGCACGGCCATCTGTCGTCGAAGCGCGACGAAACCGATGTGACGAAGAGTGCCCTAATTTCCTCCCTCCTCACAAGCCAGCAGATCGTAAATTGGTGCTCTACAAGTATTGCCTCGTTCTGGTCGAACAAAGGCGATTATTTTCGAACGGTCCATAGTTAGGAGGAAATTGCAGAAGGACCCCTCATGACGTTGGTTGGAAGAGCCCGATATATAGAGCCCTTTTTCCTCCTGGGGATGAAGGGGACATTTTGTCGCGCTTCGCGCTCCGGAGCTTATTACAAGTAGCATGCCTCAACAGTCCTTTCCTGTATCCGCGAATCGTCAATGTCAAGAGAGAGGCCATGCCACGGATCAGCTGAATGGAGATGATTCCAGCAAGTTAGGTAGGAGCTTTATTCTGCAACAAACATGACACATGAGGCATCGCATGCGAACGGAGTTTTGTCGTTTCACAGGGCGAGGCGCTGCGCGGGTCGGTCGTACTCTCCTCCTGTTTCTTCTTCTTTCGGCACTTCAGGTTTTTCGCCAGTGTCGTGGATAGCACCGATAAACTGGATCGCCTTCTCGCATCGCTGGACACGCCATCCAGGTGCGTGATGGAATCGATAACATTTCTAGGTGCTACAGTAGTTCCCCCAGTCAAGGTTTGATTTGTAGTGTTTTCGCTCCTTCAGTATCTTTCAGCCTTTGAACAGCGGGCAGGCTTGAAGAGCAGCAGGGTCCTGTTCTCGTGTCGCTGTTGCATATAGGCCTGGAAACTACTTTTAGTTTACGTTGTGATGCGCTTGGTGATGCACTTAAGTATAATTGGTTGTGCGAAACGGCGCGTGTCACCCAGGCTGCTTTAAAATTGACAGTTAAGCTAATATTTGCTTGAACCACGAAGGAAACAGCAAAGCTACTTCGTAAGACATTTTACTTCCAAAAGACAACATTAACGCATATTAACTTAAGGCCTTTCAACATGGTGGCAGGCCCGGCAACGCGCCAAGCTACTCTGGGAGAAGGCCTTCAACTCAGGATATCTACTTCTCGGGAGAGGCGGACAACGCAGTGCAGTTCAACACAAAGGAGGAAGCTACAGAATGGGAAGAAGTGGCTGTGAGGGCATGGTAGCTTGTCTCAGAACTGATATCCGCATGCGTTCTACATTTTCCGCTTACCCCTTGTAGCAATCAAGCAGAACCTGGGTGTACGACCACGTTTCAGAGCAGAGCCATCTCTTGTGCATGTCGACGCGCAGATCCCGTGCACTTGCTACTAGCAGCCTTTTTCCCAAAGACCCACCACGAGGTTTTCTTGCACACAACAAGTGAGCGTGCGCTACCGTACTGCAGAGAACAGGAAAGCGTTTCAACACGAACGTTTTTGTTTCTCTTCCAATGGCTGCTATCGCAGAAAACCTTGCGCCAGTTGGACAGCGGCCTAGCGTCAGATGCCGGAGTGATCGACCTCCGTGCGGTCGCCTTCTGGTGCCTTGCAAAACGAGAAAGGTTATGGTCAGAAGATGAAGTGAGTGCCAAGAATTTCACAGTGGGAGAGTCCCGCAACATCATCATTCGATGCTGCAGCGAACAGACCAAAAAACATTGCCCCACACAGCTTCCATCGGCACTTAGAACTATCGATGACCTGTCCCAGCGGGCTCGTGCCCCGAGGTGTTAGCAAGGGTGTTCAGAGAGCCGCCGCCGCTCACGTTTCCCGTTCCTTAACAAAACAGAAACTTACACGAGCGGAACAATTATCGCTCAGGAGCATCCGCGCCATGCAAATCAATCATGAAGAGGTGGACTCGGTGCTTATTAGTAGGACGGAACGGATCGCCGAGAACATGATGCACATGCGGCGGGAGATTGAAGCCAAGAGCAAAGAATGGGCCGAGGTGTGCGCACTGATGTCTATCGTGCCTCTTGCCAGCGTTTCTTCATCCAGTTTCGAGTGATCTTTCGATAGACACGTTGCGCAGCCTATAGGTAGACTGCCGATATGAGCTCGAGAAACCTTGCGGGGACACACACTGCGGGGACACACACGACTGCTGTTGCTGTAAGCGGATCATGATCGGAGATAACGCGCGGTGCTCGTGCGCACCTTGAACACCAGGCCCTCCTAGGTGCACAAGATGGCGTGATCCGCTCGCGCCTCCACGCGCGAAAACGAACGCGCGACATAATTTCCGCTGTGGATGAACGAATAGCTGTGCTGAAAGCTGAGCTTGCAGAGACTGATCACCACGTGGTTGGACTTTCAAACGGTGAGATCTCAAGGCTACTTTTCTCTAACTCCTGAAGACACCACGCACTGAATACAGCGAGAGCAAGCCTATTGTTTGAGCGAGTAAGTTCTCTGTTCGGTAATTTCATATTTCTAGATGGAAACGCCATGAAGACACCGGTGACATCACGGACCAGGATGCTTCCTGCCAACCTTTTCGAGCAGAAAGCGAGGAGTTCGTAAAGGCCAAGGGAATGTATACTCGCAAGGCAGAGCATCTTCAACACATCGTAGAGCAGCAACGAGCCCGCCTGGAGCAGATATCTGTGGAATTGGCACGGACGAAGGAAGAGGCAAGTTTGCGATTTCAGCCGTCGCCCTCTTACTACCACAGCTGCTCTCAAGATGCAAATCTGCTTCTATGTGGTTCACACGAAGTTCACGTTCAAGTCCCTTGCCACTTGTGACCCGTCCTCGCGTGTTTCCTTTTTCGGCACGGCTAAACACCCCACCGGTGGGGTAATTTCTTAACCACCCTTTCGTCGTGGGTGCGTAGTTGCGATCGAGGTAATCAATCCAGCCTGGGACGTTTGATTCGCGCTGTGCGACAGCGCCTACGAAGAGATCCTTGAGACACTTCATACAGACAATCAAACCTCCGTATAAGGTCTGTTGCACGGTTGCGAAAAACCCAGGCTGGCTCACTTGACGACAGCCTGCAGAATATAGCGCGGCTGGAATCAGCCGCAGAGGGAGGGGGGAAGAACGCTGCTTCCTCCGCAGAACAGAGCGAAGGGAGGGAACAGTTACAGGTGAGTTCACGATATTCACGATACAAGTCTTGTCGTTCGATGGAGGGGGGGGGGAGGTCCGCCGTTTTCTTTTTTATCTGTATTGCAGGTTCCATTTACAGGGCCTTGCTGTCATCCCTAGTGCTTGAAAAGCGTACCGCCTATGCCTCGAAAGAAGGATCTGCTGCGTGTTGGTCGACCGAAGGTATTCTTAATGCTGCTTCAGCGGAGGTGAACGTATGCCGACTTGTGTGAGTGCGAAATGACTTGATACTCCATGCAGGCCTTGGTCAGAGAAGAGGCGCGAAGGAAAAATCAGGAGCAGGCACAAGCAATAGCGAGGCGGGCAGGTGAGCAAGTCCTTGAACAGCCTAAGGTAAAGGTAGCCGGAACTGACCATACCTAGTGATGGCACGGGTTCTTTTTGCGCCATCGATCGTTGTTCTATGTACCACACACAACGCAGAGTACAAGCCCATCCCTAACTGTTTTGAAACCTATTCACGAGCGTCCTTCGCCACGGCTTTGTTTGGAAGGTTTGCTGGAGGAAAACAAGCACCTCCGAGAGGAAACAAAGAAAGCGGAATCCGCCTTCAGCAATTCACAGACCCCCGAGGAGACAAGAAACTCACTTCTACGCCTTCACGAGACCGAGGCGAGCAACCCCGACTGATACCCCTTGCCTCTGTGAATTAAACCCCCGTGCAGAGTGTACGACTGTGTGAAAACTGTCGAGAGAAATGCCAGACGTAGTCGCTCAACTCTTAAGGATACCGCCTCACGCCGCATGTTATGCGCGACTCTAACGAAGTCTGAGACCCGTTGCCATTCCTTCGTTCGAGCACCTATGCCTGTATGCATGGCTTTTTTTTTCTTCTTTTTCCTCGCCGGGAGTGATTTTGTCTTGCTTGCGCTTCTTTCTAGTGTCCCTGATGTTATTGCCCGCCGATCCCCTGTTTGTTGTTAACTTTCTTCTTGGGAAGATCGAAAGTCTCAAAGCGAAGATCAAGAGTGCGAGCACAAAGCTGGCCCAGACCGAACGCCAAATCAGTCAATCCGCCTCCCGGAACGTGCGTAGCGCACAGAGTGCTCAAACCAAGCCTCGGACCAATGTCGTGGCTGACGAAAAGCGAGGGGGAGGGAGCTCAGACGAAGGAAACCAAGGTGATTCTCAGGCATGGTACCGTCTTGAGATGCTTCGAGCACAGCACTGTGTGCTTGTGGAAGACCTGCAGCGCAGTGAATCTGCCGACGTTGGCAAGGATGACGATCCTCTGCGTCAAGCATCCCTCTTAACGGCCGCGTGCTGGCAGCTACGCGACAACGGTTCTAGCGACGCAGGAAACGAGCAGGGCACCGCTGCTGCGCTGGAGCTGGCAGCCGCCGTTATCGCAGCTGGCTTGACGTCGGGGTCATCTGATTTGTCTCGGAGAATGATGGACACCCTCCGTTGGGAGGTGAGGAAGATGCTTCATGTCACATGGAACGAAGCGTGTGCTAGGGAAACCAGTAATGGTACATCTGCTCGTAGGACGTGCGGCTAGATGGGCAGGCACCCACCAACACCAGCTGCTGTGTTCCACATATTGGCGTGGCTCTGTTTGTATTCGGATGCTGACTGTTACCCAACTGCATCCTTTGCTGACGATTTCGTTCCACAGGGACAGGCTCCGCCCTTGGAAGACAAGCTGGTTGGTATCGCAAGTCGAGTGAGGTGGATGTACCTTGTCCGTCTTGCCGTGGAGCTCGGTCTCTGCGATTTGAGCGAATGGCAAGAAGTTTCGAACCTGTTGGCCGAACCTAAGAAACCGATCGACTTAGGAAGTCTTTACGAGACCCGGCAAGGTATCCACGCTTTATTCCATGGCTTCCGTGGCGGCGACGGTCCTCTCCTTCTTGACGGTGTTTTTCCGAGGTCGACGGAATCACGAGGGGAGCTGGTAAGCTTAATAGAACGGGGCCAAGCTCGCTTGGCGAAGTTGAACGTACTGCTACGCGCCCTCTGGAGCGAGTCTGCGGGCACTGGACGCGGCAGTTTTGAAGATCGCACGGAAGCCCTCAACACTCTCGTTGGGGTGATGGTGGGTGAAAGCCAACTCCACCCAAACTTTGCTCTGAAGCTATTCTCCGCTCTGGGTCTTGATGTCATTCGTCGAGCCAAGTCCGGTCCCGATAAGGTTCCGCAATCTCTCCAGGGCGACATCGCAAACCTGGGCTTGTCGTCCGGAGGTGTGTTGAGCGAAGCAAGTCAACGAGCGGCATTGGCCGTGACCAAGCTGGCCGCACTTGCGAGAATTTCGGAGGCCCTCAGCAAGAGTCGTGACGAGCTCTCCCTTGATGTCGCGCAACGCGGCGCAGCACTCCAGGCCGAGCTTCGGGTGCAAGTGAGAGCGTACGTTGAGCACCACCAACATCAACAGAGAGAGGAGGTTCTGAGCGCTGCCGAAGACTTCATAGCTGAAATGCCGCCCGAGGAGGCCGAGCACGGTCCAGGGAATAGCCAACTCGACATCATGACGCACCTTCTCGAAGCGATCATCACCGGGTGAGCGTTCCTATTTGCTGCCAGAAACCGCCGCCGTGCGGGAGAGAGGGTGAGATAGTGCCTTCGTTACCGCACCGGACGAAATGGGGTTTCCCAAACACCGCAGTTTTTGTAATATTGTCCAGCCCCTTGTCTGACCCGCATTGTTCCGGACTCCAAAGGCGGCGCCAACACCTCGACAATGTTTTCAAACCGGACGCTAGGACAGCGAGCTTACAAGAAGACATATCAGCGGAGTTTAGCACTCCATCCGGCAAGGAAGCACGCGCCCAGGTTTGGCTCAAGATCAACCTAGTGGCTCTTGGACACCTCGTCAAAAAGCTGTAGCGCATGGAACTTTTGGCGTCCATGAGGGAAATCTCTAGCTCGAAGCGGTGTTGGACACGACGCACGGACACTACATGGCAGAATGTCTTTGGCGTACCGTTCGTTCGTTCCAGAAGGTTGTACAACCTTCGTTTTCTTCATCCTTCATGCGGCAGTCAATGAGGGCTAAGACATCGTCGTGCATTGTTAGGGATCCGTTCAAAACTTGTTTCACGAATAGTGATATGCCCTCCCGCGTTCTCCCATGCAGGGCGGCGTTCCGGATGCCGCGATGGTTGGCTCGAATCACAGCAGTGAGCAAGCGCTCGCAAGTCCTACGGACCGGCGTACACCGGATCCTATGAAGCAAGACCGCCATCGCCTCGATGCGAGAGGAAATTTGCTCGAAATCTTTGCCAAGATAGCCAGCGCCATGCCTTGTGATCCCGACCAGGATGTTGCAAGCGCCTGGCGCACGATGCAGGCAAGTCGTACTTCGATTGGTCACAATTGCCCGTGTCGGCGCTCTTATTGTTGCCCATGGTTGGCTTCCCGCCGGTCTACGGCAGTGCAGAGGTCATTGGCATAGACAAGCAACGGCATCACCAACAAATATTAACCCGGGGATAAAACATTCTTCTTTCCACACCGTGTTGGAAAGAACCAGTGGGGGTGACTGCCAAAGTTGGAAGCCTCACGATTCGAGTGACGAAACGACTCAGTAATCAGAGATCGGCTTGGCTCTGCCAAAACGAAGGCAATCTTAACTGGCAAGGTTTTTAACGGTTGAGTGGCTCACCCGCGAGAAATCAAGACGGGGCACGCCCAGGTGCCCCTCATCTTCTATCACACACAGTAAAACCTGTAGTCTAGCGTATATGTTTCGAACGGATATCTGTGTGTTCCGCCAATGTTGCTTTTGGCATGACGGTTAAATCGTTTGCGCCCAACGCAACCAACAGGCAAGGATAGAAAGACCGCGCGGTGACGAAGAGGTCGAGTTGGAAGCTTTCGAACTCGCTATGGACGCCCAGGTTTGTTGCGATGTTTAGCAGCCAACCAAACAATCAAGCCCTTGAGGTACTTTTCACTACGTTTTCGGCCGAATTGCTTCACGCGGCACGTGGTACAATACCCTCTCTTGGTGCTGGGGATGATTTGATGTGCTTGAGCTTGCCGGGTGTTCCAGCTGTGTAAACAACGTGCTCTCTCGGATATATCTTTCGTTGAATGAGCGTATACACCAATCAATGCCGGTTGTATCGCTGGAAAGCCCCGAGCTTCTCGAAATTCAGTCACCGTACGGCCTCTCTTCAGTTTCACGTGCATCCCTCAAATCAAGGGCTATGCTCACGCGCGCAGTACTTGCCACGACGGTGCCCTCGCCTGCCTGTCCGACCAGGCGTTAGAGACCCTTCGGGAGAGTCTACTAGAGGCCATCCACAGGCCGGAACGCAACCTCTTCGACCTCCCCGTCAGCGTCAACGAAGAGATCGAACAACCTCTTAGCGGCGGAATACGGCTGATAACTGCACCGCTGTCTGGTTCAGAGGTACGCCTTTGCGTCGCAACTTCGTGTTGGATTGTAATTTACGCTGGAAACGTGTGATGACGCGAACCATGTAACACTGCTCAGAGCGATGACTACGTCGGGCCCACATTGATAAGAGAAAAACAGTTGATGTAGTATAGTCTACGCACTTTACCGGGATAAGCCGTCCTGATCGTCGTGATCGAGTATGTTGTGGCGATGTGCAAAAGGACGAAGAACGAGGCGATCGCCCGCTGGAAGCGATCAGTTTTATGTCTTCATCTGGAATTGATCGGTTGTCCGTCTTTATCGCATGGTTTCATCGAACGGATGTATATGTATCGTGCGATTGGGTTATGGAGGAAAAGAGAAAAGAAAAAGGGAAGGCAGCAAGTCCGTTGCTCCTGGCTTTTCGGGTACTCACAGTTGTTGTTTGATCTCTTGTTTAGCCTTCTTAGACTAGGCCCGCTCAGCGCCCACTCGGAGAGTGAGGGAGCGGGGCTGGGATTTTGATCCTCCTTCAAGCTACTTCAATACCCCTCAACGACGCCAAATATCCATATCCAACGAAAATTCAAACTATGCAACAAGTGCTCATATGCATACAGCGTTCATGAAACGCTCATACAATGCTCATACACTAGTTGCTCCATTACAATTGCGAGCGATGACACCGTTTGGATTTATCACACCCCTTGTGCGTTAACTGTGCGATCACTCCAACAACTCCGGGGAAACCAACCCCATGTGTGGCGTTCGAGGCTGCGTGCTACCACGAGTCCCGGGGCACTTCTTGAGCTGTACGTAGCAACTTTATCGCAATGCTAAAAGAATTCGCAATGCTAAAGAAGTCGACATGTTTCGCCGGGTTCACAGTGCTTAAAAGCTGCGTGTATGGCATGGTGCCGGTGCACACCCAGCAAAGATATTTGGTTCATTGAATCGGCAAATGAACAGTATCCGCAACGAAGGACATAAAGGAACACACCACCGCACCCGACAACCTACTGATGCAGAATAGATACCGAAAAGTGAAGCTACAAAACGGAACATATAAGCCAAGAACAAGCTCGAAGACAAAAGGATAATAGTGGGCTATTGCTTTTTTGGATATTCCTGTACACTGCCGCCATTAAACTCGAAGTATGCCCCACCGGTCACCACTAGCTGCACGCCCCAGCGTTCCAAGCGATCAAGCTGCTACGCATTGTAATTAGTCCCGAGACCAGCAAGAACACCCATTTGTATTTTCTTGTTTTGTTCAGTATCACCTAGTCCGGAGTTATCGCACAGGAGGAGTGTGCATCAGTACCAGAATGTAGTGATTAAATCCGATTTCCGCACAGAGATCGGAGTTATGGCACAGCAGTCCGACAATATCGGGCGGGGGTGCGTAGAAAGGACAAGAATTTATGATAGAGAGCAATCGCACCCCTGTGCCATCACTCGCTAGCGTACAGTTAGTTTTGAATGTCCTACTCGCTGCGCTTGGGGGGCAATCGCAAGTCTCCGTGGTGTGTTTGCCGTTGGATATGAGCTCAGGCATAGAGTGCAGCTCTTAGGCACAGGGGGATGCAAGCATGACCGTGTGTTTAACCATTGCTTTCACGGGACATTTTTTTCTTCTTGCAGGGCGCACGAAAAACTTCTTACGAGAGTCTCCCACGTGGTTATAATGTTTTCGCGTATCCGTACGGCAGAGATCAGCAGGACACCCAGTCGTGTCGGTGCTGGCTGGTGTTGTGTCGAAAGAGAGCCTAACGCGTCTCAAACCAATAATCCAACTGCACCTCCTGCCCCCAGGTGACACATGACGACGAAAAGAAGGCCCTTCAACGCCAGGCAGAAGCGGTTCGGTACAAGAACGCGATGAACATCGTTGCAAGGACAGGGTTGGCTCTTCCATCGCCAGCTGGAGTTGGGACTCCTTCCCTGACCGCGTTTGTGGCGGCAGCGAAACACGCGAAGAGGTGAGCACGGGTTGACGCCATGCTATGACCGTGACGAGGGAATGTCAATGCCATGCGCCTCTCCAATTGGCCCACCTTCTTTCACAGACCGATGCATCTTTCATTTCCTTGACGTCGTCCATTTGCCACGCATCGTACGATAGGTGGAGATCCGCGGCGCAAGACGATGGGTCCGGGCTTGGTCGACCAGAACTGGAGCGCCTAAACTCTATCATGGAAATGCGCATTACGAACCTCTCTGACCAGCTCGCCACGCTCGTCCGAAGCAAGAACGTGAGACTGTCCTCCTTCAACACATCGAAGAAGGGCTGGAGAATAAAAAAACAGCCGATTATTTCTTGTCGAATCTGTAAATATCTGGTAACAACGCGCAGATGTGCGCTGCTTCCCTTGGGATGTGACAGGCATTCCATGTGCGGAAACCTACTCGATACAAGAGAGAAGCATAGCAGTGTCAAGATAAAGATTGCGACGTAGACGTTCTTGTTCGCGTTTCTTTTGTGTGCGCGAGACTTGGGCATGCACCGACTCGACACCTCTTGGCCAACAATGAAAGCGTCTGACTGCACAAGCTGCGGGATGCCTCATATCGTAAATTTCTTTCCAGGTCGAACCAGGCACAGCAAAGCAGACGAAGGCGGACCATGAGGTGGTGTTGTCTCCAGACGATTGGGTTAAAAGGTTTGAAGCACTATTATACGGGAAGTTCGTAAAGGAAAGCAGGAACGAGGAACGAAAACGAGAAATGGAGAACGAGGGCCCCTTGTTCGTAGCTTCGCCCCCCTGTTTGTAGTTTCGCGTCAGTTCGGTCGGAACATCGCGGTTTTATTTTACGTCGGAGGAAACGTGGACGAAATCCAAGTTCGATTGCTTCCTTAGAAGGCGTTGCTCGGGGAACAAATACATATTTCGCTTCGTCAGCAGGGGTCATTGGTGCTTAGTTACCTTTCTCTCTCGAGCGCTCTCTCTCACGCCCTCTGAGCGTCTCCGGAAGAGCTTTAGCGAGGCTGCCAGCCGAAAACGACAAGAGCTTCTGTCAGTGTGCATTGCTCGTGTCAGCTTGAACTGTTGTTGTTGTTCTAGCTGTTGGTTTCAAACAGAGCCCGTGCCGACGTGTATACGTGTGAACCCAATGCCACGGTTAACCAAGCTGTCGAGGGACAAATTGCGGTGGTTGAAGGCCACAAAACCGCAAAAACAAACCATTCACTAAATATGAGGCCGAATACCAAGGAAGCATTAGACAAAGAGATGTGGAAGACCATTTCCACGATGTTGCTCAGCGACACCATGACTTTTGTTAAACCCCAGGGAAAGGCAGCGGCTCAACGCAAGGATACGGATACGCAAAGAAAAACTCCATGGCATGGAGACGAGGCTCCGGGATATAAGAAAAGGCGACAAAGGCAGAACTGTGAGCTACGTAAATTTTCTGACGTGGCACTCGGTACCCGTACCAACGTTTCATTTTCCTAAGAAATATATGGATGAGAACCTTGCCGTCGATTTCACGTTGACAGTGCTTGTTTTGTCTACTCCTTATATCAATCTGCCCTTCTCGACGCCTGCCTCCTTTCCGCACACGCTTGTCGTTCGAAAGGGTGACGTGGAGGCTATATGGATGTCGGAAGAAGCGAGACTTGAGATGGAAACGAATCTGCTTCTGATTTCCAGGAAGATTGCCAAGGCGAACTTTCTGCTGCGAAAAATGCGGTCTCGATGGGATATTTTCAGAGAGAGGCACAGGCATCTGGCCCCTCTTGTACATGACAGGTATCGCCAGTGTCGGCTGCGCAGGTGTTATTTCGGACGTATCTTGAGTTCGGATCTGCAATAGCATAACAACATCAAACATGTGACCCTCCACGTAATGTGTTGATGTTTTTACATCTTTTCAGCAGTACTGGAGGTCCAATGACGCCTGCTGCAACAGGACTTTATGGTGTGTGTCCAATCGCTGTACATAGTGTTGCGGGACGCCGGCATACAGGAAAACACCAAAGAGGTAGAAGGGTAGCTCCTAGGCTGGAGCTTGCGCAAAACGTTTGCAGGGTCGATGACGAGACTACCGCATGTTCCATGTTATCAGGCTGACCCAGAGCGACACGTTCAAGAATGGAGCATCTGGCGCCAGAGTAATTACTGAGACATCACCCCGTGAGAGGTCACAACGACCACCACCAACATCGTCTTCCGTTGTTGACGCTCAGGTGACTTTCAGTATAAAGCGGGAGCGTCAGGCTGAACGAAGCTCAATGCTTCCTTGTTGACATTTTCTGCCGTCTGGAAGTACATTGATTGCCCAAGTTTCCCTCCTACGAAGGGGTGGGGGGCCACCTACCTAAAGAGCGCGGTCAATGGCAGTACTGTAGATTGCAAAATGGAGCATCAATGGATCTACGGTTGTGGTCGGGTTGTTTCTGCGCACTGCTGTTTTGGGTATTGGGAGAGCTAGTGTGCAAAACAAAAAAAAAACGGGGTAGCAACCTTATCTGGATCCTTTCTCTGTCCTTATTTTCCCATTGAGTCTGCATAACCTTTCGGATAAACTTTCGGGTTGGAAAACCTGTAGCACGCGTGGAGTGAGAGTACAGCTCACCCGGGCATAAAGTTGTGTTCTTCGGAAGTACAAGACATCGGCGGGGGAGAAGGTAAGCCGAAGCAAGACTTGACCTCTGCAATATTGGGGTTCAGAACAACGTGCGCAACATCCCGCATGTCCTCCGCATGACCGTCTTTGCATCCAGGCCGGAGGCAGTCGCGTCAGTGGTTGATTTGCTTCTCGTCGCCGGCATCGACGTGAGGGGCAACTCCCGCCGGAGGACAAGAAATATGACACGTTGTCACACGCTTCCCAATCGCAGTGTGGAACTAGAGGATTGGTAGGAGCAGAGCCTTGGCGGCATCAATACATGGCGAGCGGTGATTAGATGCGCGAAACTTCGGCAACGGCGGCAAGCGTGGGAACAGAAGAACTTAGCGGCGCCGCGAAAGATCGTCCGGATAAGAGGTCGAAAGCAACGGGCCTGCCAATGTTCGCGGAGGGCTGCAGACTCCGGATTAGTGTGCCAAATTGAGCGGGGTCGAGTCAAATACCACAGCAAGTACTATTGTAGTGGGACCTTCATTCTGACGACCCAAGCCAACACCTGGAGGGTTGGGACCTGAGGTACTGGTTGACTTGTTGAACAGCAACATGCTTCTTTGAAACAGTGTACAAGAGTAGAGCTACCTTTGGGATTTGAATCAGTCAAAGACATACACTCAAGACACAACCACGCCGACTCAAGTGAAAATCCACAAAGCGTGGGCATGCCATTTCGCGTTGTACACTGCGTTTTCCCATCATGTACAAACATACAGTAGTTACATCTACGTACCCGGACAATCGAAGGGGACGACTGGCATCAACACCGAACTTGTAACACTGCGTGCGAAGCAGTCGTGACCACATCCAACCATCCACAAGCAAGCAAGGACACGGATCCCGCACACGACAAAAAAATAACCCGAAGAATCACATCACGCGAGAGGCCAGTCGCGCATGCTATTGCGCCCTCCGCTAATCTTGTAGTCTAGTCCTAGCTGCAGCACGCGGGCTACACGTGTGCATGCACATGGTACCGGTGCATCAAGTATGCAATAAAAATACAACGTGATGAACTCAAACTCTGAAACCGGCCCCGTCTGTACAAGAGTCTGATTCGCAATATCTGTCCGGGACTTCCTCCACGCGCACACCATCGCCCTCTCCTCGAGTTTGCCCACGTCGCCGCGAAAAATTTAAATGTCGCAACTTGGAGATCTGGCTCTTGTACTCGTCCTCCGAAATCGCCTCATACGGCATCTGCGAAACGTTCGTAACCAAGAAAGCCAAGACATCGAGCATACGGCCAGGGGAAATGCCAGTCGGGGCCGAGCAGTCAAGACGGGTCTGCACCTGGCGCAAATTACACAAAGCCAGAAACTTCTCCAAATGCATCAATATTACTGTTACTGTATCCGACTCTGAGAGCTCGGTCGGCTACGTTTCACCACGGACGCGAGTCGCAGACTGACCTGTGGGAAAGCGCCGTAGTCCATCCTGGGAAGAAAGGACACGCCTTTCAGCTGATACTGAAAGTAGTCCAACGCGTGAGCCAGGTGATGGCCTTCTGTCTCGGGATCGAAGGTAATCGTGCAGCTCACCTGCACGAAAACAAAAAGGGCATACCGCTGAATACACAAGGTTGAAGCACGCGACGTGAATAACCAGCTGCCTGGCACACGCATTTGTACATCTCGTTGAGGTCCAGAAGGCCATACGCAACGCACAGAAAGCTTGCCTGATTGTCGGCCCAATACCGTTGGAGGAACGCAGCGAAGCTAAGCTGCTCCCACATGCTAAGGTCTTGTGCGGTGCGCACACCTTCCCCAGCGTCCACAGGGACTTCCACGACCATAGTGCCTTCAGGGTTTTCAGCTGCAGGCTCTAGCCTGAGAGGTAGGGGGTTAGGCAGGTCAGATCAAATGTAACATAATGCAAAGCGATAGAGCAGGCCATCTTCGGTTGCTGTGTGAAAAGCAGTCGGGGCGGGCTTGGGCCCACATCTATCGGAGAGAATCGTACACATTCGGCGTACCTGTAACCCGCTTCTCGTAATGGCCCCAGCACATCCGCATCCGAAGCCATTCGCACGCGCCTTATGTAGAACCTGGACTCCGGGTAGTGCATGCCTACATAGAACGGAACCAAGACACGTCAATACGAGCACGAGCACGAGCACCCATCGGCTGAGCGATAAGCACGTTGGCATACGAACACGAAGCATAGAAAGCATCGAAACCGAGATGACCCTTCAAAACCATCTACCCCAACGGTGTCTCAGATTTGGACCCTTTACGCAGCAGGCAGTCTTCTTCGGCCCGAACCGAACGAGACAAGAGCCGCCGGTTGACACCACCGCGCGAGGTACTCTTGGTTCGACAATATTGACAAAGACTGTGTGACGCTCCAACTTTGATTCGTTCTCCGAGTTTGTACGCACTTGAAGCAGGGATGTCGCTGCTTAGTCTACCGCTCTGAGCTACCCTGTGCCCAACCTCGCTCCCTACATACCTGGGGTCGCCCCAGCGAGAAGAGACACCGTCCCACTCGGCTTGATGCTTGTGGTCTTGATCGATGTTGGGATGCCAAATTGAGCTGGTACGATTGAAGTCACAACACGAGGTCGCAGTCGAGCCAAGTGTGCCTCAGTGACGAACCCCTAGACATGTACTAGCATAACATAAATGAGCTCTGGGCAGATAAGGGGTGGAACGTCAGAACATAAATAGTACAAGTACACAGTTCTGCCGAAACGAAGGACCACAATCGGGGGCAATTTCGAAATTCGCGCAGACCCCGATTCACTGCATGTGTACTGAGTTCGATGTTTGGCACCATCGTGAACGTAAACAAACAGACGCAGATCCCAGGTATGGCCCACGAGTGGGGGGAACTCGAAGGCAATGCGGTCTTGCGCAAATCCTGTGTGGTATCTGAAAATCTGAATATAATACGCGGCGCGATGTACACCACCGGTTCTGTAAGGTCTCACTTGAAAGATCCTCGTCTATTCGGGAGACAGCCTCGTATCCCTCTTCGCACCACTCTTGCAACGTCCCCAGACCCCTCGCCGCGACAAACTGAGCCAGCCCGCTCATGCTTTCAAGACGGAAAAAAGGGCGAGACACACGCGATCAGCCACGAAGAAAGAGCGATAACACAATTCGGCCAACAAGAACAACACACGAAGGTCGACTCAAGGGCAGTGATGCTCCGGGTGGAATGGGACCAAGCGGGTGGGTCAATCACCCCGCCAACGAACAATTGTAAACCTTCCAGGTGTTGTAATTACTTGGTTTTTGTTGGGTTTAAATTTTTGACTGGACGAAGGTACATACCTGCACCCAATCCTGCGGTTCCGAAACAAAATTTCGTTTGTCTTGTCCCAATGAGTCCCCCCCAATGTCACTGTCTTAGCGTACAGCATGGCGAACCTGCCATTTCCAAGCATGGAAGGAGATGGGTTGAAGGAACTCCCGAATAGCGCAGGCGGGGGAGGTCAAGCATGGCACCTGGCACGAGTACCGCTAAAGCGACAAGTATATCGCCAGGCGCCGTAGCAATCCTGTAGAGAGATGTTGTCTTAGTTGTCTCCTATCAAAAAAGGCATGACTTTGACTGAGCACGTCCTCTTCCTTTCCTTGCTCTCCCTTTCCTTGCTTTTCAAAGCCCGAGACAAACTGCCATGGCTAACCTACCCAACAACAAACAGAAAACAAACGAGCCAGAGCAAGTCTCCCCACTCCCCAAGGAATAAACAATTCCAGTGAAAGTACAACGTGATAAAAATAATCAACGTCGATGCCATTTTCGCCGGGGGCGAGTGAAGGAGAGAGCTTTCAAAACAACACGACGACGACAACCTGTAACAGTGAAGTAAACCATGCAGCGACACCCCATCTCACCTTAGAGTCGTCAGAAAGTCTTCAAGGGATTCGTGCTTGTCGGGGAACGTTTCTACGAGGCAGCACATCTCGAAACTCTCCAGCGTCTGCTCCAGGCAGGGGTTTCCACCCATGGCCTTGGAGTCGCGGTCGTTCTTCTCGTCCCCCATGCGACCGTATGTTCGCATGTTCTCCAGCCATGCGAAGCCAGGTTCTCCATTCTGCTGGATGCGCTCGCACACCTTACCGTTCGAAACATTCATCAGTACATGGAAATCGCGTAACACCATGGTTACAACCGTTGGAAAATAGGAAAGGAAATGTAAAACAAACGAGGCAGTTGACTACCGTTGGTGCGTGACCATTGGCCCTAAGTGCAGCCTGTGTCTGAGATACCACTGTACTGTACCTTGGTGTAGTCCATGCCCAGCGGCGCTAGCACGGAGTTGTTTGAAGCCCACCCGAAACTCGCCCGGTCTGGGTTCTTGTCGTAGTTTTTGAGGTCGATGTACTCATCGCTTCCTGGATCACCGAACGCGATTTCGGCCGTTCGTCGGACGTTGCCGGCCACTACGCATACTCCCACCTGTCCCGTGCAACGAATATTGCAGTAGGTCGTTCAGAAAAAAAAATCTCGCGGATGGGCAGAGGTGACAAAAAATCTGCCGGAGGCTTTGCTTAGCTTGGGTCCTGAGTGCAGTCATTGAGAAACGCGGGCTCAGAACACCTGGGGCGCGCCCATCTGCAATTCATTCCATACGTTACAAAGCGTACATGCATTTATCAGCTTAGGCAACTGTATCTCTGTTGTGACATGTGGTACGAGAAGACACACCGCCTCAGGTATAGCTGAAATGTGCACCGCTGGCATCTTCCTAAAATCGAAGGGGGTTTCTTGAGCCCGCCTTACACGCATCTTGGGGAGGCTCGCCCATCTATCCGACCTAACTAACGCTGAGTTTGACACAAGGCCAGGCTCGCTCGCGACGAGACACCGCGCAACGCCCCTCCCTACACCAGACCTCAGAACAGGGAGGAAACAAAAACGAGAGAATGCGGCCAAGGAACATGGAAGGCGCACCTTGTTCATGAGATCGACGATAGCCGTCACCGACAAGGGTTTCCCGATCAACGGATCCAGCGTGGCCTTCACACTGGCCATTAGCTCCACCAATGGAGCACTTCCTTGTGAAACACCTCCGAACCCCCGGATGGGTGCCCCGGCAGGCCTGCAAACACCCACAGATGGCGGCGGTAAGCACCGTTCTCACGCGGGGTACAAACTTCACCACATCCTCTCGGCCATATGGCAGTTAAAGCCGCCGTCCAACTGCATGGTGTTGCACCGATATCAAAACGGAGAGAGAAGTACCTGCATCTCTCTAAAACAACGAACCAATCGCGGGAGTGCGGCAGCAACTTGAAAAAAGCCAAATTTAGAGCCGAAAACACACACTGATAACGTGAGCTCAATCGCCCGGAAGGAGGGCCATACGCGCAAGCAGCGTGACAGGTTGTTGCAAGCGGAGGACACTATAAAATATTCTTACCCACCTCAAGTTTGACACGTCCAAGACGGGTACTTGATGGCCAAAGAAGTACGCCTCCAGGAGGAGTTTGAAAGCATCTCGCCATCCCTCCCGAGAGTCATCCACCACGATGTTCAACTCGCTCGGCCCCTGAGGGGTGGACGCAACAAGCAACGAGGAAAATTGAGGGTTTCACCTGCAAGTACAGAGGCTGATATCAGGAATCATGTGATTTGAAGCGAAAGCACCGCATTTTGTTGTCTAACGGAGGTCATCCGGGCGATCCGCGCTTGTGCAGAGCACAACACATTTCACGATACCGCAACGTGCTGCGCAGGGAAGCGACTCTATTCTTGCAGACAGCCTACGTCCCCACCTCTCGACCCTCGGCGCTCCCGGGTGCCACGACGTCGATCGTTCCCGCCCCTTTCGTATCGAACCCGACCCCGACCCCGAGCATAGACGCGTCCATCAGGAAGCAAAAAGGAGCAGTCGGGTCCGACGCTAGGTCTGCGGGTGTGTGGCGGCAGCGAAGCGTATCTTTATCTTTGTATCTCATGCGCAGCGAATAAACGTATTGGTGCACCATGACCGTTCAAGATAGCGCGATTGACTCAGTCATGACAATACGGGGCTCCTTGAACAGCCCCCCCCCACCCGGTTTTCGAGGAAACCCACTAGGTGCACTCGGAAGTGGCAACCTCCGACCCACCTCGGGTGCTGACAAATGCGCAGTTGTTGAGAGCCGCGTATAGGCGCCGTTCCGTAGTCAGCTTGGAGCCCATCGCCCAAAGCCCTCGGCCCGGAGGAAGGAATTTGAAGGCAAACATTCGCCGATACATCTCCTGTGCCGTACTCTGTGCCTGAGCGACCAAGGAAAAGCGATACAAGAAAGCGTTAAACCATGACAACCAAAAACATCGGACAAGGCCGTTGGATCGGAAAGGTCCCTCCACAGCTGTTCAACTGCTTCCACACAAGTCGAAAAAAAACACATGCCAAATAGGTTACGACGTCGAGGCACCCATAAATCCGCGGCCGTTGGCACGGAAGGCAGAGAACAGCTAGCGTTGGGCTACACAAGAGCTTGCCGTGAAACGCACAGACGTCGTAACGGCTACTAAATATGAGGCTTTGAGACAAAAAAAAACAGTCGTCTAATAAAAGTGTGCAGTTGGCGTATTGATCCACTCTTGAAGCATTAGTAGGTTAACCCACCTCTTGTTCGTCCCATCGCATACCCCGAGAGAGCATCCACTCCTTTTGCATGCTGAATGTACCGTTCACCACCCGTTCAATGGTTTGATACCTGCGGGCGAGCCACACGGGGGTGGTTAGCACGGTAACACCGATAGCATCGGCGGCTCGCTCAACTGGACATACATCACGAGTCGCTACGGGATGTACCGACAAGAAAAAAAAAAACTCTCTGCCCGGCAGCAAAACAAAAGGCACGCTCGGTAAAACATCGCACATGCATCTTCGTTGCCTTGCCTGTCATTACAATTGGAAACCCCGGTGTGACAATTCCAGCAACTTCATTACATGCCATGATGGCAATTTCTCATGTTTGCTTCCGTGTTCACGCCCCCTCCTAGCTAAAAGTAGCTCAAACGTCACCATCCATCCATCATAATGTAACATGAGGCAATCGCCGAGCAACGAAAAAACAATGAATGTACTGACGTACGGACAACGTTTTGCGCCCCTAATGTCAAGTCATTGTTGACCACGCACGGACCGAGGGGCGGCACGACAAGAACAAAATATGTTTAAATTTATACGCATGTCTACATGTATCCATAGTCAAGGCTTACGGGAGCGCTGTAGAACACCATTCCTTCCTTTCCAGCAAAAAGTTCTTTGTGGACACCCTCACCATTGCTCTCGGTCGTCCGTGTCTTCTCCCAGGTACCTGGCGTACGTTCGCTGGTAGACGAGCTCTCCGAGGCCGTTGAACCCAAACTGAGGCTTGCTGCCCCGCCCTTCCCTGTCGACAAACTGGGAGCACAGCTGAAACGCCGTATTGCTCGACTTCGCTTCCGCATCATTCGATGTGCCCAGCCCACCGATCCGTGAATTTCGTGCAGCTGCCGTGTCATGGGATGGCTCATCGCTGCCGTGCGCCGGCATGGCATCGGTTGCGGACGAGACAAACAACAAATAAGTGGTTCGATTGACACGTTTGCCTGATGACCGGAGCCCAAGAATTTCTTATCTCCAGTAACAAGAGGGTAAACGTCTGGGTTTTCCAGCACCAATCCTTTTATCGCGATTTCGCTGGCGGCAGCCACTCTGGATAACACCGATTGGCATCTTGGCGGGCAGGCGACCTGGTTAGAGGCACTTCGGCCGTCTGTAGCTTGTGACGAGTGTGGCGCATCTTCGACTAGGTTTCAGGTGAAGGCAAGTGGGAACAGCAGTCGAAAATAGCGAGAACGCCAACGTCCTTGCTCATCTCTACTTGGCCCCAAGCTCACCCAAAACTTTTAACTCGTGCTTATATCACGTGTGCATCATGTACGGTATCTCATGTCCATTTGGACTGTATGGCCTCAAAATCCTGCATACCCCGCTCTCCAGGCAAAGCATTCCATCAAATGAAGGCATAGACATGCAATAGTGTTGAACAAAGCTAACAGTTCTGAACCAGTAGGTGCAGACTAACTAGTAGATGTTTTTGCTAGCATTGGATTTCGTTCGTTCTTCGTATCTACTTCGAGTACTTCGTTTGTGTTTGTAATCGAGAGAGCGAGAGAAAAGAAAGAGGGAGGGAGAAAGATAAAAGGTGACAGTCCCGCCCTCGACAGCACGCAAGGCACGTGTTATGCCGAGCAAAATCGACCATGGTAACGCGCCAGCAAACCGACCTATATCGACTCTTTCGCCCATTCTCCCAAGGCATAAACAATGTCTTCCATGACTTCGTTCGTACCTGCTGCTCCCCTGAGTGTGAGTCTGCAGTGACACAACAACACCTACAAGAACAAAATATCCGCATGCGGCCGGGACTGCTGTGCGACCAACTACCGAACACATCCACACACCATAAAAAAAAACTCTAGAAACGATGAGATATACTGGATATGGTAACATAGACAGATAGACAGACCTACTGCTGTACCTTTTGGCGGCCGTACTTCAAACTTCAAACGCATTAACCGGGTTAGGTATTCGAGGCGGTACCCATCATGTTATGTAGGAGTGGTTGGTGCCTGATATCGACAAGTGCAGCTGACCTCCTTGATGTCCACTGGCTCGCCTCTGCAGCAGCAGCAGTAGCAGCCGCAGCCGCAGCTTCTACTCTCTCCACGGGCTCATCACCAGCGTGTTGTTGCGGTCTATACCCGGAATCCTGCGAAAGACAGCGGCCCTCCCCGACGCCGAGATGTCGGGTTACGGCGCTTGAGGTCCACAACGGGCGACCTTCTGGGGGTGCAGTTTCAGCTGGTCGTATCCGGCGGCTATTTGCAACGCTGCTGGGCCAATTGTGCGGAGATACGTCTGCTGCTGTTGCTGCTGTAGATCGACTGCTACCAAGCAAACCTCTACGCCGACACGCTTTCCCTGTAGATGCCAAGGCACGGCGCATGTAGCTCGCTTGTCGGAAACAGGTGGAACAGAGCATCGTGCCGCTGTAGCCTGGCTCGCATGATGTGGTGGGCTGTGGCTAGCAGCTAGAGGAGAGCCGGCACAGGGGCTGCGGGCACAGTGACATCGGGGTACATATACATGTGGGTGAAAACCCCATCGTCGACCCCCCCCCCTTTCACCCACTTTAATACAACAATTACTCTCACGCCTATCGCACTACACAGCTGATGTAGGGAGGAAACAGCAAGGCTGGTCATCATAGAGATAGGGAAGAACGTATTTTCCTCAAAGGAAATGTAGTTGGTTGGTTCCCTGTTTTTGGTGTACATGATATCAAAGCTTTTCTTCGCAGGACTACAAACTCCCATCAATATTTGGAAGAAAACCGAGACTGTGAGATCCAGGTGCACTCATGAGAGTGTTGGGAGGGGGCGCAGATTTCCAAAAGCTCGACCTTCGCCACAAATGCACAGCAGTAGCGAGGCTTGTAGCCGATTATTTGACAGTCCAAGGTGTGACCGCTTCGGACCATTCGGCCGAATACTGCCGAAGTCAGTCGCCCACGGATTTTTCTTGTCATGCCAACGGCGCGTGCAGCGGAGCGCATGTTCTGGACGGCTGCTACGGAGGGACGGCAACGAACGGAATGAAATCCTCACAACACATACTGTGTAGCTGAACACACCCCGCAACCCCGTAATGCTCCGGGGGGTCAGTGGGATCGGGAGAGAGGGCAGCAAGAGAACATGTGCTCAATCAACCCTTCCTTGTCGTCTTAGAAAGAAGGAAGCCTCTGCCAGCGATGGCCGTGGTGGTACGGTCAATGCTGCTCACGCCAGCGACAGACATAGAACAAAGGGTAAACCACATACACAACAACCACCAGGACCGGGGCCACAGCTAGACCTGCGGTGGCCGCACAAAAACGGTTCGCTTAAAAAAATAAAAGCTACATAGGAAGGTATTCTCCCACAATCGCAGATAGATATCAAACCCCAGAGCAACAAGTCTTTCTTCTCTGCGGCAACACAGGTGTTGCTATGGGGCCCCGAGAGCCGTTGTCTACATATATGGCGGGATCAGCCGCAGGTGTTTCGAGTTATACTGATGTAAAAGGATTGGTTGACAGACATTCGACACAACAAGTACACCACCATTCATTTTGACCTGCAGTGAAGAACGAGGATACCACATTTCGATACTTGTTACCAAAAGCATGACGCCCGAGAGTGGAACAAAATGGTAAGTTGACTGCTACCTGTAGGTATGCCACAACCACGACCTGCGCAACTGAGACTGAGCTAACACTAGAAACGACATCATTGAGTGGTAGAACCGTAAGTGCTGTTGCAATCGCCATGGCAACCTTCGGCGATTAGCTCTCCAAAACAAATTATCTACGAAATGCAACTTCAAAACACTACTGCTCTGGCGCCTCCTCAGCCGATTCCGATTCTGACCCATCATCATCAGCACCTTCTTCAGCAGGAGGAAGCTCTTGGGGTCGCCTTGAAGAAATGGCTTCAGGCACGTCGAGCCTGTATTTGCACAAGGGTTGCGTAGTAGTGCGCACAGTTTTCGAATATATTTATCTTGCCTCCCTGGGTTGCGATTCTCGCTCACGTTCTGTCTGGCGTTGAACTCTGGGGATGAAAGGTCTCGTTCAATGTCTACCCGTCGAGGCCACGGCAGGCTAGACCACCAAAAGGGCCTAGATCACCAAAAGGAGTGGAGAATAGCCAGAGCCAGCATGGTTCTTACCCGCACCTACGCACATGCAGATCTATGATACAAGTACTATGGTCGTACAGTTCTCGTGCAAAGGGAAACGGAACAAAATAAAAGCACCTCAAAAGGGGTACTGAAATATCCTTTTGCTCAATTCAACTAACGTTCCAGATGGTCACTAATGTCTACGATAAGGCACTTGTTCCCTTTAGGGCCACACACATGGTACTCCCATCACACACCATTCAACGACGTGGCAAACGTCTTACACCCATCTGGTGACGCGGCAACACAAAAGTAACAGTGGTCAATTACCTGGACGAGTACGGCACCCTGGGGAGCGCTAAGCCATCCATCGTAGCCCGCGACAACCGTTCTTCAAAGTTCTGCGCCCAGGTTTGTAGTCCAGCTTCTCCGCTCTTCCATCGGAGGTGCAGGACGCACGCTGGAGCTAAAATGTTGGAGTCTTCGAGGCTTTGGGTGCTATCTCGAGGCAACACTCGGGTTGGTGGCGCCATAAAGAGCTCGAAGTTGTGGCAAAGCTGTCCATCAACTTCAGCTTCCATGGAAAGGACTTGTCCAAAAACCTGATAAATAGTCTGCAACCGCGGTGGTGCAGGAATAATTGATGGCATGTTTGAAGTCTTCATAGTATGTGCTAGTAGAAGATTTGATGAAGCAGCAACCTCTAACTTTCGTGCTTGTCGGGGGCTCTGTCAGCTGTGTTCCACAGACGTCGTTCTGTGGAGATAGCCTTCAACAAGGGTGACATCGCCCGAAAGTCTGTCGAGGACGATTCCCCCTTTTTCACGCAGGCGTCGACAAGAAATATCCGATTTTGGTGAAAAAAAGGGGTGGGTTTGAATTCTGCCATCCACCATTTTTTGAATGAACCCAACGGTAGTGGGAGACACAAAACAGCATGTCGAGTTTGTGGAATGATGACATGGTGGGCGTAACGCACGCACCCCGTGAATCGAGTCACCGCCAGCCGGTCGGGTTACCCTTGGAAGCCTTCTTCGCGTCTAGCAAAACAAGAACAAGTCTCTTATAAAGGGTGGACGATTGTGGGCATGGCCGTTAGAAAAGATGATATCTTCCCAACGCCTGACGAGGATGGTTCTCTTTTCATTCTCACAGTACCCTAGATCCCAATGCTACGCCGCTCTCTCCTGTGTGTATTAAACCAATAATGGCGGTGTGAGCACATTTTGTGAGCACGTTTTCCCGTGTGTATTTGACAAGAAAAATAGTTTTTCTCCAACCTCTCACCTCCAAACTTTCCTTAGAATTGAAGCGGGCCTGCAAATATACTCCTCCAGGTAGGCGTATCCGGCAAAGAACGTAGGGATACGATTTGGCAGTGCGCAACAATCTGAGCTTTTTCGCTGCCCTGGTTTCGAACCGCTCCACCTCATCGTTGCCCATCCTTTCTCTCCACAGCTGCGCCACAAGTTCAAGTTCACGCTGTTCTGCATCTGCTTCCCCCTGCTCTCCATCTTGCTCCTGCTCCTCCATTTCTGCAGACGCCTCGTGCGGCTGTTGAGGCAACAAAATAGTTACAAGCCGTTCTTCAAGTGTTGAGAAGCGTTGCTGCCGCTTCGCCTGGCTGTAAGAAAGATGTGCCAACCCTTGCTCTGCTCGCTCTTGCAAGCGCGTGCGCGATTTCCGAGAAAATGCGGTCGTGAAGGGGTTGAAACCTGACGACGGAACAATGGGAGGGTTCTATTGTGACGTTCGGGTAAGTGTGTAGACACCGGTCGTGATGCATAATGAGACAAGTGGTGGATTAAGCAAGCAGAGGCACCTGCCAACGGGTTCGGATTCCGAGGGTGCTCAGGCACACTTACATGCATGGCTTGGTTTGCAAACCTGTTTGAAAACTTGCCGAAATCATGCAGAGCCCACGTGTACTTCAAGTTGGTGTTACAACTCCTTCGACGTAGCCAGAAAGTTGTGGTGGGCAAGCTTGGGCTTCAGGCAGTACAAGAACAGCTCCCGGTGCTCTCATTGCCATGCTTGCTTGCGGGTGTCGTGCGTACTGGTACTCACCAGATGCTTCACGAGGTTCAGCTTCCGCGGCTGGCCTCCCGCTTTCGCTCTGGTGTAGAAGTCGCGCTGATAGCAAATCCAGCGCCTGCCTCACGTCGGTCTCAACGGGGGCACCTGTGCGGGCCTGAAAACATGGGCCGTCGCCGGTACCTGCAGAAGCAAACCCAGAATTGTGCGATATTATCGAACTACTTCGTGGTAGATTTTGCGTTCTGCTCCCTTTCACCCTACCATGTGGTACGGTTTTCGGCAGTACGATCTGGAGTTAGTTTCTCTCCGTGTGCGTTTAGAAGCTCCAACTCTGTACTCTGTACTACTGCGTACCACAGCACTGCTGTAGATGACAAGATTTCGGCCTGCCTTGCCTGTTTTTCTACTGGAGCTAGTGTGCTTATTGCACGAGAGGGGCCCGTCTGTTCGTGATTGAGCTGGTATTTATAAGGAGATGTTACCGTTTTGATTTACTTGGCTCGCTGTGCGTACCTGGATTTAAATCGAAGCCCAAGGCTGACATGAAGGAGATGCCCCCATCGACGCTACCGACCCTCTCCCAGACGACCTTGTTGAGAAGCCGTATCTTTCGGTACTTCGGGTTCTCTGGTTCGTTGAACAGGTTCTCTGCAATATTGGTCAAGCTGTCGAGCGTACGATTGAGAGCCCTCAGATCTTTAGCGTGATGGCTCACGATTTGGTCGAAAGCTCCCTGGAGATTGGAAGCAAGCCCACCAATTAAGCATCCGAGGAGAGGAAGGACGTAGTATCGCCATGTCCTCATGCAAACTGCCATATTTAGATCTAATGGGGCTCGCGGAGCGTGAAGCAGCCACGCGTTTTCAAGCGAGCTTTCCTTTCGTCTCCTGTTTGCTCACACTTCGTGGCGAACATTGATCTTGAACACGCGATGCGGGTGCCATTGGTGCAACCTCCCAACATCCCTGTGTTATCTCGCCGCATATGCCCCCGAAACGCAACATACCACGCATTCTCCTGTGTATCAGCTATGACCTATTGAGCTGTTGTACCAAAACGCACGCTGAGGCGCGGCACACACAACGTGCTTTGATCAGATCGCGGTAGGGTCATGAGCGATCCTCGATTTACCGGAGCGATTGCCTACTACCGAGAGAAGCTAAAACAGGTGTGTGACGATATGTTTAGATCAACAATCCTCGACAGGTCGACAAATGATGTCTCTGTAGGGGTCTGCACGCCGCGAAGGGTTGCGCTTGTGGTGAAGGCGTTGGTTGACTGCGCTCGACCCACAGCTGCATGTTGATGAAGGCCAGAGCGATAATTGGTGTAGCTTCTGACTGCCCTTTGAAGGTTTACATTGGCCGCCTTCCTTGTTTGCTGTCGCCGTTCTCTGCCGATGTCCAGAATCCTTCAAATCCGGCGCATCACCACAATATTGCACCTCTTCTCTTTGAAGGAGGAAACGTCAGGGCCGCGATGCGCCACTATCGCAGAGCGTTTCAGCTGAACCCTAAGGACGTAAACTCGAAGAACGACCTGGCTGTCATTCTTTGGCGGATGGGCAAATGGGAAGCTGCGTTGGCCGCGTTGTGCCAAGTTTTGATGGCCAACAGCGAGCACTACGAAGCGAACGTAAACCTTGCTGCGGTGTATTTCAAGCAAGGAGAGTATGAACTTGCTTTGAGACATGCACGGAAAGCTACGCAGATCCGACCTACCAGTCCCAAAGCGCACCGCGTTCTAGGACAAATTTTGGATCAAATGGGGAACGTCAAAATGTCGCTACACCACCGGAAGATCGCGGTACGACGAGGGCCGGGGGGTGGCAAGTCCCACCAGCACGACACTCACACCTACAAGAAAATCGGCGCACAGCTTGTCACGCTCGGACAAGCGGAGCGAGAAAACAGCCACGCCTTTGTGGACTGCTACAGAGCAATGGCAGGGAAACAAGTTGAGCTTGCGACGTCAGAAAGGACGAACGAGTGTTTGTGCAAGTGCCGGTGCTGATGGTGGGCCGGCCGACGTAGTGTATCAAGCAACCACATGGTTACAGCGCCGTTACTCCCCTCATGAGTCTTGTTCGCAGAGCATAGTCTTGTGATACCCTCTCTTTTCAGAAGGTGGGCACCATTAACTTACCTGTAGCTTGTGCCACGAACGGTGCAACACCGACATCAAGTCTGAAAAGGCAGAGATGCTAGGAACTACATAGAGGGGCATGCTACCCAGCAAACTCTTCCTGGTCAACACTCGAAAAAATAAAAAGAGCTAAATCTTGGAAGAAGCAATATCAAACACAGTCATGTCTTTGTAAAAAAAAATTCACTCTCCAACAGTCTGTACATACTAGAAGTATTCACCTACATTCACCTAAACGCACCCAGACCTCGCTCTTGGCTAGCTGGACCAAAGCTCAAGTTCAACTCTTCAAGAAAAGAGGTGCTGTTGTGCACAAACGATCCCCCAAGGACAACATTCCCGGACGGCAGAGAAGCGTTGAGCTCGGCAACCTTGCAGGCTTCCTCGTACGTCACTCCCCCTACCATGAACACGATGACCTGCAACGTGCGGGCAAGGGAATAAGCCAGGCAGAAAGAGGAACAGAACGATAGTCAATAACAACTCAGCACATGATGAACCAGTCCTGGTCAAAGCCCTTGCCCTGACCGGCGACAAACAGCAACCAAGCCGAGGCGTATTCAAAGGGCTCATCGACAAATTCCATGGTGTGCAGCCGTATGACCACCTACACTTGACGACAACTAATCCATGAGTAATCGAACAGGCCCGGACTCAAATCGCTTCTCCCACAAGACCTTTGAATCGCTCCCACCTCCTGAGATTTGCCACCAGACGGCCCGACAGCAGGGTAGACGCTATCCTTGAGCTTCCCTTTGAGAGCTGCTTCGACCGCAGTCATCATCAGCGGCACGTGCTGAGCGTACACGTTCTCGACCCCCTGGTCAAAATGTTCCCAATGAACAGTTCGCGACATGAACATAGCAATTGGCAAGGAAAATGTCGAGACGTCAGAACCACCAAATATTTACATTGCGACCTCACCACGAAAGTGCTGAGGCCTTCCGTTGCATGCCGCAGCAAAACTCCCACCTTTGCCAACATGTAGTTCCTACTCGTACGTGAGAGTTGGTATACCTGGAGGGTGGTGGTGATCTGCTTGCCCAGTTTGGACATGAGGTTGTCTTGACCGAAGAGGCCAGGTCCCCGTGCTGCGTTTCCTGCGAAACACAGTCAGTTGTAGCATTGTCAGAGGCTGGTGACACTCGCAGCGGCCAAAACCCCTAATGATTTTTACGACTTGGGCTGCCAACAATCAGAGAGAAGAAAACACAGACGCGTGGATGGATATTTCAAAGCCACACCTGAGTATTGCAAGAGAGCATCCAGTAGGTCCACCTTCTCCGGAGTTAGCCCGGAATCAAGGAGACGCGACTTCACTGCGCGAAGGTTACCCATGTCCTCGTAGCGCAGCGCGTACAGCATCGCCAGGCGCAGTTTGTCCGGCGCCTTAATCCTGCGCACAAAAAATACCAGAGGGGGACGTTGGTTGTATTGCATGATGCGCAACAAAAACGCTGGTGGTTCTCGGGTCAGGAATACTTGTCAAGCCCTCGTGGGCGGACGTACCTTGAACTGGTGAGCTTCTCCATAAGCTCGCGGTAGTGCAATACGTGGTCGTCTGCACAAGCCAGCTCTTGCTCGAATTGGCTGACGTCCAGAAGGTGATAGACGTCTACGAGGCGAGCCAGCTCGCTCAAGACAGCCACGTGCTTGGACACGTTGAGTGACTGCGACCGGAATGCAGGATACCTGTTGTAAAGAAAATCATGGTTGCAGTGGCGGGCGTGCCAAACAAGTGTTCCGCGTTGAGCAAGGACTGTCAAGAATTGTGGCAATCCATCACCATTGCATCGCTTCATACAACAAAAAACACAATCAAGCCGAACTCGATACAACGGCAACGTGGGCACCCAGGTATCATGTTGTCGTTGCCAGCACCGAAACATATGTGGGCGACAGTACTACCCTGAGCCAATCAGCAAGAGCTTCAACAGCTTCCTCCAAAACTTACCGCTCGAGAAACGCCTGCATGTCTTCAATGCTGTTGATGTTTTCGTTCAATCGCGTCGCCTTCTGGTACTCATCCATCAGATTTTTCACCGCCACTCCTAGATCTCCGAAGTTAGAAAAGCGGTTTTTCGCGAAGAAGTCGTCCTGTGTGCAGGAAAGAACTACCTGCGCGTCAAGGCAAAAACGCAAAACAGATTGGGTCAGTCAGGATAAACGCCGGAGTTTGGGTGGCCACAATCCATGCAGCTACAGTGAAGACACCGCCTCAATAATCCCATCATATATCACCTCTTCGAGATCTTTCCGCACTCCCGGTGCCCCCTTGAGAACCACTCGGTTGTCGTTGAGCCCCAAGAGCTCGTGAACCATCGCTTGGTATGTCCATTGCGAAAGTAACGGAGTCACTGGGTCGTCACGGCGATCCAAGATCAGCAAGACGGGTCTGCTCGAAAAAGTGCACACCAAGATGAGGAATACAACACACATGTCAGTGCACAGTTGTTTTATCTCCACAAGATTTCTGTGCCACCTCGAGCATAATTTTGCCCTGTAGTCAGGACCGTTTTCTTTACCCGAGCACCGCTCATGCCACCATTTATCAACGAAAACCAGCTTACCCTTGCTGTCGCCGAAAGTCGAAGATCTGATCGGCCTGAATCTGAGCTGAGATATCCATGGCCAGCTCGCGGGCGGTCGAGGACGAACCCTGCAGGGTATACAATGGCGCAGGACCAAACAGCGAAAAGGCGCAAAGAACATCCCAAGAGGTCAAGCAGGCATTGCCCACGGAGGGGTACGGTTAAGAGATCATAGGCACAGTGACCATCGCCGGATTCTCAACGAGCTCCACTTGGTACTTTACCACCCACTCACACTTTACTGTTCAACACTGCTATAGATGTGGATCAATCTCATACTATGTCTGCCTTGAGTGTCCCTGACTGCCGTCATCTTCAAAAACCACCACGTCCGTTGTATGTGGTATTGGACGAATTTTCGTTTTCCTCCCTGGAAGATCGCAGCGAGACGATACAGCAGTCAATGAGGAGCCACGAAACCTAACAGCAGTACCACAATGGTGTGTGGTGCCCGTGTCCGACCACCGTCGCTCTCTCTGGCTCTCACCGCATATCTAATGGTAGACGGCTTCTTCTTGAGCGCGAGAAGCACCGACAGAACAGCATCTCTGTTGCGCGAGAGGAGTTTCTTGGCAGCTGCCGGGGGCCTGGGCAAGGCTAGCTGTAGAGTATCCGGGCAATTGGCGGAGAAGAAGTCCTCGTTCACGGCGCAGAACTCCGCGTAGTACTCGTGTACCTGACGAACAACTGGCTTGACCGAACGGGTGTTCTCGAGGTTAGTGAACCATGCAACCGGACGTCTTGCTCCATACAGTCTCGCTCCATCAGCAGTTGGTATGTACCTGGTATGTTAATTGTATGATACGGACTACATACATGCTGAGCTACACGCTTCTCCAAATCCTGTTTTGAAGGATAGGTTACACTTGCCGCGGGCCTGACTCTCTTGTTTTGACGTCACCAGACAGATTCGTTGTCCAAGTAAAAATAATACCAGACATCACAGCAGCGAGTACCTCTCACCTTCGTGCTCGTCAGCAGCGGCCAGCTGCTGTAGTAGTTCATTGGGACAGATACTACAGAAGAATACGTGGTACTCCAAGAACCGCGGTTTGGAGATCTCCGCGCAAAGCGTCTGGATGTTCTCCTTTGTTGGCCGGATGAAGTAAACCGCCTTGAGGTGCTGCATCGGTTCGTGATCCGCGTCCATCCTTTCCACCAGGTAGACTTCCTTTTCGAGGATTTGCGACTGCGAGTATACCATTGCCACAACTTGGGTAGTCACTGCATCAAGTAGCAGGACCTTCATACCTGCAGTTTTCCGAATAGGAGCGAGTACGCGCGGAGTCCGGAGAGGGAAGAAACAGAGAGAGAATGGACACCAAGATGGAACAGGAACACCGACAATCTGCGGCTAACAAATTTACACTGCTACACCCAACGACACCCAACGGTATCGAAGTATCTTTCACCAGGGCAAGAGAACATATGCATACCTGATATCTTGGGATCGGAGACAATTTTGTCGACATAGAAGCGCACAGCTGAGGTGACGTTCATGGCCATGTTGCAGGGCACCGAATTGCAGAGCGCGTGCTCTGTTTGCGAGTACCCAGCAGCGGGCGGACGGAAATGCAAACCCAAGCGTGACAGGGAGTCGCCCGAGTAACACCGTGTGGAACTGGATGAGACAACCTCAGCAGGAAGGTGCACACGACGCGGTTGGTGACCAGAGCGACAGAGCTGCTGTACGAGGTACACGGCGTGGTGTGCAGTCCTCTCCTGTGTCCCGGTTCCGAGTCTGGGGTTGAGTTTGAGTTTCGGTGCATCGAGCGGCCCCGTGCGGCGCAATTTTGGCATGGAGCCTTGGGCCTTTCTTTCCCTGAGCACATTTCAGCGTGCCCCCTCCGCCTCTCTCTCCTCTCAGGGCCACACACGCTGCTCCGCCCTCCTTCCTCCTCCGGTAGCGCTACACTTACGTGAGTCATGCCGTTCGAACATGGTTTTATGGGTATGGCTGCTACAACAGCGTATTGTTGCGACTGGTTTAATGGCTTGTGTTCACGAACCAGGCACACCGTCACCTTGGGAGTTATCCAAGCCTCAGTCATAGCTAAGACGCAGCAATGCACTGTTCGGGAAGTGGTGTCCGGTGTGATGTTGCGAGAGTCTGCCTGAAAAGGCGAACACAAACCCTTTGATCACCCTCTGAGGATCTTGAGGTACTTCGGGACATATGTTGAAGCTCGGAGCACGTGCTGTGACTGATCTCTTGCTTGGTGTGATCGACTTCTCAGCAACCAAAACACCAGTAGACTGCAGCAGCACCTCAGCAACATGCTTTTGCGAAAGGGCTGGTGCTGCGGTTATTTGACTTGGTCGTATGGAATGAAGCAATGGCGTGTGTCTCGCCCGGTGCTGCGGCCGTGCCCACCCTAATTGTAGACCCAGCCCGTGCCGCCTGTACCCTCGCGCAACTACACGCGGTTGCGTTATCAACTGGCAAGCACCGTGACTTGAAAGCTTTTCTGCGTGAGCCTCTCTCTGCTCTCTGTCTGGATTAGCAACACGGATGTATTGGGTTTGGATTGATGTCCAACAGCAGTGTTGCTTTGGTACCAAGTCGTGACCCAACCAGAACGCTCGTATAATCAGGGTTCTTCGACACCGTTTCTCTTTGTAGTGAACAGTAGTGCATCGCATTTGCAAAGTGTCGCGAATCTCTTTGAAAAGTTGGAAATATCAAAATACCGAGATAATGCGGGAGCGTGTCTGGCGCCTAATAACGAAAGTCACCTTGGCGGCGAAACCCGCCCCCACTCACTGCAGGCGCGGGCCCTCACCCTAAACATATGTTAAGACTTGGTGATGCGATCGTTTGGCATGTAAACCTAAGGTTGTACCCTACAAGGACATGTTGGTATTGTACTCTGTCGCCCGTAATCACATTGTCAACTCATTGTAGACAGAGCGGGCTGCAGCAGTGAACTCACAATGTGAGAAGTGTGGCCTGACGGGCTTCGCTGTACGATCAGCAGGTAAGTCCCCAGGAAGAGGTTCACCGCCATGGTTTCATGTTTTTATTTCCGGAACTGGCAGGCAAACAAATAAATGATACCACGGCAAACCAACCAACTATTGAACGATTTCGTCAGCAAGCTTGGGACAATTTGTAATTGGTGTGCGAGGCGGCAGCAACCGGTGGGGGGGCACTGGGCAGTGCGGCAGGGCGAAAGCGTCCGTACACGCTCGGAAGCCCCCGAAAGTTTTTGGTTTCATATCAAAATCAATAGTGCGATGAAACAAAAGCAGCTCTAAATTCCGCAACCAAAGTGTTTTCTTGCGGATCGTGTTAAAATCGCACAGCAGCAGCAGCAGCAGCAAGGTGTCCAGTATATTACGGTATCCATAACAATCATTCCCATATCGCTCTGTAGCTCTGCCACGGCAAAACTTGACATCACGTGGCGCGTGTTTTGCCTCTGTGGTTGAACTCTGGTACGTAACCACGGCCCGACCCGTCGATAGTTATTCGGCGATTGTCAGCACTTTTATGGCTGCCCTGCCCGACAATCATCTGCCGTTGTCACCATCGACGCCGCCTTAATTTTTTGTGGCTATGTTCGTGCGCTCCGCCGTTTTCAGTGACCATGGGTTCCAAGGCTTTGGTCAACTCGCACCCGAAGAGCTTCGGCAAAGGTGGACGCCACTGCCGCGTGTGCTCCAACCAGCACGGGTTGATCCGCAAGTACGGACTCTACATGTGCCGTCAGTGCTTCCGCGTATACGCGACTGAAATTGGATTCACCAAGGTTAGTAGCCCAACCAACTCTGCTCATGTTTCTTATCTACCCCGTGGCAGGTACCTGTGTAGAGCATTGTTTCTGTGTGACGTGAGGGGTACCAAGATTTGGTCCGGACAGGTGCGTGGTCACCGATACTCGGACATCCATGTCCTGGGGTGGCGTGCTTGCGACAAAGTTTCTGACTGGTAAGTTAGTATGATGAGAAACTCTCGAGACGTGTACGCCGGGCCTCAATCGTCTTCATGTGTGGGCATAGGTGTGCAGTTTGCTTGAAGTGCAGCTTCGGTTGCAATAGCGAATAGCGTTGTTCGAACTAGCAGTGTATGTGCTCCGGCTCCATGCACGCTCTTTACCATCACCATGAAGAGTGGTGTTGGAGTTTGTTGCACCGAAACAGCCCGATATAATCCGTTTTTGATTGTAAGGCAAAGGTGGATTTGCTCTCCTTTTGCGCCAGCGATTCCCGTGTAGCAAGTGGGCAAATCGCAAATGAGTATGATGTGGTCCCGGGAGCTCGGTCTCTCTCACAATACGCGGTGCACTTCTTGTAACGAGATCCCTCGAACCAACCACGCATGATCCAGTACCACATGGTCCTTCTGCCACATATGAGAAATCTCGTGCGGCGTACCCTACAATACGTTGCTGTACACGCTCGTATGTACTTGTTGGAGGCCCGGTTTTGCGTTGTGGTAACTGTTCAGCCCTCTCCTTTCGCGCGGTGTGGTTGGACTCGAAACGTTTGGGGAATGTGTCATACAAGAGCTGATCCTGGATACTTCGCAAGATCCAGTTTGAGTATCAGCTGCGTGTACTGTTGAAAGGACATCGTTCCTATTGCTTGGTACTCTCTGAACCCTGGACCCTGGTTTCTCCTCCGTTGCCCGTTCGGTGTATCGCAGTTCTCGTAGGTTGTGCTACAGCTGGGGAAAGGAGTTGGTAGCCACGGCAGTGGCTAGTAGCGGCTGAGAGATCCAACGGGGAGGATGCATTGGGTGGCGGCTGCACGGATGTAATCAATCCATTGGTTCTTTTAAAAGTTTTTTTTTTTCGTTCGAGCGCGGTAGCGCACTGTGCTGGCGAAATAGTGTTCAGTCGGGATCCCTCTATAGTGCGGGTACTCGCTATAGTGCGGGTGCCGCACTGTTCGGGGTACCCCTCTATAGTGCAGGTTTGGTCCCTCTCCAGACTATCTATAGTGCGTTTTCTGACGTCACCCCCCTCTGAGTGCGGCCAAACCCACACAAATCTCGAGACAAACACACCACGGGCTGAGACACAACTTTTCTCTCAGCATGCTCTGCGCTACATGTCACGGATCCAGTGTATGCTGTGATCTGTCATACCATGGACAGATGTTTTACCGCTGCGCAGTGTGTTATAGTCTCACCCACGAACGAACGCAGGCGTCTATGGCTATACACCTGTAGAGTACTTTATCCTAGTGATTTCGCGAATAGTGCGCCTCCCGCACTATACAGGGTTCTGAGGACCCTGAGAGTTGCGGCATCCCGCACTATTCAGGCGCGAAATCATTTAGTACGGGTGCCCACTATAGTGCGGGTCATTTCACCTGGAACACACCCGCACTATTGAGGGACTCGGACTGTGTTGCGTTTCGTGGAAGTGCGAATCTGGGAATGAGAACGACGCATCTCCTCGAAAACCTCTGGTCAGTGTTCTACCGATGCCCCCAACGCCTCAAACACAATTGGTGGTGAGTAGCTGCTGTTGTGCATGTGTTGCTCAGCTGCCAGCAGAGCATCATGCGAGCGTCTGCGATTACGCGTTGGTCAATTTGGCGCTCTTGCCCTGTGTGCTGCCCCGCTTTTGCACAAAAGGTTCCGTATTGTTTGGCGCTGGCAATTTCCGAGGCACACCCCCTTAACCCCCTTACCACGCACAGAAAATTCGGCGGTCTTGCGAAGTGTCTGAAATGTAAGAAGAGCGAACGACGCCTGCTGATTGGATGGTGCAGACAGTTCCATCCCTGGGTGCAAGTGCAAAGCTGCCTCCCCACTTGAGCCGTCTCTTGTCTATAATCCCTATCAATTGTACCCTCGATTCGAGGGGACACGAGGGGACAATTGATAGGGATTATAGACAGCAACTGGCGGGAGCGTGGTAAACGGGGCACGAAAAGGAGGTTTTCAAGATATTTCTCTGGAGGGAAAGCGAGACCTTCTAACTCAAGCCCTAGGTTGCTTGGTGCCTCCTATCAACGGTGGTCTAGGTACTTCTTCCGCGCTTGCCCCTAGTAGCGCTTTCCACCCAAGGGTAAACAGACGCGGCGCAACTTCGCTGTTGAACCGGCGGCGTAATCGTCCCGCGATTCGACCTGTGCATTACCCTCATACTCCTCCACTCTACGAAGCATCCATACTAGACTAGAGTCGTCCCTGTGTACCCTGGCACCCCCCCTGGTCGAGTAGTGCAAAGGAGGAGACAATCATGCCAATCTTCGCGAGGTAAAGCAGGTGAAGAAGATGGGGACAAAATGTGTGCCCAAAACGCGATCCAGCCCTAAAGGGGTTAAGACACGAAAGAGAATAATACTCAAAGCTTGAACCTCATGCACAAAAGCGCCAACGCACGATCTCATGTCCTTTTGACATTGTTCACAAATCAAGCAAGCGGAGCGACCGTGTGATGCGACCTATTTTGCCCCATTTGGACGTGCCTCGTCAAAGGGCCCACGAGCGCACGAGGGCAAACCACACGACAAATTCATCTACACACCGAACGATTTTCCACAGCCGCAAGAACTCTCGGCATTCGGGTTTTGGAACTGAAACCCGCCCCCAATGAGGGCATCGCTGAAGTCAAGTTCGAGGCCGTATAAATAGAGCACGCTTTTCGGGTCGATGACGCACTTGAAGCCGTCGTATTCCTCCACCATATCATCCTCTGTGATCTCCTCCTGTTGGACCAAGAAGCATGGCGAACGACAGTTTTCAACAAACGAGGCGACAAATCGTCTCATGTAGTATGCACGTAGCGTAAACGCGTTTATTGGCAGACACATCACCTCCACGAAGTTTCTTGTCAGTCACACGTGTGTTGCGCCCGTAGACCAACAACGCACGAAAGATGGACTTCGGGGCGCTCTTTGCTCAAGAGTGGAGAGTGATCAGGTAATGTGTGAAGACACACATTCACACATTCGACGTCGCGTTCACCAGGGAGAGCAATGCTGCTCGGAAAATAAACTTGACATACGTGAAGGATCGTGGCAGGAAAGCGGAGAAAAACAAAACCATGTTCGGCAATCCTCTTGTGCCACCTCGCCAAAGGTGTTTCACGTACGTCCAGCAAAAATGGATACTCATCAAGAACCTGATCCCCGGAGCGCCAACAGAAGTCAAACTCAACGCGACGGGAGCTGTTACTGTTCAGTGGCAACCCTGGCCTCTCACCTTCTTGACCAAGTCCATAATGTAGGACAAACCCGAACAACCCCCGGAACGGACTCCCATCCTCAAAAATATGTCCCCCTCGGTTCCTTGACTTCGCCTAAGCTCCTGGAGATGGTCCATCGCCTTTGGGCGGATGTTGACGATCTTTTCCATCACTTCATCTTCAACCCCTGTAGTCAAAAGACAAACAAACGACACCAAAAATTTGCAACAAAGAGCGAAGGGTAACGTTTAGTTGGGGCGTATTCTGAAAGGAAGAGTCGAGAAAGGTGAAACGTTTCGCAGAACGTTCCTCAAGGAAAGAGGCAGTATTATGACAAGCGCGATGATGTCTTTCATTCTCCAAACAAACCAAGCGTCGCCACGGAAAACAGGAGACAAGGGAGGCTTTCGTGGAAGTCAGCTCATTCGAGTATACTGATGTATGCATCAGAGGCTACCAAGTAGGCTGCTGTCCGCTACCAGAGTATCCAACGTGCTTTTCAAGCATATCTACACCTCGAACGATGACGTGCTTTTTTGCTGTCTCGGGTGGCCCGTTTTGTGTTTGGTTGTTTTTGTGTTGTCTTGTTTGTTTGGTTATCGCTAAGGTAGTGGCTCTGGCGTGTGTCTTTCTCTGTGCCTTTCTCTTTCCCTTTCCCCCTCTGCTCTGTTCTTTCTCCTGTTTCCAGTCTACGGTTATCTCGCATAGCGTTCAGAGGCGAGCGGAGTTTCGTAGACTATCTGTCGTTGATTTCTACCATTTTTACTTGCGGACCCTCGGGTCCATTTTATCACGGGAATCGACCGCGCCAAGTGTTGGACTAGTACGGACAGAAGAAGGTACTGAGTAGAGAGAACGGAATGGTTTTTAATGTGAAGACAGCAAGAACAACAATTTGAAATCCGGAACAATGGCGGAGATGATCGAAGCTCTCAACATCAAAACGAACGATGATGTAGATTGGCCCTCCCATCTTCGGCTCACAAGCGGCCAGAAAGCATCGTCCTCTGCCAGCACACCATAACAACTGCCGTTGCAAGTTACGATGAGTGGGTGCGTGGTCTGGTGTTTTATCCTGGGGTTAGGTTCGTGCTGTTGTTGAACACGGCGTATGCGTACATGTGTTCGGTAGAATGTTCCCGATAGAATTTTTCAAAGAAATTTTCGAATTGTCGGTGAACGCAGAATGGGACTACCGTGGAAATACTCCAAGACTGGCTCCCATACCGTGCCTGGCAGGAGTACACAAATATGCGCAGAGTTGCAGGTGAAAGAGGAAATAGTGTGGAACGCACAAACAAGCACTTGGCCGATTCTTTCATGGGCGGGCGGGGGAGGAGAGGGCGACAAAAACAATGGAGTCCATCGTACAAGCTCCCGTGCCAGGTCCCTACTCTGTCGCTGTACAGCAGTACAGCTGGGCCCTCTGTAAGTAGTGCAGGGTGCAGGGGTGTGTCCAGCGATTTTACCTGCAGCATGCCGGACACCTGCACTACATACAGCAGAAAACATGTGTGCATCATCTCCGCCAATAAGACTACAGCAGCAGTACGGGGAACACGCGACACTGAGGGTAGCGTTTCTTCTAAGAAGCCCGTATGGGTTCCAAAATGTACGGACATGTGTTACCTGTTGAAGACATTGAAAGCGCAGCGGACGCGTGTGACCGAATCGTCGTTGCTCCGGACACTCGTGAAGAACGACATGATCCTGTCATCAAGTGCAGAAAGCGAAGGGGGTCTCTGGGTCAGTTGCCGACCTCTGTTCGTGGCTGTGTAGTACTTCGTTGGGGCTAAAGGAAGAGGAACAGGGGCCGACTTCACATGCGGAAGTTGTAGCTGGCTTAGCTCTCTTGCATTTTGTGAGGCTCGTTGAAGTACGACATAGTAGATGGAACAACAGCATACCTGTCGAGCTACCAGGTGTCGGCGCAACGATGAAACCCTTGATCATCGACGCCAGCATAGCGAACGCCACCACCGTTAAACCCCTCATGTTGACTCGACGTGTCTGAGGGAATAAGTAGGATGCCGGACAGGGATAGCACCGGAACTGGCACTTGCGAACTAACAGGAATCGTGAAGCCACGAGTGGCGCGTGCCTGTGCTGTGTGCTGTGCTGGCGTCGTCTGAGCTATTCAGCTATTCAGCCGCTTCAAGGGAGGGGGAACGCAATGCCTACCCTCTTGGGGGGGTCGGGGGGGTGTATCCAAGGATGTATCGTTTTGGGGGCCCAAATTCAAATCAGACAATCAGACACAGCGACACCGCCCACGCTGCAGCTGCAGCCTCCTATTTGCCTCGGCAAGAACATGAGATCGTCTTCCGAACACCTATGGATACGTTACGAGAACGACGACGGGGATTGGGAACCTGCTTTTCTCCTGCCGAAGTGCCCACCCGAAGTGGTCATGGTGAGCGAACAGCTTTAGTTGGTCGGGTGATGATGTGCTCCGCATCTCGACACTTAGATGCCGCGCACGTGACAGGCGAGATAGCGAGCAGGGACAGAGATAGAGAATGCATAGTTCTCGTATCATTGTCTATCGCATACATTGTGGCAGGCTGGGATTCTTGCTGGTCATGATCGTGCCTCCTGCTCTCTCGCATCTCTGTCTCAAACATGCCACTACCTACTTGCTCTGTTGAGATTTTCAAAAAATTCAAATCAATCAGCAGAGAGATCTCGCGCGCGCATTTGTGCAGTTTTTTCAGTGCGGGCTCACAGCAGTTCACAGCAGCATCCCAGGATTAAGAAGTAGAAGTAGTTCACAACACTCGCTAAGGGCAAAGCCTCGGACTTCGCTAGGTTTGTGCGCATTCGCAGCATCAAGAGGGTCTGCCCGCGGATGTTGCTAACTGTATCTCTGTGCTTGGCAATCTTGCAGGACGTCCGTGGCGTCGTTGCACCAGTGTCTGAGTCGCCCGGCGATCTGTACTGGGTGAAACGGTCCAGGACTCTTGTGGAGGCAACCCGGATATCGGAGCGTAAGCCACCCAGCGAAGGTATGGGCCCTCATTGATTTGCACTGAGCGCATTCAAAGTATGACAACGCGCACAGATCGCACAGATCGCTGACCGTGGTACCCCCCACCCACACTAGTGCTTTTGTGAGAAAAGTTAAAATACCTAATTCAATTTAAATTTGAAAGGTATCGGGGGGCGGAGTTTCTTCTGTCCGCGACCCTGTACATAGGCTACGTATTCGACTCTTTCGCAATTCAGCAGCATGGGATGGAGCGAGCATGGTGAAAAAGGGAGAAAGTTCCCCAATCGCTACACGCGTACCTTCGTTGTTGTACTCGAGTCGACCAATTGACGGGCATCCGGAAGGGCGAGCAATTTGATTTCAAACACGAAACAAGTACTCTCGTAACCAAGCACAGATAGATAACGCTTGGGTTCTGATTCGGGTTCGTCTCAACGCTGCGCAGGCTTCGACGAGCCTTCCCTGAAAGGCTGCAAACGAGAAGAGGATATCCACGCGGGTAGGACAAAGTGAGAACACGGGCGCTTGTTGTTGTATGCTTCCAACTTCGTGTCGTTGGTATGTAAAGTTCGCAATTTTCAACAGCCGCACGCTAGGTATGTGAAGGTAGGTGTCTGATGGCGGTGTACCTCATTCAGCAGTAGCGATGCACCTTTGTGCGAATGCGGACTATATGATATCGATTTAGAGCGGTCGGGGATAATCGCCGGAGACGTCAATGTTGTGTCGAACGGCGGCCAGCAGGTCATGTTACGCTTGGGTAGCAGTCGAGTCGAGAACTCCCGTTTTTTTCTCGAGTGGAATTTCTTTTCGGCGAGGGCGGGAAATTGCGAACTGCCAGCTTGTGTGTGGAGTATCCAAGGTTGATACCGGGCCGGACTGGAGACACAAGAAATCGCCAAACCCACCACCTAAATTGTTTATTGGGTTCGTTCCGCTTTCAACATGTTCCGTCCTTATATTGTCCAGTTTGTCGGACACCACGGTCCCATCGACACCTTCCACTCTGTGCGCAAGCACGTGCTCTACGGTGACTCCGGCAACAAGTTCTGGCATCCCGTCGAGTGCATGGAGTCAGTTTTCTGGCGGCAACACCCCACGAGAATGCCCTTCCTCCTCGGCGTCATCTACGTTGACCCAGCTAGATGCCACGCAGCAAGAGCCAAGCGCAGACCGCCAGGTCGACGCGAACATCCCCAACGGTTCCAACGACAGCGGTAACGACCTAGACGAGACGCCGTGTCGGAGTGATTACGGAGAAGGCTATGAGGTAGGCACACAAGTCGGAGAGGAAAGCTCTTGTACAACCCACGGGGTAAAGCGCCCGCGGGAGCAAACCCCGCGTGTCGACCAGTCGCAGCATGCGCAAGAGGGCAGCAGGTTTTCTCACGCTAGCGACGGGCAGACGCCAGATGAGATGCCCCCTCGGGCGCTCCCAGGCGACCTTGGCAGTCCCCGACGCAAGAAGGAGTGTCTCGCGCAGAGCCAGTATCCTCGCCTCGATGGACATCCCACACCTGCTGGACCCCGGTTTCACCGCAATCAGTTCGGCAACTCCGGGGCACAGGAGGAGTCAATGCCGCGTGTACGAAGCAATGCTGCTGACATCTTTGATGGTGCCATGGGGTCTTCGGAGGCATCGTGTGAAGGGCGTCATCCGCTGAATAGGAAGCGAGCAGGCGGAGCAACAGCGGGCAATGAGACTGCAGACAGAGCGTCTGAGCACGCTTCTATGGACAACCCGCCCGAACAAGAGAGCATTGATGTGCGTGGAGCAGCAGCAGATCCAGTTTCAGATAAGGTTGGTTCTGAAGGAGTCGAAGGAGAACCTACGACCTTGTCGAGCGGTGACAGCCGCAGCACCACGTCCTCCCGAGCTGGACAGAGCAGCTTGAGAAAGGTATCGGGATGCCAAGGTTCAATCAACCAGACGCGTTGCAGTGACCCCCCCGATAGTGATGCGGTTGAAAATGTTAGGATGAAAGACGCAGCATCTTTCCGCAGAGTCGGGATCACTGAAAACTCAAAGCGGGGGAAAATATTCGAGATGCTGAAACAACTCGGGTGGAAGTGGAGTGGCGGCACTCTCCACAAGCTGAGCAACGAGTATTGGATGCTGAAACCAGGAGCAACTGTGAGGAACGGTGAAGCTGGTGTGGACAAGTTCGCAGGGCAGGGACAAACTATCGAGTATGTGCAGAGCGTATTGCGTCTATCGGCCGCAGCCAACTCAGATGGGCAAGGGCAGCTCAGTGAAGAGAACACGAACGGGGAGGGGGAGGAGGAGGAAGAAGAGGAAGAGGTGAAGGTGGAGGAGGAGAAGGAGGAGGGGGAGGAGAATGGTGGGAGGGAGGACATGACGAAGGAGCCAGAGCAGCACAGGCTACTAACCTCAACGACAAAAGGGCGAGCCTTGCAGTCGGCGTTAGAAGCCTTGAACCCTTCCAACGCACCAGATGTTTTGAAGCGGCGTACGACGGAGTTTAACCAAGTGCTGCAGTTCGTCACCAACAGCGTCGCGAAAGCATCCGGGGGAAGCTTGTACCTCTGCGGCGTTCCTGGAACAGGCAAGACGCAGACCATGGCGCATGTGCGAGCCGAGGTCCAGGAGAAATTCTCCAAGGTAAGACCTGCATTACCCATTCCTCGGTTTCCGTCCGTCAGTCGACTCTTGCCATGGAGAACTACATAATGGGTTTGGTACACGTGGCCCGTGCCCACACTCGTACCTTCCAACTACAGGACACGATCGCGAGAAACATCGCCATATCGTTTCCATCTACTGGACACGATCGCGAGAAACATCGCCATATCGTTTCCTCCACTCCAAGAGTTTGTAGCTTTCAATGTTAAATGTTGAACATGTTGCCGTTTTTCGTCCGCTTGTTGGTAATGCTAAAATATTTACTCTTGTTTTTCTCCTCGTTTTGCCACCTCTCGTTGCTTCCCTGGTTTTTGAGCAGGGTCACATTCCAGCACCGGCTTTCCATGCTTTCACGGGCACGGAGTTCACATCCCCGAATGCAATGCATGGGGCGCTCTGGCGAGCTATCAATGGTGCCCGCGGGGGTGAAGAGGGCATCGGCACTGAGAAGAAGCTCGACAACAAGCTCAAGTATTGGCAAAAGAAGCCGACCGCAACGTCGCCGATGCTTGTGGTCGTGTTGGACGAGATCGATCAGCTGATGACTGAAAATCGCCAAGTGCTGCGCAAGCTCTTCCAGTGGGCAGATGCCCCCAAGTCTCGCCTGGTAAGCTATCTATATGCTTGTCTCGTGGTTCACACCAAAAGCCTGAGTGGAAGACATTCCACTTGGGCGCTGTTGTCCCTCTTCGCGAGATGCCTTGGTCGCCCGATATGTATGCTTGGCGTAATCACGACTCGCCCCATCCCGTGTCTCGTTTTTACGCATGCATGATGCTTCGAGTACACCCATTGTTGAAGGTTTTGATTCTGCAACCCTGCGTCTCTTCTTTGGCATCAGGTGCTGGTGGGGCTAGCAAACTCTTTGGATTTTAACATCAGCTTCTCCGGTCTCAAGAAGGCACCCCAGAGGCTTCTGTTTCAGTCCTACACCCCAGAGGATCTGGCAAGCATCCTGACAGAGAGAGTGGGATCGACCGTGCACCCCTCTGCGATCCAGTTCTGTGCGAAAAAGGCGGCTGCAACCACTGGTGACGCCAGGAGGGCACTCAACACGTGCCGTGAGGCCGTTGTTCTTGCCGACCAAGAGTTGCAACAGAAGCTTGACGATGCAACTTCGGAAGCAGAGCGGGAGCAGCTAGGAGAGGGGGGTGGGGACAATTTGGTCACCATTAGGCACATGGCTAAAGCAGTGGCGGCCGGGAACGCCGCCAAATATGCAGGCGCCATTGCCGCCCTATCCTTACATGCCAAGGTCGTCTTGACTGTGGCAGCCGCTGCGGTTGGGGCAGTATCAGACCGTGGAGGGGGTGCCGGGGCGCATGGCAGTAAAGGCGTGAGGCTTACGCAGGGGAGCTTGCAGGAGAAGTGCAGTAGTGCATGGAGGAAATTGCAAACTGCGGGGGGACCGAGCCAGATAGAGTTTACGGGGATCATTGATCTGCTTGCGGCTTCGGGTCTGCTTGGATTGAAGTCGAAGCAGCAGACCGGTGGCCGCACCCGCGAGTTGGTGCTGAAGATTGAGTTTGCAGACCTGGAGGCAGCGTTGGGGGACCAATCTTTTTTCAAGACGGTCACGGGTGTTCAGTAGTTAAACGGCGCTCTCTGTATTGGGTATTTTTAAACTTGAGTTGGAAGGTTCTCATCTGCGAGAACATAGCGGTTTGTGAAGATGTTCCGATAGTTTCTTCGGATCGAAAGGATGTCTGGATCATGCGTGTTCCACGTGTTGTCTATTGTAGGTTCTGTAAGTTTTATGTGAATGGGGCAATTTTCGTACCCTGTAGCGCGACGCTTCTGGCATTTGAGGCCCGTGAAGGGTTTGAATTACGAAGAAAAGCTGCTGGAGCGCACGGTTGGGCGCTTACGAACATAAATGTGGAGGTCAGGATATGAGACACACGTTTATAAATTCCGATTCCTAACAGCTGCGAATGGTTGATGAATCTTTAGGAGGGTGGAAAAATGAGTCCACGAAGGCTCGCCCACTCTCCGCACCACCCTACAGCTGTGCAGCTTGACTGAGTTCGCTCGGTCACGCTTGGCATAGCCAGCCTCCGGGGGCAGGTCAATTCCAGCACACCGACTCTCCGCTCACCCAGAGTAGAGGGCTCCATATAAACCCATTTTTTACCGGTGACCTGCCTTTAACATGACGCGGAGGGGGGAGGGTGCTTCACTATCATCTTACCTGAGTCATTGGATTGTTGACCACGAACACCTCTCTCGAGAAGCGCATTTCCTGTTCCCAAAGGGCTCTCCTTTTACACTTTTCATGTTCATGAAGAAATAGGCTAAGCGAAGAATAGGCAAAATTAAAAAGACTCCCCACCGAGACCGGGCTCCGAGGTGAGTATTCAAATCCTCGTAGTGACGGAGGTTTTCTGGTTTTGACGACGCCGGCCGGGAAACTGTAAAGCCTTCCGTATAGAATAACAGTTCCAATTGCTGTGGCGCTGCCGGGTGGCTGGGTTGCTTTCGAAATCACACTTGCAAACTTGTGCATACCCCATGACTATTTCTGCTTTGGGTGAAGTGTGATATACACAACACATGGCTTCTTCAAGTACCAATGAGATCTCATCGACTAACAACTTCCAGCATCAAATGCATGCGGACACTCTACGTGCATGGACACATGCATTTCATCGTGAGACAAACGATTCTTGGTAAGAGATCGACGATTTTACAGAGTTGCCTTCCGCCAACAGCAGCTCCCCACTGTACAACTTCTTGTATACCGGCAAATCAACATGAGTCGTTGCTGATTTCAAAGAAAACACCGAAACATGAACCAATTCCGCATGAAGTAAAAATCGGCCGCAATAACCACGCCAGTGCCACCACCTTCGAACGCCTCCTCTGGCAAGGCGTGAAGCGACTGATCACGACTGTATCCGAACGGCAGCCGCAAGGGTCTGCGTCAATTGCTTCGCATGTTGCTGGCAGAGCTGGAGACATTCATTGAGCTGTTTCCCTGATGCACAGCTACCTCCAGGTTTGTGAACCCCGCACACCTGCCAACCAACAAAAAAAAGGGCCCCATGGCAAATATCAATGCTCGTATACGTGCAGTTCTTTGAACAATTTGAGCTTTTCTATGCATGTTCCGTACCATTCGTGAGAGAGGGCGGTAAAACCTTCAACTGCTGCACTATGACTATATGCCACGTCGCAAGACAAGATATTCAAGTCGCACCTTCCCCTCCGAAGTTGATACCACAGTCACGTGCGTTGTCAAAAGTTCCTCCTCCAGCAAGGAGGGATCCGCAATAATAATCCCGTCGAACACACCGCACGTCAACGGCACCGGAACTTCCCGCACCACCAATTGGGTTGGTGTGTCTGAAGCACAGAGGCGGAGGGAGGCACGAAACACAAAACTCATCCACAAGGCGTTCAGGTGGCAAGTGAAGCCGAAAACATGCCCACGCCAAACTGCTGTGAGCTCGGGTTGGAGAGTTTGAAGCTTGATGTACGCTCGCCCACAAAGCTTAAGCTTCACGGGCACAACGGAAGCATGATCATCTCCAGAAAAGTACTGCATCGTTCCCTCACCCTCCGTGACGAAAATCTCGTCGTCGATGCGACGGGTTCCTGGGAGTTGCAGGCGCATGAGAGCTCCCATAGCTGCAATCAGCGTAGCGTCTGCCAGATTCCCGTCAAAACTCAAGCAGACGATGTCCATGCACAGCTTCCATGCGAAAGCGCCGTCGTCGATGGCAAGATCTGTCAACACAAGCGCTCCCGACCTGGTGATGGATTCATGATGAGACATTCAGAACGTTAACGTATGTATTCGTTGGATACACGTGATGTCTACAGGCCAAGCCCTGCCCCCTGCTGGCGCCAACGGGGGATGGATACATGGATACACTGCGGTGGATATGTACAACCCCCAACGCTGGGAAGATCTCGGCGCGGTCTCGCGCGTTGTGGTATCCATATAGCGTATGCTTTTGTAAAAAAAACTATTCGCATGGATACTCTGTTCGCTGCGTGACGGAGCATATGTGCGCAACTCACTCGACGATGGAGTTCTTCACAAAAGTCGACAATACGTGCGCCTGCTCCGATGGCCGCCCTGAACTGAACTTGGACGAAGACAAGGGGGTCAGCTTGACCTCCACATCTGGGCAAAACATCGGCGCGATGGGATTGATTATGGGATCATGTACACTATTTGCAAATAGATAGTATACTATTTGCAAATAGTAGATACAACGATGTACTGCTGTAGAGCCCCCGCCAACAGCAGAATGCGAAATTGTACCTACATCAGACAGCCGCTCACCAAGCATTCCACACATTGGTGTGTTCTCGCTGGGGTGACCGACTTGCAGCGATATCCCAGCGAGCACTTTGGTGGATCCAAGGCCGACCAAGGCGGACGCCTGCACCCGTTCCTCCGAGAGCACTCCAACATCCACAGAAATCGGTCTCACTGCACGGAGCTCCCTTCCGTCTGGCCTGACCCCATTCTTCACAAATCTCCTGTAGAAATTTTCTGGGTCCAGTCTCTGGAAAGCTTCAACTTCCATGTTTATTTGATACGCACGTCGTGCAAGTGAGTTGGATAGCCCACTCGGCGCGTGCGACCGTCTGGTGATGGGGGGCGGACAGAAGGAAGGTTCAGCAGAGATAGCACGGGGTACTACTATAAGTGATTTTTCCCGGTCACCGAGCCTCTACTCACCAATCACACATGCATGCACACACGCTGACCCCTGCAGCCGGCACGAGCGACAGACACCTACAGGCTTGCTATAACCATGAGCCGTGGGGGAGGGCGTGGCGGAGGGAGGGGGGGAAGGGGCCGAAGTGCCCCAGGCGCTGGTCAAGTTTTGATACGAGAGACGCAAATTGATTTAGGCATGGACAAGATCGGACTGGACCAGGTGCGCAAGACGATCAGCTTCTTGTAGTACAGTGTAGTACGAATACTTGGATCAACCAGACAAAAACCCTACCAACATAGGATTTAATTAATTGATGTATTTATTGTATTTTTCCGAAGTGTCATTTTTATTTTTATTATTATTTTCCACGAAGTCTGAAAGGTAACTCTCTGGCAAATAACGAGGGGGCGACACCGGTCGCTTCCCTCTCTCATCCAGAATCCAAGTTCCCGTTCATGTCAACTGGCCGGGCCTAACAAAATGTCGTCTCAGTATACCGAGACCCCCAATGGTACTCTACCATTGACATCCACAATCAGACCCTCATCACCCAGTTCCCCGTGGAATAATAGCAATCATATATCGACATGTCCACTACATATCCTCCCGGTATACATACCCCCGGTTATCGCCCCCCCCCCCTCCCCCTCTTTCGGAAAAAAACTCGAGGGTGGCGTGGGTGGGAAGACAACAACACTAGCTCCCGGAACAGAATGTCCTAAACCAGCAGCTGGCAGCGTTGTCCAATCGTACGTCTAGAAGTCCCTGTGCTCCAGCACTGCTGATGCTTCAACGTGATCGGGCGCAAACGGAATGTCCTGCGAGCAGCTGCCTTATCTCGGCGCGCATGCCTCCTCTCCTGCAAGCGCGCAGACATACTCTTTGCCATATAATATAAATGCCCACTTCTTCTACCAACTCCAATAAACACCAATTTCAGACTCCTCCCCCCTTTGGTAGGATCCGTCTGAAATATTCGCTTTATTGTATTTTTCCGAAGTGTCATTTTTATTATTATTTTCCACGAAGTCTGAAAGGTAACTCTCTGGCAAATAACGAGGGGGCCACACCGGTCGCTTCCCTCTCTCATCCAGAATCCAAGTTCCCCTTCATGTCAACTGGCCGGGCCTAACAAAATGCCGTCTCAGTATACCGAGACCCCCAATGGTACTCTACCATTGACATCCACCAACATCGACGTTTAGTGGGACGGCATTCTGTCTCCCTTGCCCGTACCTTCGTGTATGCTAACCCTCCTTCTGCTCCTTCCATCCCTTTGCTAGTTTACGGGATACTATGTCTACGTCCACCATATTGTCCCGAGTATATATCTTGAACGTACCGGACCCTTCCTTCCATCTACCCTCTCTCTGTATAATTCTATCCGGTACGTCTCCTCCCGCTGCCATCATGGTGGCGGCCCCGATCCTCAACGAATGCAAGCCAACCTGTCTCGGGTCGCCACCTACCTTGTCCACAATCCGGCGAAGGGCGCTAAGAGCTTTGGAATATCCCCAAACCTGAACCGTACTGCTCCTGCTGCAGCGAAACGAGCACAGAGGGGCGTTCTCAGGCAAAGCAAGATGGCACGCCATCAATTCCACCAACACCGCCACGGCACCGCCACCGGCACCAATCTGAGAACTCGCGCCTCGTGCGACATCGCGCACCCGTGTAACGTATGCCCCCATTTCCGACTGATCTCCCTTGTGGCCACGAAACCGAACCCGAACACCCGTAGCCTTGTGCCAGTGCAACGGGGGTAACACGTGCTCCCCGTCGAAAAACTAGACGTCGCTCCGCCGCAAACAATGCACCTGGTGGCAGTGTCCCGACATCGTGGCAAAAATCTCATCCGAACGCGCCGCCAGAAAATACGACAACGCCAAGCATAGCCATAGGACCCGACCGCCCGTCCCCCACAACGCCGTTAGCTGCTGGCCCTCCAGCAGCGTCTCCCATGAGACGGGAACACGACTCCGACGTTTCGTACCCGCTCGCACGTGGGCACGCGCAACACCCAACACACTCCGTTTGATGAGAGGCGCACTGGTCGGCAACTCGACCTGCCTATCGACGATGAAAATACTGTACAGCGGCGAGCTTGCCGGAAACGGTCGGTGCAACGTTACCCTTATCTGCACAACACCACGCCACAAACTCCAGGAGTGCTTGTCCCAGCACCGTATCGTCCGCCTCCCCCGAGAGGTACTCCGACTCGCCAATCAACCCGCGAAAAGCAGACCAAGCCCGCCAACCCGACATGTATGTTCTTCGAGACGACTGCGCAACTGACTCGCGGACGTACTCGCGGCTAAGACGCCGGTACAAAGATCGGCGACCTCCGGGTCCAAGACCTGTTGGCGCCACGCGACATTGGGACGGGACAGGCGAAGGTGTGCGTCAATGGTCTCCGGCTCCCATCGTGAAATACCATCTGCAATCGTGTTATCGACACCCTTCACATGAGCCGCCTCAAAGCACCATCCACTACCCATCTCCAAACAACCGAGCATACTCATAAGTGCCCCCGAGCGGGGCTCGCGGCCCCCCCGACCCTTGTTCACCCAAGCCACACTCGAGGAGTTGTCGCCCATCATACGGATGCTATTGCGAGCGTACGCCGGCCTCATGCCCGATTGCACAGTAAACACCCAGGCGCCAACCACCATCGCGAGGAGTTCGAGAGTGTTGATGCTCAAATCATCGCGCACCTCAGCCTGCTGGCGAAACCGCTCCCGCACGTCCTGACTGAATTCGAAACGCCACCAGACTCCCGAACGGAATTCAGCATGCAAGAAATACCCCCCCATGGCATCACCAGATGCATCTGACCACAAAAGACACGAATATGGTTGGTCGAAAAAACAAACAAGTGGGGCTGTTAACACCCGCGACGGCGACCCCAAGCCCCCGTCTACCATCAGACGCCAAAACTGCATATCCGCATGAAACTCGGGACCTATCCGTGTCCGCTCCTGCCCCCGGGCTGTCAATTGCACCGGCGGGAGCCCCAACTGGTTAAGCATACGGCGAACAAAATATTTACCAGGCCGCACGACTTCACATATATGCAACAGCGAACCAATCACCCCCCGCAACTCGGACTCAGAAGCACAGTGGCGCGTGGGGGGCCACTCGCGGATTGTCGCCCGCAGACGTGCCAACTTGTCTGTGGGAACCGAAATCGTCATAGCTACTGTATCAATGTCCCACCCTAGCACACACAATCGTGTTTGCCACGAAGAGAGTTTATGCGGAGACAACAGGGGGGGGTCCCCAGGCCCTCGCGCGCCAAACACACGGAAATGGTCCGATGCACACGACGCGGACGCCACTTTACACCGTGCGCCAGTCGGAGTCCACATGACTTCGACAAGGATACCATCGTCTACATAGAACTTCACGAAAAACGAGTCGGAACGACCGCCTCCTGAACCGGGGGGAATGCGACACCCAGGGGGGAAGGGGGGTGGCGTCTCTCGTGCGCTAGGCAAGGGGACCTCAACATGGTCCGTGGCTCGCCGTCCGAGCTCGGTAACGACTGCATTAGCCAACGACGTGTGATTGTGAGAGTGCTCCAACGCGGCAGTCATGACACAAAATTGCCAGGCGAATTGCGCCAACCACACCAAGCGCCGATCTACCACGACAAAGTCTCCAACCGAGTAACCAAACACGGGAGCTCCCGACCATTGGACCGATACCTGCCGAAACGCGTCAGTAACGTCAATCTTGCTTAACACGATACGGGCCGACGGACCGTACGTCCTCCGCAGCCACAAAATGCGCCACACAACGTCCCGCAACACGTTACCTAACGCGACCTTCGGCGCGACCTCCGAAATCCGTATCGGCATTGACACTACGCGACGGGGGGGAGCATTCACACGTCAAGTCATGGATAATTCGAGTTTTGCTGGGCGACACGACCACACCCAGCGGGGACAACAGCAGCCCCGGAATCGATTCTGCGTCGTTCCGCGGGAACACAAACGCCCGCCCGAACCGCACGTCATCAAAACCTTTTCTGAGAATGGTGTCGGAGTGTGGGGCTACACTACGGTGGTTACCATACGACAGCGCGTTTCCAATTTCAGAAGATCCACACACGGGCACTACGGCACCACGCTCCACAATAGCGGCGACGGTCTCTGTTTGAGGAAACCCCTTCATGCGTCCAAACCAAAACCGAATAAAATCAGGCCGCACCCGCGGCACTCCGATGCCGTTTTCGATGGCTTGCATGCGTTCAAAGCGTCCCCCGTGCCGACGTAAAAATCTAAAGCATTTCACCGCGATCTACGCAAGTATGGCGGCACGTGGCGTTCCCTGCTCGACGTTCTGAGACATAGCATGTACCATGGAAACAATACGCCGAATGTCACTGCAATCTAAAGTACCAACCCCACCTCGGGTCAACGCAGTAGCCGCCCTCGGTCGCAGGAGGTTCGTGCCCGAGCCCGAGACCACGCCCCCCACGACATCTAAAGACGGCCCTCCCCCCCCCGGGGGGCAGGGCCCGCGCCCCTATTCGTCGGTATCGCCCCCCGCGCCACTGCCGCCGCCGCCACCGCCTTTCGTGCTGCCGCGAGTCTTCGGACCGCCCACCACCGCCTTGGCCCATTTCGCCGTGGGGGCGGCGGCGGGAGCGGCGGCGGCGGCGGCGGTGGCGGGGTACCGTTCGAATCGCCGTCGTCGGCGTGCCCACCAGGGTCGCCCCCTCCTTTTCCACCCTCCCCGCCAGCCTTCCGTTTCGCCACATGCTGGAATTTGCACTTCTCTCCATACCGTCAGAAACCCTTCCGAGTAAACTGGTAGCACGTCCCTTGCTTCTTGGTCGTACTGCCCGCCCCCGCGGCACCCGCCGCGGCGGCC